ATCATCTGATGCCGCCTGTCTTACCATGCTAACCGGTATGTCGACTATTCTTGCATTGCGTATCGGGGCTCAAGCAATTGCGGGCAAAGATTGGATGGCAGGACTCAGAATGGCAGAAGAGCCAAAGTCAAAGAAAGTCCTGGGCTTGATCGATCTTGCTGTGTCCGTGAATCTAACAAGCTATCAAACCTTATCTCCGACATCGTGGCCGGTTTGAGAGGCCGCGACTGGGCGGCCAGTTTGGCTTTGGCTTGGGAACGCCATTCCCGTCCCATGCCGCTCCGAACCGGGGTGCAATGTGGAGAGAGACGGACCCCGTTTATCGCTGGCGTGCTCTAAAAAATGGCGTCTTTGGAAGCCGCAGTGAACGGGCTTGCAACTTGAACATGTCGAGAGGCCAACAGCGAACTGGGGCAATCTGCACAGGAGAGCTCGAGAGGGCGTCCGAGCAGGCAGCAAACCGTATTACGCGGAGCTCTGTGATTCACCAATTCGTGGCCACTCCCAATTGACTCAATCCCAGCTGGCCGGCATACCAAAGGCAGCAGCTCCAATTGAAGGAAGGCTGAGAAGCCCAGGGCCCGCCCATATGATGGCGAAAAGCAACGCGTAACGCCCTCCGCCAGACTCCAGGTAACCGCGGCCGGGCAGCCTGGTCCACCAAACACGCCATCAATTGGAGTCCTACACTAACACAGGGAATAGCCAGAGTGTACGGAGCAGAGCGGGCAAGAAACAAATTGACGGGGTGCCACGATTGAAGCCTGCCGTATTCATCGAGGCAGGATAGACTCGTGCACCCTTCTTCTTGCCATCCATCATCCATCTGACACTCTAAATAGCGTGCGCGTGGGGGGCAATGGGAAGAGAGCACACCTACCGTCTGGCTCTGGTCGGCATCCATTGACTGCCAGTGACGAGTACGAACTAAAGCCCGTGAAGCCGTCAAGGTCAGGAGGCGGGCTGAGCAGCATCCTACCGCTGTGCTATACCGACCGGCTGCGTCGGAAGGCGCTATGTGAAGGCGAATTGGTCTCCAGCCTGCTGATAATTCCAAAGCATGCGCGTCTCATCAAGATCTTGCCGCGATGACATAGAAACTCTCGCTCGGGTAGGCGCACCGCACCGAGTGTAAAATCCGCCCGCCAAAGTCCGACGCGGAGGTCGGGCCAACTCAATCTCACCTCCACAGTCGTATGCAGAAGGCAAATCAGCACTAAAACCGAGCTTTAATCCTTCGTCTACTTCATGTCGGGCCAAATGGAAGGTGAATCGGACGGGAATGCGGAATTCCATGCTGCTGACTCCATCGGCGTTGGGACGATCTATCGGTGACTACTGCGCCGAGGGCAGACGAAATCTAGTAGAATCCATCAGGCTGGATTTGTGAGCAAGACGGCCGCTACATGCACGCCTCCCTCCTTCAGCATTTCCCGTTCCCCTTCTGCTTGAAGAGGATGGGCTGCGATACTTTGGCAATGCCAAGGGTACTTCGGTGACTTTAGGTCTTCTTATCGATAAACTCATCCGCTAAGCCCAAAGGGGCTGTTCAAGTGTTTCGGGTTGATGCGCTCCAGACCAACGACAGTCGCCAGGTGCCAGCCAGCCAGACCTGACTGAAGCGTTCCTGGCTTGCCGGGCCAATTTCTCTTCCCATTTCTCCAAACTCCCAACAAACCAGCGATGACTCACAAGCCCAGTCCAGTCGAGTCGCTGCGCTGCGCTACAATTCCTCTTGCCTCCCACGGACTCCCAGGGCATCCTCTAACAGCCCCCCTATTGGGGCACCTTCGGCACGAAACGGACTGCTTCCTTTGTCCGCGACAGCAGCCTGATTGGCCAATTCGTGTTCCATCGCTTTTGCTTGCTCCACGATTCACGCTATCCAGGCCTACTCAATGCACCGATGGCCGCTGTTTGTTCGGCAGCCCGCCCGCCCAGGCCAGGCCAGACAGACCAGACCGGCATTTCGCCTAAACGACATAGACAGCTAAGCGGTCAACCTGGATAGCTGCCCCGCGCGATGAGGTGTCGTTGCCAGCTTCCAGTGTTTTCTAGATTCTAGTTCTACCTCGAGCCTCGCCTACCGCGGGCTTCGGTGCCCAAATGGCTGCCCAATTGGGGATTAATTGACCCGGCGAAAGCTGTCAGGGCCGTCTTCTACGGACACCCACTCGGCACTAGACTCCACCTGCTAGACAAGTGCCGCCCTCCTGCCTCCCCCTCCTGTTCCCATCGCCACGAACATGTAGAGAGCATCAGTTCAGTCGGCTTACCAGCTGTCCTTGCCAGGTGGGAGGTCCAAGACTTCCCGTAGCCAAGTGTGGGGTGATGTTTGGGCCTACCACAAACTTCCTAGCCAGCGCAGTGCGAATCTCGTTATTCGACTGCCCATACTCACATCGTGGCGGTCAAGTGTGCGGGCTAGCTTCCTCAACCGCCCTGCTCTTGGATACTCCAGCACATTGAACCTGCACTTGCCCACGAATAGCATAATATACGAAACAAGAGGAGGAGACATTGCGCAGGTGCCACGATGCTCCAGACACACCGTTCAGGCTGTTTCCCTCTCGATAACACGCACAGCTTGCCATATCAATGGCAAAGAACCCACCATGGCTGTGATATCAGATTGGTTCCTGTTGTTGCTATCCCACCTCACAGGGGGGCATAGCGTAGCTGTACAGAGACAGTTGGTGGTTTGCATAGTCTTCTACCACAACACGTCCATCCCAAAGTTCTTTGTCTGCCAAGCGGCAGGTCAACAATTGCGCACTTCTGAGACCCCGAATGCATCTTCCCGGCCAAGCACTCTCTGAACTATGTGTGCTCCGGGCATTGTTACCACAACCTCCAGCCGTATAGCACACCGAGAGCAAGATTCGGTGAGACGGGCTGGAACTCCCTGAGCCATAGGCCCACCTCATCGGCTGTTCTCGCCTGGTTGCAAGGCAGTCCTCTCTCCCAACTCAACTTCTGCGTGGTTTTTTCTTGCTGTGCTAGGACGGTGTAAGTGGGAGCGGAGCAGCTATTTCCAGCTACGTCGTCGCGAACCAGAACCGGCACTTGTTTGATTCGATATCTACGACCTTACTTGGTTGTTGGTAACTGGTCGAGCTTGCCCAACTTCCACGAGCTTGCCCAAGAGCCCAAGCTAGGCGACTTGAAAGGGTCTCGATTTTCCTAGGTTCTCCGCCCCAGGCGCACTCGAATCAAAAACATTCTGGAAGTTCGCTTCACATATCCAATGGCGTGCCATCCCGTCATCGAGCATTGGGGAAACGGCTTCAGGATCGGAAACGGCGCCTTCGCAACCAGATCGGCAACTACCAGTGCCGCATCTGAAAGCAATATACCTCGATTACCTGCGGCACCTGCGGGATGCTGAGGCCTTTGAGTTTCCGGGGATGAGGAACGAACCAGCAGCACGACGGCGCGAAGCCAAAAGCCAAAAGCCAAAAGCCAAAAGCCAAAGGCTTGACTGACGGGAGTGGCAGCGGCGGGTGCTCTGGGGCCAATTAAGAAACCAGTCAGGTAGGTCCCCTTTGCACGAAACCGCCAATCAAGTGGACGGGGCCCGGTCTAGTTCGAAACCTACTTAGAAATACTCCGAAGTACCGCGGATTGGGCAGAAGTACTTCATGCTCGCCCGACTTATTTTTGCCTGACCGGACCAGGGTGAACAGGAGGGTGCGGGTGACTGGATTGGCTGGCGTCGGCCGTGGCTGAGGACGAGGGGGGTGGGGGGTGTGACTCGATCAGCGGCGCTGAATGACTCCTCCAGTGGCAGGGAAGCCTGGGGGCGCGCCCACACGGAAACCAAATCCAGGAGGCCCACTTGGCCACCCCCTCCCCCCTCCCTGAACGCCATTGACCCCAGATTCGTGCATCCCCAGGACGGGGCCGCTGGCTGACCGCGTCAGGCAGTCCTGGAGTGCGAGCGAGCGACATGTTCACTCAGGTTCGAGCCGACGCGTGCGTTGTGCGCCGTTCAATGTGTGACCTACCTGCTGTCGCAATCACTCCGACTTCCGGGCGGGCTTCCAATGCGCTTTGTCTGTCCTGTCCTTGCTGGCTGGCGCCTTGGGCTGGCGACCGCGCCCAGTCCAGTCCAGTCATCCAACCCTGTGTCCATCCAAGTTGCCTCCTGGCCGCCCTCTCTCTTGTCCATTTACACTCGCCTGGCCCTCCCCATATCCTTCTCTTGCTTCCTCCTTCTTTTCTGCCTTTCGGCTTCAGTCAATTCACATTGTGCAGCCCTTTTGCTGACATTGTTATTACTGCTGTTTATTTTCTATCGCTTTCAATTGCGGAGTCCGTCTTTGCCACGCACGCCCTTCCCGCTGGTTCCATTGACCAGCCAGCGTGAGGGCGCCTCCTATTGTCTGCCTATTTCGCCCTATTGTTCTCCCACCTTCCACCCCACCCGAAGGGTTCAAGAGAGTAGGCGCAACAACATTGCGCACAATAATGTCAGTCGCATTGTTGACTGGGTATTGATTGAATTGATAATACCACGCATGCGGTTATTCAACACTTCGAAACAATTGCTGCACCACCACCTTTCAACAAAGAATAAACGGCCGTCGCCTAGCGCTTCCCGACGAAACTACTTTAGACATTTCCGGCCCTCCAGCAACTCTCACTTTCTTTCTTCTTCAAACCCTGGAATTGGTCTTCTCGTTCGATCCGTCAATATTTCAAACTGAATATTCGGCCCATTTCCAAAGCCGGTCGCACAGCTTAGGAGCTCGCCGTCATCGTTTAGCTGAATGGTGCTCTCTCTGTTTCGCCACCTCGCACCCCATCAAACAGTCATGCAAAACGTGGCTGACAAACCGGCCTCCTCGTCCGCGATGAACCAGCCCACCTCATTTGAGAGGGGCCAGACAGCAGCAATCCAAGTTTGGCCCAGCTCCTCGTCCTCTTCGCAACCCGCTCTTCTTCCTCCCACCCTGATCAAGGAGATGCAAGACGCGCGCCCCATCCCAGCTACCTCCATGGTGGCCGATTCGAAGAAGGCTTGTGATATCAGCAACTTGATGTCTCCCCCAGAGCCCACCCCATTCGATAACTTCAGCCCGGTCCCAATGGCGAACAAGGGGGTGCCATCGATTGTCGAGAAGCGCCAGGTCCCGAACCCTCCTCTGTCGCCGCCCATCTCGCCATTTGCCAAGCCGACGAGCACAATCAGCCCGGTGCCTTACAACATCGCGGTCACGGACCCTATTCTGTATCCTGTCTCTGAGGCAGCCACGAGCCCTTCCACGAGCCCTCTGTTCAACCCAGCTCCCGAGTCGCTCGAGACGTCCCGAGCCGCGAAATTGGTGGACGAGCACATCGCATGGCGGCCTGTCGAGCTCTTCCGCGAGTCGTCGCCCCCCAATCGTGAAGACTACGAACTCGCTCTGTACTTCAAGTCCAATTGCCTGAAGATGTTCAAAGAGAATCCGCAGGGCTGGCTCCGTAAAGAGCGCGAGCTACTGCGAGCTGATCGCAAAAGTGCTGCTGCCTCGCGGCCTCTTGTTAAGCTGCACACGATCCTTCCCGCCTCCAAGCCTACTAGCCAGCGACCCCAGGTGACGAAGCCCACCGCCAATCGTGTCCAGAAGCCCAAGACTCCCAAGGTCAAGACGCAGACCCCGAGGCCGATTCGAGCCACTCCAGCGCCAGCTCGCCAGACTATTAGGGTTAGCTCTACGCCTGAGCCACGCGTCCGGACAGTTGCGCCAAATCGGGAGGACAAGGACTTCAGCTCTCTTCCTGACATTTGTCCGCCACTTCACACTCTTCCTAACAAGGCTAATAGCCTCAAGGTTGATTGGAAGGGCAACGCCCTTGACCTGAGCAAGGATCCTCACGCCCATCTGCTGCATCCCGATGAGCTGCTGCTGGCCGCCGGGCTTCGCCTGGACTGTGCGACCTACCTCACGAGCAAAAGACGCATCTTCCTACGCCGCCGGGACTGTGCGAAGATCAATAAGGAGTTTCGGAAGACAGATGCCCAGCAGGCATGCAAGATCGACGTCAACAAAGCGTCAAAGTTGTGGTCGGCATACGAGCGGGTTGGCTGGCTCAAACTTGAGTATGTGCAGCCGTACCTGCACGAGTGAGGAGGAACGGGATCCCTGGTTCAACAACATGGAATCCAGTAATGATAGTATGGATATCACGACAACCCAAATGCTTCATTTTTAAGCAATGCGGCCTCGACACATGTTTTTTATCACTTCTCTTCATGGCGATTAGCCTTGGGGCTTCCGTAGTTCGTTTATTGCCTTTTTCCTTTGTCACCACGACCGGCGGTTTCATGACATTACGCGGCGGTATTGGGTTTTCCTTCAACTGCATCACTTCACGGCCTTCGATTATCCGATACATTAGCATTTAGGTACCTTTTCTCTCACCTCCATTGATACCCGGAGTACGACACGAGACGTCACGACCGTCCATCAACATCGACAGGCGGTTTCCTTTCCTCGCCCCCATGTCACTCCACTCACACCACATTTTTACAACATCGCATATGCACGGTCGGTTCGGTCGGTTGGTTTGTCAGTCTTGATCCGTCGGCTTCGCGGATTCTGGGTACGGCACCATCTTCAGGATTAAGGGTTGGGCACACATCACATGAAGGGCATTCTGGTCTGCATTGCTTCGCGCGATCTCACCACCCCTTTGTTTTCTTCATGCATTTACGAGCGGCGTCCCCAGTTGGATTTCATTTTCACAGGACCTGTCACTTGGGATAGGAGATTGGAATCAGGTTATACCCCCAGCGTTCATATTTTGGACTTTGTGCTATACGACGCCAACAGCTCGTTGGGCATTGTTTTTATTCCCTGTCACATGACGGGAAGCAGTTGAGACTGCAGGCGAGTTCTCATGAAGAGACCCTGCACATTGGAGTGAAGGACTCTGTTGGGCTGGAGATGGAAAGCTTGGCGTGCAGCCTTTTGTCTTGATATCTGTGCTGGGTGAGCAGACAGCGGGGTAGATAAGCAGACAGCACGCGGAAATCGGGAGACCTGCTCTCCCGAGCCCGGGTTGACACACCCAAACAAGTTCCCAAGCAAAGTGCTTTGTTTTGATGTGGGTGATTTCGATCTTGTAATTGCGTACGTAAATGAAGAGCCAAACTTCAACGGCGGCCAGCCCTACGGATCAAGGATGGTGCGAGATGGCTGGATCAGCAGCGCGCCGTCGCATTTCTGCCCCTGTTCTGGTCTTGGTCTAGCATTCGAGCAGGGAGGGTGCGCTTGAGGGTCAACCTTGTTTACCTTAAGTACCCTAGGTAGGTTTAATTCCCGATCCACTACGCCCACATGCCCCTCCCACCACGCAGATCGCCCGACCCGCATATGCCATGCCGCCCGCAGGACGGCCCGCCTGCCGCACGGTGATGTCATTGTGGGACAATTCTTTTTCTTCTTCCTTATTCCATCTTTCCTCCCGGGGGTGTTTTTGGCGCTTCTGTTTTTTTAACCCAGGTACTCTCGTTTTCAGTTCTAGGTATCTAATCCCCGGCTGGATAGCGTGCTATTAAATTAGTTAGTTATTCCCACCCGCCTCCCTACCAGGGGCATTTTTGTTAAATACACCCCTGGTGAATAAATACACACTCCAGGTACATAATTAGGTACGGAGTATCCGAATTACGGAGCTCTGTAGTACAATCGCTCGTAGGCTTGCTTGCTGGTTAAGCAAGTACTAAGTGGGCCTATAATTATCTGCCTGGGCTTTCTTTGCTGTAATTAAGTGACGCTGGTTATACCAAATGAATGCCCGATGGAGTTTCAGATTATAGGTTATAGTTATTCTGAGATTTGCATAGGTAATTATTCGTCCCGTCTATCTGTCTGTCCGTCTGTCTGCACTAGCTTCTGTCCAATTAACCTGATCTACCCAGTGCTGTTTCTAGTTCTGACGTGGGGTGTTGATGCATCGAGTTTGATGCCGCGAGCGTGTTCATAATTATTGGGAAAGGATTACTGCGCCGTTCTCGGTGCGAGGGAATCTAGACTGAATCACTAACTAGATTACATGTTGTTTTCAACAAGCAAGCAGAAAGATCAGGGTATGTAGGCAGCTAATCAGCTCACTTCTTTGGCTAGACTATAGAATAGGGTGACTTCTTGGTATCTGGTAAGTGATTAGGTGGTGTTGTTTGTTTTAACTGTTTGTTTGCTCGCTATCGTGGCCAACCCCGTGTCTAGATTCATGCATACTCAGTAGATGAGCCGTGTTTAACTAGGTACCTACCTTTACCTAGGTATTGTCTAGTTCAGTTCTAATCGCCTTGCTGCCTCGGTTCACTTGCTTCCATACTTAATTATAGGTGAACCTCGTGTGTTGTCTCTTGTTTGTACTCCGTTCGCTCTATTTTCAATTTGGTCTGCTTCATGAGAACGCGGCTCCTATAATCAGAAACAGCATCGGCGCGGATGTTTACCCAGTTAGAAGGTTTAGTTTATGTCCTCGGCAAGTTGGCACCTAGCCGAAGACTCGAGGTCGGGATCGAAGAGACGGCTCGGTTAATTACTGCAGGGAGGCGACAAGCTTTCTTCGTCATTAATTGCCCGGTATCTCCACTTATGGGATGCAGGTTTGGATTGGTTTGAGTGCCAATCACATATAGACGTTGTCAGAAGTAATTAAACGCACTGCGCTACCAAAGCGGCTCCAGGAGAATCTAGCCCTGCATCAAACGAACTTGCTCTCCTCTGCCTCATATAACTCCTATCATACATGGCGGCTGTTGTCTACATAAGCTAAATCAAGCTAAATTCGTGTGGCTCATATCATCGTGGTACCCAAGACCTCGGTCTCTTCGTCGTGCTCAGGACAGGGATTATCCGTTTAGAGCCCCGCCGCGATCGTATAGCCACCGTCGACAGCAATGGTCTGGCCGTTCAGTTACTGCTTCGCCGCGAGCATCAGAACGGCCTGCGCCATGTCGACGTCTCTGCCGGGCCTGGCAGCGGGAACCTTCTTCGCGTAATTCTCTCGCGGGATGTGGCTCTTCTGGAACTCGTTGCTCTCCTGGGCCGTCATCTCGCTGGGGAAGATGCCCGGGGCGATGCTGTTGACGCGGATCTTGTGGCCGCTCTCGGCGATCTCGGCCGACAGCATGCGCGTCAGATGGACGGCGGCGGCCTTGCTGGCGTTGTAGGCGAAGTGGTGCTGCGCGCTCTTGACCAGGCCGCTGACGCTGGAGATGTTGATGACGGTGCCGGGCCACCCCGGGTGCAGCTCCAAGCTCTTTTGGAGGAGCGGCAGGAACGCGGCCGTGACGAAGTAGATGCTGGCCACGTTGGTGCGGTACGTGTCGGTCCAGTCGTCAAAAGTGGCCTTGTCGTTGTCGAACAGGTTCCGCTTCATGTCCGAGGCCGTCTCGGTCTCGGTAGTGACCGACTCGCTTGTGATGCCGGCGTTGTTGACCAGGATGCACAGGCACTTCTCGCGCGACTCGATTTCCCTCACCAGCTTGGCGATGGACTGCTTGCTAGCGACGTCGGCGGTCAGGGCGATGATCTCGCCCTCGATATCCTTGTTGTACGTCTTAACCACTGTGCCGAGCTTCTCTGCGCTCCGGCCAGCGAGCCAGCTCCTGTGACTAGAGCAACGCGGCCCTTCATATTGAAAAGCGAGTTGCGGTTGAGCTCATTGTGGCTCGCGACGGCGACGCTCTGCGTGGACATGTTGCTTGATTGACTGTATATGCTCCTGGCCTGATTGATTGTATATGCTCTTGGCCTGATTGATTGTATATGCCCTTGGCCTGATTGATTTTTAGCGGGCTCTGCCTACAAGGCTTCTGTCGAAATTGAAGCGGCGAAGCGCTCGAGGATCCTATTCCAAGACTACGAGTCTCAATTTGAAGTCGGAAAGCCGAAAGGTCACGGTCGGCAGTTCCTGAGTGTACATACAAGAGGGAGAGATGCCGGTCTCGCTCTAAAAGTAATGCCCCGAGACGAATTAAAGAGGGCAGGTTTGTAAGTGCTGCGTTGGAGGTTGCTTAAAGTTTTGGCGGTCGAGAGGAAATTCCGCGGTCGAATAGGACGAGGAGTCAGGGACGCGTTCATCTCGGGTGTGCAAGTTTAATGACAGAAAAGACCAGATGGTTTACTACGAACGGCGCATTTGCTCTTTAAACTACCCAGTCAACATCAAATCATGACGAAATCCGATTGCCTATCCGGTTTTAATGACGAAATGGTCCCTCCTTTCAGGGCGCTAATCGGCGAATCAGCGGCAACTTGCAGGGCGGGCACCGAGGCAGCCGCTAATCGACAAAGTGCCGCGCTCCACTAATTGGGAAGACTGGGGTAGGACTCCGTCGACTTACACCATCAATCTCGTTCATGCTTTCCGTTAGCAACACCAAACGCAACACGAGCACAATCTCATGGTAGCTGTTATTGATTAGTTGAAATAATCGGAGCTGTCAAGGCACACTAAGATTTATAGTAGTTGGAGTGTAGGACACCGGCATTGATAGGATTAAGTCAGGTGGGGGACTTTTGGAACACCCCTGCCTATGGAACAGCCCCTGAATCGGACCCCGCACAACACCACAAACTTCAATTGCCAACAACTTTGTCAATTAATTAGCTACAATGATGAAGTCTTCAGTATCGAATTCTCCTGATTCTTCTCTTTCAGAATAACTAAGGTCCTCTCTGCCAGCCTCTCTCTGTGAGGCACGAACCTCCTCAATTCCAGCGAACTGCGTATTAGGGTCGACTTGGACCTTCCTTCTCTTTCGGCCTCTTGTGCGTTCTAGGCTTTTTTCTGCAGCCTCCAATTGATGCGCCGTATTGGCTAGTTGGAAAACCACGTAATCGAAGGCTTTTGCGGCCTTGCGTATGAAAAGTCGGTCGTTGGCAGTCCGTTTCTGGCCGGCTAGAAAAACCTGCCCCTGAATACGGAAATCCTTCGGCTTTTTAGGGGTAAACCATATAGGCCGGCCCTCCGAATTCTTATTTAGAATGGGGTTATGGACCTCTTGAAGGTCTATAGAAACCGTAGAGGTCAGTTGACCAACGTCGCCGTTAGAATTCTTAATAACAAGGCCGTTGCTTAGGGGCTTCCTGAGGCTGACCGGCCAGAGGCCTGTAGCTTTCCAGCCGGCTTTGATATTAGATTCAGTCATTCCATAGACCCTGGCTTGCCGGTAGCATTTTAGGAAGGCCCTCTTTTCAGCAACAGTGCCTTCGTCGAAGCCGGAAACAACCTCGTTATGCTTGGCTCTGTACCGGGCTTTTAGAGGGCCGAAAACCGATAAATCCAGGGGCTGGAGAACGTGGGAGGTGTGGGCTGGTAGAAATAACAATTGTACGTTATTAGAAAAGGCTAGCCACATGAATTCTTCGGTGGTATGACTACCGTGGCTATCTAAAATAAGGAGGCGCTTCTCCGAGGGGGTAGCTGGCCGAGTCTCTGGAAGAAAGATATTGCGGAGCCATGCGACGGTAGTATCATCGTCAGACCAGCCGTTTTCAGTGGGTTTCCACTTCCAGCCCTTAAATGGCTGTAAATCGCGTGGATACCATTGTTGTTGAAGGCTTCCACCTTTGAAAATGACGACTGGGTTCAAATACCGGCCGTCAGCGGAAATACATTCGATAATCGAGGTCCAAATTCGGTCTCCTTTCTTCTTTTTCTGGAATTTCTTTCTTTCCTTAGATCCAACAACCAGGCCGTTATCTCCAATGCCAGAGGCAATGCCAGTTTCATCCATATTATACCTATGCTTGGCTGGAATAGCCTCCACGCCTGGAGGCTTCAAATAGTCAAACCAAGGCCGGATAACGGCCTCACAGGCTCGATCAGCACGGTTTGCATGGATTCTCCGAGGCCTAATTGTAGAAATAGATGGATTTCTAGCCAAAAACCGGCTAGTCCAGCGTTTTCCGAGGGTCTCGTTATCTTCGAGCATTCTTCTAGCTAGTTTCCGAATTTGGGCGTGGGTTGGAGGGTGACCGAGCGACCCTTGGAATAGAATCCATTCGGTTAAGCGTTCTTCCATAGCCGGAGAAAGCTTTTGATTAAGAATTTGGGCCTTGGAGGCTGGCTCGGAACCACGAACCCGATTAAAGAGAGTAGTAGGGGGGATGCCGTGATTTTTTCAGCAGAGCTACGGAGTAAGCCGGTTTCTGCATACTCTGCCAGCGCATTCTGCAAATCCAACTGAGTATATCGCTTCATCTTTCATTTCTCAATTGAATGGAGAAAAGAAGATAAGTATTGAAGCAGAATTGGTCGAGTTGCAAGCGATTGAAATAGGTGAGTTGGGTGGCGAGCGGCAAGTCCTTGATGACAAACCTTGTTCCAAATCCAGGGGTGTTCCATAAGCAGACCACCTGACTTATCTCGAGAACCCCCGTAATGTGATTCGGTAGCATGATCAGACGACGCCGTGTGACTTGGACATCTACCCAAGGTAGCTTCTAGCTTTGAAAAAAAAAATACTTGGCCATAAATATGCCCGCCCGCCAAACTTGATGTACACGAAGGGTATAGGCTGCATGAAGCAGACCTGCGCCTCAAGGTTTGCCGGCACACCTCAATTTAAACACCTCCAGCTCGCAACAAACACACCAAAGGCGCACAACAATATATCCAAGCATCTCTCTGTTCTTTTCTCCTTTTTGTCTTCTCAATCGCGGTGTTCGGCCGTGGCTAGCTCGACGTCGGTTCTGGGCCAGAAATGGCTCAGGTCGCCCACCGGCAGATTCAACGTGATGCGCATCTCGCCGGCCATGATAATGAAACACATATACCAGCCCAGGGTGGCCACCACAAACAGCAGCGCTCCTCCGGCCTAGCACAGACATACAAAGGTTAGCAGACCGGCATCCAAAAAGAACAGGGTGTCCTGCTGACAGAGAGATGGACTCACCTTCTGCAAATGATTAGCAGCCTCATAGTCGCCCGACGAGACCTTCCAGTAGGCGCCCGAAAGGACCCAGCAGGCGACGCTGACGAGCAGGAAGATGGCGGCGAAGACGGTATTGATCTTGCAAGTGAAGATGAAGAAGGTGAAGAGGGCGAAGCCCCAGACGATGAGGTAGAGGGCAATAACAGCGTTGTACTCGGGCGAGGCGGTGCCCGTGGGGTCGGCGGCGGTCGCGTACGCGGCGCCCAGCTGCAGCGTCGGCAGCTGCAGCACGCCAAACGAGAGCCAGAACACGGCGAACAGCCCCATAACCATCATGGGGAAGAAGTTTCCCATGACCCACTCGAACACCATGGCGAAGACCAGCAGCACGGGGCCGACGAAGAAGAAGATGCCGCTGTGTTTTGTCAGGCGTAAGCTCTCGAAAGAGGGCGATTCTAACAGGACTCACACGACAGGAGAGAATCCGGCGGCGCCGCCCCAGCCCATACACATGATAGAGAATGTAAAGGTCGAAATAACGAAGCTAGTCGACATGTCAACAACTGCCCGCATCAATGCTCATCTTTGCAGTTTGCAGGATGGATCCCGCCAGGCGGCGGGACCGGAGGCAGGCACGCACCCAACAAAGCCGAGCGCCGTCGGGTTGGCAAAGCGCCGGTTGTAGTCGCCGACGTGGGGCACCTTGGGCGTCAGGTACAGCTTCTCGAACAGCTCGGGCGACATGGTCACGCCCGTCGCCGTTCTGTAGAGGCCCTTTTCCTCGTCATGGTGGGAAGTGGCTCCGTTGCTGGGCTTGATGGCCTCGCTGCTTGCCGCCGTCGCCATTTGATTAGGGGGTTCGGACTGTTGGGAGAGGGGGGAGCGATGCTAATTGTTGTTTAACCGCAGTGTGTTTGCCGGTTGAGACTCAAAGACGCGCTGTGTAAGTCACGGCACGGTAACCCAAGGACAGGGACGGGGGCGCCTGTGCTGTGCAGCGCAGAGGCGGATCTCGCATATCCTTATGTACCCGAGACGAGATGTACGAGACGAGAGGTAGAGAGTAATAGGGAGAGGGCGACGCATCAGGGCCCACGCCATGACACCTCGGCCTGCGGACGTGAGCATGGGTTCGCCTTCGCTTCCCGAATAATACTACGTTGACGACCTCGCGAGAGCGGAACCGCGGGCTGCCATTGGGCGCTAGATCTGCTGGGCTGGCCTGTCTGGATTGGCCGGACCGCCTCTCTGGGGCACAATATTGATGACTAGGGGTTAGAGGATGGATAGCTCGCCGTCTATTCTAGGTATGGCGAACCCAGTAGTCAGCCTACGTACATACAAATGTGCATAGACCCGAATACGCTGCTACCCCGCGTCGCTGGGCAGGCCATGTGCCTCCTGTCAAGTCGGCCGAGTGGCTGGAGTTGGGAACTTTTGGAAGCTAACGGGGAGAGCTTGGAACCTGGGGAATCCTTGACACGCACACACTAGAACTAGTTCTAGGTGGACACATGCGGGGCAGCGAATTGGCAGCAGCGAGGGCACATGGCGGGTGACATTGAGCCACGCGGAGTGCAACTGCCGGGCATATTTGTGGCGCCGACACCACCCCCCGAATTGGTTTGGGAGGCGCCAATTGGGGTGAAGATAGTCTGGATGGTTCGCCGTGAGCTTCTAGGCTGGCGGCTAGTGTGAAAGAATCTGCTAGGTAATTGGCATTTCGAAATAGGTGACTGCGAGCGCATTCCTTCGATTATCTGACAGACATTAAGAATTTAGACGGAATGTCCGCAATGGAAGGAGCCATCTAGACCTTTTCCGCGCTCCGTAGTAAGAGGTAAGAGGTAAGTAACCCCAAGGAGATCGACACCCGCTGTCCCGCCTCGACAACCCAAGCAGGTCGCAAAATAAGCTCATTGTTGGGCTGGTCGGCCTGCATAATTAGCCCGCTGCGGGGAAAGGACTTGGAGGTCAGGGACGCACTTCCCCAACCTCATCCCACCTCAGCTGTCCCGGGAGGGGAATCGCATATACGGCAGTTGTGTGGAGTCAACCTCGCTCAGTCTGGCCATACCATGGCAAGACATGACGACTTGGTCCTGCGCCACTGCAGCTGCTGCGCTGAGCGCCGCGATCTGAGGATATTTACCTCACAATCGACATCGGCAACCCTGAACCATCCTCCCTTGCCTTGTCTTTGCCCAACCGAAGATGCGAGGTTGGATGGAGTACATGCTTTGGGACCAGAGTCTCTGCGCTTACAAGAAAGTCGACGTAGCAGCTTCTTCGCCTCACAACAACAATCTGGAGGTCTACGCAATATGTCCGCACCCTAAGTTTATATTTCTTGAAGCCTTGAGATGCCCGTTTTTTACACAGGACCTAATTAGTTTGAATATGGAAACCCCAGAGCTTCAAACCAAGATATCGACATGGTTTACCCCAACCAAACTAGGTCACAGAAAGGGAGATGGCCGCCTATTATTTCGTGAATTACGAGTGAGCTGACCCGCTAGGTACCCAAGTAGGTAGGTGTGTACCTGATTTTAAGCTAGCACCTCGGCAAGCCTTTGTATTCATACACACGTATCTTGTCACAAGTACGGGGCTGGATGTACATGCACATGTACATCGACGGCGAACCAGCCCGTAGTCCCCTCCCCTAAAGAGTCGTATCAGAACGTCACCTCGCGCGTAGCCTCCCTGACGCGCTTCATACGCCGTTGCAAGTCGCGCTCGTCCTCGCCGCCGACGACGATATCAGCGAGGCTCTCGCCAGCCTCGCCATCCTCGTACCAGCTCGGGATGAGCATGCGGCCGGCCTCGAGCTCGGGCCGCCAGGCTTCGATAAAGTCGCGCCGCCCGCCGTCGACGGCGACCGAGAAGCTGCCGGCGCACTGCAGGCCGCGCTCTATGAAGTGGCCGCGCAGAAGCGGCAGCGCGAGCGAGCCCGACGTGCACGCGTTGAGGTCGACGACGTGGTGCGCCGTGGGCTCGGCCGTCGCGCTGGCCGTCGCGCCCGCCATGCGCGTCTCCAGCACGTCGATGCCCACGGGCCCGTAGTAGCCGTGGTGGGCTACCCACGCCGCGGCGCGCTGTACCAGGGGCGCAAATTTGTCCTTCAGCTTCTGCTAGCGCGAAAAGTTGATCGTCGACCCGGTCCACGCATTGTCCGGGTCCGTCATCTGTTCCGACGCGCCCAGGAACACAGCCTCGCCCACGTCTATCGCGAGGAACGTCACGCCGTAGTCGGCCACGGCGTCGGCCACGAGGTCGCTGATGATGATGCTCCCGGGGTGCAGGTGTGTTGGTTCTCCGCCGTCACCTGCGACAGCAGCCGGCGGAGAATACCATCGTCGCGGTCGTCGTCGCGGTCGTCGTCGTCGCCGTTGTCGTTTTCAGACTCGTCCTCCTGCCCCGCCGCCTCGCCTTGTCTTCTCCTCCAGAGGTCCCGTAGCAGGTCCTGCTTCTGCTGCTCTGAGCGCACCACCCACGTGCCGGCGCCCCCGAAAGTCTGCTGCGTCTTGAGCACGAAAGGCACGGGCTGGCGCTCGACGGCCTCGACCACGCGCGCCGCCTGCGCCTCGAGCCACCGCCCGCGCCCGCCCGTGCACCCGGCGGGTATGAAGCGCATGTCGGTCTCGACGGCCGCGCACCGCTCGCAGCATGACGAGCCGGTCGTGCCGCCGTGCCCTTCGATTTCGACGATGCGCGTGCGCGGCGTGGGGAGCCCCGACCGCGCGAGCGCAGCCTTGCTGTTGAGGAACCAGTGCGCGCCGAGCGGGTGCGTGAGCGGGTACCGCGCCAGGCCGTCCAGCACGACCTTGTAGGCGATCCGGGCGATGCCGTGCTTGGCGCCGAGCGGAATGCTGGCGGGGCTGGCGCAGAACACGAGCTCAGGCCGCTGCTCCGTGCTGAGCACCGCGACCGTGGCCTCGGCCTCGCGGCGGTCGCGCGCGCGCTTTGCTTCTGTGCGCCCCTGGTGGAACAGGACCACCGGTGCCCCTGGCCCCGCGATGAAGGCGTCGCGCTGCGGGATCAGGCTGAGGTACTTGGTTGCGAGCGATTTCTGGAGCGCGCGGTTGTTGCTGCTATTGTTGTTGTTGTTGTTGTTGTTGTTGTTGTTGTTGTTGTTGTTGTTGTTGTTGTTGTTGTTGTTGTTGTTGTTGTTGTTGTGCCGGCTCAGCTCGCCCGCGCGCAGCCTCACGAACGGCCCGTCCTAGTACGGGTACTTGGTGTTGTGCGGGAAGTCGGGGCCGAGGTCGAGCTGGTCACGCCGCAGAGCACGAGGCCGAGCTTGCGGTCGGCGTTCTTGGGGCTTGCACGCCGGTACAGCTCGGCCAGCGTGGTGTCGAGGTTGATGGTCGGCAGCTGTGCCGCTATCGGCGTTGGCTTTGGCGTGTCGATGGAGCCCATGATGAGGCTGGTGAGGGTCTAGGTGTTGTGCACGGAGGTTGGGAGAATGGCGATGTTGGTGAGGCGCTTTGGCTGAAGATTCATGTTAATAACAGCTTGAAAGGGCCTGGGGGGAGGCTGGCTTAAGGCCTTAGACGGTGCTGTGACCTGTGGAGCTGTCCAGCCGACGACTGACCGCTAACGTCATTGACGATGCTCCGACGCTAAGTAGGGAAGCGACGGCTACTTGGGTTGTTGGACAGTGTGAGGTGGCTGCCGAAAAGGCTTGCCGATCCCCAATGGCCGGCCAGTCAAAAGACACACAGCTGAGAGCCGAAAGGGAGCAAGTTTCAGCTGTGGTTAGACAATGACATTATGCCAAGTGAATTCGTCCAACACCGCGGCTATCTGATGGAAGGCGCCCTCGCACCGTCTATGCGGCCGACTCTTCCCTCGGTTCTCTGGCCCTGGGTGGCTTTGGGTTGTAGCTTGTATTTTCTTACATTAAACTGAACCAACATTGATTCAATGCTAGCATGTTGTGTCTAAAGGCCAGTGTTAATTTAACTATCCCCATGTCCACGCGCGCTCCCAGAGTCCCAGTCAACCTTGGCGGCAAGTTTCGGGATCTCTCCCTAGGTATAAATCCAATTTCATAATCTGAATCGGTGGCAGCTTGCAGACATCAAGATTAGTGCCAGATATTCCAATGCTGCAGACAATACGGGACAAACTGTGTCTGAGTCCGTGACCGGAGCGGACGAGAAGAAACATATACGGCATCAGTTCTTGATCCAGACCGCCTGGGGGTTGCACCACCACTTCAGCCCGTCGAGGCCTGACTCGACGCCGAGGCCACTGTGCTTGTGGCCGCCGAAGCCGACGGGCGGGCCGACCTCAAAGTGCGTATTTGTCCAGATGGTGCCGGCCTCGAGGCGGCGCGCCGCAGCACGTCGTCCTCATCGGCCCATTTCAGCACCGGAAGGATGGGCCCGAATTGCTCCTCCTGGACGAGCCGCGAGTCCTCGGGCGGGCTGTCGACGACGGTCGGCTCGAGGAAGAAGCCGCCATAATTAGACGGCGGACTAGTCGACGACGGAGTGGCCGTCTTCCACCCGTCCCGCTGCACCTGCGCGTACAGCTCTCGGAGCTTGCCGTACTGCATGCTGTTCTGGATGGGCCCGAGGACGGCCTCGGCGTCGCCCGCGCCCCTTGTTTTGAGGGTTTGCACAAACACCGCCAGCGCCGCCAGGAACACGTCGTAGATCTTCTCGTACACGTACAGCGCTCGATGGCGAAGCAGACTTGTCCCGTGAGTATAAACGCCATCGTCACGATCTGCAGAGTGTACCCAGGGGTTTTTAGCATTCCAGTCATTAATTTGGCCTTGGCTGGTTCTGGAGAACTAGGTCTAGCAAGGAAGGAGATCGCGAGATAATTACACACCTTCGGCACCATATCAGCAATATCAACATCCTCGCGCACGATGGCCGCATCGTTGCCGCCGAGCTCGAGCGTCACGCGCTCGAGCGTGGCGCCGCACGCTTGCATGACCCTCTTGCCTATGGCCACGGAGCCGGTGAAGCCGACATTGGCGATGCCCGGGTGGGCGGTCAGCCAGGGGCCGAGGTCCTCGGTGCCGCTGAGCACGTTGAAGACGCCCGGCGGGAGCACGCGCGCGGCCAGCTCGCCGACCTTGAGCGCCGTGTTGGGCGAGTGCGGCGACGGCTTCCAGATGAACCTGTTGCCCGTCAGCAGCGCCGACGACAGCTTGATGGCCGCGAGCAATATCGGGAAGTTCCACAGGATGATGACCACGCCCATGCCGAGCGGGACGTGCCGCAGCGTGATGAAGCGCTGGTTTTTTGTTGGGGTCAGTAGGTTGGACTGGTTTAACTGGGGAATAGCTTCTAATAAGAAAAGGGGTGGGGGAGAGAAGGAGATTTCAGGTCCCGCCGCGGAACGTTTACCTCGTCCGTATCCAAAATCGTCTCCTCAACCAGGCGGTGAATTCGTTGTTGATTACATTTCGGAATGTCTGTGGGGGGGTGGTGTTAGCCCGCGGCAGGACTTTCACGTTTGGGTCAGTCATGGCTCATTTATGTCTAGTTACCTGGAAGCCTTGGAGCTTGAAGTCCGTGATTGCCATGGCTGTACAGTGGGTGTGGTGTTGGACGTGAGAATGTGCGTTCTTCAGGGGGTTACCTAGTTAGTCGACCGTTTCCTTGCTCAAGATGATAAGGAGAACTCGGTGAACGTGAAGAAGATGGCTGCTTGCGTTACAGGTGAGAAGGTTCAAGGTCTTTTATGGACAACACATCACCGAGATCCCCTAGCCCCATCTCAATCCTCAAGCGCCACGTTCTAGGCTGAGGAAAACCGTGGTCGTCGCGGGGGATGTGCCCGCTACATTTCCGCGTAAAGCTCCCTGGCGAGGGCGCCAAGAAGGCTCCCGTACCCGTTGGTCGGCGGGTTTCTAGAGCGAAGTGTCCTCACTTTGCCCGCACTGCTCGTGTCGGTGCCACTGTTGCAGGGGACGGTATACATTGGACTAAGCTCCGGCACATGTTTCGGATCAAAGGGCTGATATGGAAGCCAACGAGTTAAACCGACTCAAAGAACCGCCGCGATGAACACTAGCACAGAGCTTCTCCGTAAACACAGAAACCATCATCATCGCGTGAGAAAAAAACACCAGTCGTGTGCTCACAGATCGTTCTCCAGCATCCGAGACTGCTCCTCAACGGGATCTGCTCCTCCGATGAGATTCCAGCCCGTGGCTGTGTGATGTTCCGGGCAATTCGAGTCCGTAAATTACATATCGAACCCGTGGTGCCCTGACCTGACAACAATTCAAATGTTAATAGTTCAACGACCTGTCACATTCTTCACCTGTCCGTCTGACACGAACGCCACGGGCCAGGCACTATCTGCATCGCTGGCTTTGTTGGGGCTGCCGGAGGTGCCGAATGAGCTGAGGGGCTCCTGATATGTTTTCTTAACTAATTATCGTGGTTGCCGTCAAGGCATACACACGCCGCGGTCTTGACCCTGGAGTCCTATAGCTCTCGGCATTTTATACGCGTCCTTTTGACCATCCACGAACATAGGGATGAGTTCGGTGGCGTGCCTGGCCCACTCTTCTTTTGGCCAGGCATAGCGGATCATGTACGGGACGGATGGTGATGCACGAAAAGTGTAGATAGCTTCATTTCGTAGAACGCTGGTGGGAGCCCCACTAATGGCGTTTGGCGCTAGCCGAACGCATCGGGTTAGACTGGCGCTAGCGCACGGGCCATGTTAGCACGTGACACTAGCGGGTTCCAGGGTTTCCAACCTTTGGGAAATGCCCCGCGCCCACCAAGCTTAGAAGAATTATCACTTTTTACACCTTTTTTGCATCCCTCTCGGTTTTACCGCTTCAGATGGGTAGATAGATCAAATGGGTGGATGTCTGGGGCCCTCTCGCAGTTTGCTAAGTATACGAGGTGTAAATAACTTATTCTAGAATTGGATGGGTGTCAAACGATCTGCAACTCGACTTCCTCCGCAGAGCCAAAGGGCCCATCCCCGACGGCTTCAAAGTAGCCAACCCGCTCAAATACGCGGCCAGCCAGACCCGAACCCGAACCCAAGCTCGGCACAAGCATCAGGCCCTCCACCCGCGGAGCTCCCTTGTGCGGCTCCCCCTCTTTGCTCATGGCAAGACAGTGGATGCGGCGCCCAGACCGCATCCCGGGGTCCAGCACGTCCAGCGTCCCGATAGGATACCCGGACTCCTCCTCCCACATCTGCTTCCTCGCATCCCTCACCAGGTAGCCATCCGTCAGAGCGCCAGCGCCGGCCTCCTTCCACTCGCGCTCCACCATGCGCCCCCGGACAGCGAGCGCAGAGTCCGTGACGGACAGGATCCGGAAATGGAACGCCCCGAGAGCCCTCGCGGCGCCGCCCATCTCGGCCCCGCTGATGACGCCGCCGCCGCAGCTCGCCCAGCTCCATGTAGGCGCCACGCGGGGCGTCGGGCGCGGCAGTAAGGGATCCTCGGTCGTGGTGGCGAGGAACCTGGTGATGGCGACGGGGTGGCGGTGCCAGTGGAGATCCACAAGCAAGTGCTCTTTCCACAGGCCGGCGACGTACGTCCAGCCCGTCTTGCTCGTCACCTCGGACACGATGGCCGAGACGGCGGGGAACTTGTCCGCTGCGTTTGTCAGTTTCCTGCGGTTGTACTCCTCGCGCAGCGCCAGCCAGATCTTGCGGTACTCCTCCTGGCGGGGGCCGGTCGGGATCCCCCCGCCCTTGAGCAGGTGCGGGAAGGGAGGCGGTGCGTCGGCGGGCGCGGACGGGTTGGTCTGCTGCTCGCGGCAGACCCACTTGACGCCGTCGTAGGAGAAGACGAGCGACCGCGCCGAGAGCACGCGCTCCTGCAGCGTCCAGGCCCGGTCGTTGATGGGGTCCTTCCACGGCTTGTAGTCGTACCGGAACCCGAGCTGCAGGGAGGCTGGCGTCTCCGCCTTCGCCTTCGCCTTCGCCTGGGGCTGGGACCGGGACTGGGACCGGGGCCGGGACTGGGAGAAGGGCACCGCGAACGGCGGGATGTAGTAGTCGGGCTCGTCGGGCGCTCGCAGGAACCCTTCCGTCGCCGCTGCCGAGTTCGCGGCCACGATGGTGAGCGCGCAGTTGCGGTAGATGTCGCCCATCATCGGCAGCTGCGTCGCCTTGTCCGCCGGCGAGTCCTGCACGATGCAGAGCGCGTCGACCCACAGGTAGTCGTACCCGAGACGCCGCGTGACGTCGATGGCGTCCGCGATGGTCCGCGGCAGCCGTGTTTCGTCCAGGCCCTGGCACATTTCGTCCAGGGACGACTGTGTGAGGACGTACGTCTGCCCGGCGCCCCAGACGTAGCTGAGGGTGGTGTATTGTACAGGTACATCCTCCTTGGTGGCGTCGCGTTGGACGATCAAAGGTCGGCCACGCACCATGATCAGCCGTTCTGGCTGAAACGTGTGGTGTTGGGCATCGCAGGTCTTGTGGGAGCCCTTGCACGTCTGCAGCCACCCGACAGCTGTAGGTAGCCATGTGTCCTCGAACTTGGGCAGTAGCAAGCGCCGGGGAAATATCCGTCGTGGCGTTGTGTCGGCCGAGTCTTCTCGCCGTCGTCAATAAAACCGTCGGCTTCATGAGAGGCGCAGCTCACCTGATGAATCTATCACCTCAAAGGTAAGCATCACGGCGTCTTCGCCCTTCATATCTGGCAGCCGACAGCGCCACCCGCCCTTGTGCCTATCCGATGTCACTTCAATGCGGGCCTTGATCTGGTCGAACACGCCAGACACGGCGCCCGGCTCGGACTGCAAGAATTCAAGCTTGAAGTCGAGCACAGCTCCGCAGGAGAGATCATCGAGGGTGACCTGGGGGAATTCGTCGTGCTCGCCTTCCCGGGATCTGGGAAGCAGGACGTCATCTAGATGCTCGCTGTGGAGGATGCCGTTGCCGGCGCAGGCGCACCAGGGACAGCCCTGAAATATGGATGCGCTGAGCGCCGAGGCCTTCCGCGAGTAGCCAATCTCGTGTCTCATGCACCCCGACAGTTGGCTCGAAGACGACGCATCTTGCAGTCCCTTGAGCAGAGCTGCTGTAAACACGTGCTGGGTGCAAAATCGACAGAGGCCCCCTTTTTTCGGCAGTTTCCCGTTGGACCTGTGCGAGCGCGGCGGTTGGTGAGGGTACTCTCTTCTCCCTCGCCGACTCAGCATTTTAAATTGTAGAGTAATTAACGGCTGTGTTTTGAAGGTCGAGGGTGGGAGAAATTTTGCTAGTCGGGACACGTCAGGCGTAGTTGGGCACGCGATTTTGGGAAGTTGATGTCGCGATATGATTTGTCCGAGAGCAGCGCCTCACCATGTGCGGTGGTCACCTGTCCCTGCACCTGACCTAGCGCTGCATTCTGTTTCGCCCATGTTCCTTTCAAATCCTCCAGAGGATTCGAGACGGTTGCGAACGCTCTACAAATCCCAGGACAAGTCAACTCCCAGAGCTCCATGAAGGAGTCTCTAGAATACAATTTCCTCGACCACCTAGACTTGGTCCTAATTAGTTCTAGACCTAATTAGCAAACTTGGAGAATGGAACCCGCACTTCGCTTGGTTTGAAATTGCTAGTTCAGGCTAGGTTTCATTGGAAGTGATGCAGCAAAGGTCTGTCTGGATACCTACTTTGTTGGCATGGGAAACTGCAACGGTTTGCCGTTACACCAGCAGGTGTAAAACAGATACTTGCCTGGCTCTCTGGACAACAGCAGCTACAAGTATGGTCGCAACCCCCACAACAGAAAGCCCTCATAAGATTCATTATATGTCAGACGATTCATTATGTGTCAGAAGGTTCATTATATGTCAGAAAGGTAATTTTGCAAATTGCGTATGCCGAGATACGCACCTGCTAATTAGTTACGGCTTCTGGCAGGTATGGGGGCCCATAGATAGAAATTTGGCGGATACCTATCTGCCGGACGCAGTTTCTTTCCAACTCGAAGCCATCACGACCACAACTCAGCCCTTCTCGACGCGTCCTAAGCCCTGTTTTCCCGGTTTTTTCTCTCGACAATCCGCCGCCCGCTTAACAGTCTTGGACCGTCGCCCGCCATGCTCGAGCGCCAGGCACTGGGCCAGGCCGCATCGCTTGGGACCCTCTATGATGCTCGAAGTGACATCTTTATTCCTTTGTCACTCTTTAAGGCAGCGCCTCCCGTTGATGGCGATGCTGTCACAACCACCCGCGTCCCTAGTAGCAGCGTCAGGAACAGCGACAAGGACGGTCTCAACTACAAATTCTACGAACTGGGTATCAACCCTAACCTAGGTGCGAGCTACCTTGCTGGATTCCTCAATGTCAACGGGTCCGGATGCTACCTCGACGCCAAACGCGACACCCATCTCGCGGCTCACGCGTCTTTGACCTACAACCTCACGACGGTCAACGAAGCAATCAACTTCGAGGCATCCCAGTTGAAAGACACCTTCGAACTGCGTGTTCTTCAATTGGGCCTTGCAACGCACATTGTGACGGAAATCACCTGGGGCGCCCGAAGCATCGTCACGGTCCAACAGTCCCGACCGCGAGAAGACCAGGAGAATGACGACGTAATACGTGAAATCGAGGGCCACGTCAAAGGGCAGATATCACGGCTTGGCGCAGCGATATTATCCGGCAGAGACGTCGACAACCCAATCGACACCCGGGACGAATCCGATTCCTGTGGGATTGCCATCTATAGCGATCTCGATGCGGCGGCCAATGGATGCGTTCCCGTCAGCCTCGCCACCGCCTCCAGCTTCCTCAGAGACGTGCCCAAACATGTGGCAGATACCAATGACGGGAAAGGGAAGCCCGTGGCATACAAGCTACTCCCCATCTCTGAAGTTTACGCCCTTCTCGAGTGTGGCATCACATCCCATCTCACCACATCCCATCTCACCACCAACACTAACAAGCCTCTCAACCCCGACCACGCTTGGAAAATTTCTCGCGTATTTGACGTATTAGCCGATGCATACCGCCAGTTGAGGGATTATCAGTCCACGTGGCCAGAGTTCCGGGACTACGTTTCTCAACTCGATATTCAAACTGTTGACGACGATATTGAGCGGATCAGGGCTGCCGAAAAGAGCCTGCAGTCTAGTGTCGCCAGGGCGTTGATAGACGTGCGTACCGGAAAGACCGACGAGGCTTCTTTGTGGGCGACATGCGACGGCTTTTTCGAGAAAGAGGAGGCTCATTGGTCGTCAAAGAGCAGCTCGATGGAGCAGCTAGACGAGAAGATCCGAGTCATCCGTGAGCTCGTTTCCACCGGAGCAAAGTATATCGGCTTCAACGGCCTGTCGCTTGACCTTGCTCTAAGAAGAATTGCGAAAGACGTCGACGTCTATGTTCTTTACTTTTGCGACGAGGCGAGGCGTAACAACACGGTCATCTGGCAACAGAACCTCGATCTCATTCGCTACGTCCTCAACAACCACGACGATCCGGCTCGCCCCCCAGCGCGTGTAATTCTCAAAGACTGCGAGTATGTGGACAAAGCCAGGGTCGTCCTCTTCAGGAACGCTGAGAGAATCATCGACGATGTCTGGGCAGACAGACCGGAGTCTCTGAACAAATTCAGCGCACAATATTAATTGAGCGAGGGCGCCCTAGAGATTCACAACAAGGTTGAGGGGTCGGGTTGGGGTTGGGTAGGAAGGGTGATGAGATGGATTTACATCCAGTGAGTATCATGCAGTGGGATTCTTAGGTTGCTGTTACACGATGCGGGCTATACTACGGCTCTTGATTGGTGGTTAGATGCGGAGAGATTAGTCCCAGGGACAAAGATGTTTTCGGGACTCAGGAGCCGCATTCTAACGAGCTAGCATTTACCCTTTGTAATTATTTTGTAAATCCACTAGACAAGTCAGTTATACGGAAAGCTCTAGGTGGTCTTGCCAATTTTAGTTGCGGCCTGCAAGGTCAGACAGGAGGCCGTCACAAAGGGCTAAGACACCCCTATCGTTTTTCTAAGCCCCTAACTATTACTATATTATGCCTAGCGATTTCATAAACCAGCATGTAACGTACCAGTGGCTTGGAGTGCTATGAAAGTGGCCTAGCCGCAAAGAGACACTCGTAATGTCATAAACGTGGAGGGAATGATCATGTGGCTAGCTCAGGTATTCCTAGACCTAAACGTCTATTTAAGTTAAGCTACTTGCCTAAGTCCATATCCAAGGCTCATTTGTGATACCAAAAGATTTGAGAAATGTGTTTCGTAATTAGATTTCGTAGCGTATCCTTATTAGTAGTGATTCAGATGAGCCAAAGGCAGGTAGGTACCTAGCTCGCTGCCCTACGCGTCACAACTCTTGAGATTTCGCTCGCTCGCTTCCAACCCATTTCCAAGATCAAATTGCTTGACTCGACCAATAAGCACAGTATCGGCCCAAAACATTCCATGCAACGCACTCGCTTGAAACGCATGCTCGCTTGATATCGCATCAGTGGACAAGACAACCCGGTTTTTGGCGGCATGTTAAAAAAAAAAAAAGACACCACGTATATTTTACCAAGCAATTCTCATACTTGGGCCTTGCTAGAACATTCTCAGCCAGTGTCATATTCTCTCCCAGCGAGCTCCACTCCCACCCTAAGTCAACACACCAATATAACACTACATCCATGAACCTAGCAGCAACATTAAAAGCAAAAAGCAAAAACCACTCGCAGGCTTGGGGCAGCGCAGCGGCAGCAGGACGCGGGTCGGCAGCTGCTCGGGAGGTGTTGGTCCATATTATATTCGTGCTATATAACCGTGGGGCGCGGATATTCTTCCCGGCCAGGCGTTGCCGGTTGGCTTTGTGTTTGTGTTGTTTGCCTACCCCGGGCCGGGTAAATTGCCGCTGGATATTACGGCCACATAGCAAGATGGAAAAGAACCGGCCAATCCAATCCCCATCGAGCCGCCGTGGCCGTCCGTGTCTTGAGTGGTGGGGCCAACGGTCTCGTGGACGCCCATAACCCATATTATATTAGCGTGCTGTTTTGTGTGCGCAATATCCCCCCATGGAACCCGCGCATAGAAGGACAGGTGGAAAATCTGGGGTATAGTGCCTCGATACAGTGTCCCCCAGTGGTGTGGAGAGGGAGGAAAGGTCTGGGGCCCCAGGCTGCCGTGCTCCCACACATTCACTCATCTCTTTTTCGGCATGTCACCCACACACCCCTAGACAATGATCCCAAGTGAGGCCGAGCTCTACCTGCTCGGGCTTACTTGCTCACCCCATAGCAGGGCAGAGCGCTCTGCGGGTTGCGGGCCATGACGACTGTTCGAGTGCCCCGGTGTCCTCTATCCCGGCACAAGTACAGCCAGCCAAGGCAGAGGGGGGGACGGGAGGTATATATCGCGAATGCCTGTCAGTCGACTTTTTCCCCAGCTAGCTAGCGCCTGCTTGTCGTGTTCGTGCCCTCGCTCGCCCTGTGCTTCCCTCCCTCTTTCGAGTGACTACCGGCAACCCTTCCCACTGCTTGTTCTCTCCGTGTGTACATCTCGAACCACGCAAAACAAACATCAGAACTCGGATCGCCATGAAGTCAACCTTTGTAGCCACTGTGGTGGCCCTCGCCGCCAACGAGGTGGCCGGCCACGCCCTGTTCCAGCAGCTGTGGGTGGACGGCACCGACTATATATGTCTCCCCCCCTTTCTTGACCTCTCTGCGATCGCATGAACTGACACTCGCAGCACGGCACCTCCTGCGTCCGCATGCCGCAGGGCAACTCGCCCATCACAAACGTCGGCAGCAGAGACTTCATATGTAACGCCAACCCTAAGCCGGCTAGCGGCAAGTGCGGCGTCAACGCCGGGTCGACGGTGACGGTTGAGATGCACCAGGTACGAGCGCTTCTCTCGCCTTTCGACTCTTGCAGTTTGGGGAATGGCCGGGGAGACTGACAGTCAAAAAAAACAGCAACCCGGCGACCGGGCGTGCGGCAGCGAGGCCATTGGCGGGCAGCACTGGGGGCCGGTGCAGATCTATCTGACCAAGGTAGCCGACGCGGCCACGGCGGACGGGTCGACGCAGTGGTTCAAGATCTTCTCGGACGCGTGGAGCAAGAAGTCCGGGGGGCGGGTGGGCGACGACGACAACTGGGGCACGCGGGACCTGAACGCGTGCTGCGGCAAGATGGACGTCAAGATCCCGTCCGACATCCCGTCGGGCGACTACCTGCTGCGCGCCGAGGCGCTGGCGCTGCACACGGCGGGGTCGAGCGGCGGCGCGCAGTTTTATGTGTCGTGCTACCAGATCTCCGTCAAGGGCGGCGGCAGCGCCACGCCGGGCCCCCTCGTCAAGTTCCCCGGCGCCTACAGCGCGCGCGACCCGGGCATCATGATTAATATCCATTCCGCGGTCGCCAACTACATCGCCCCCGGCCCGGCCGTCTACGGCGGCGGCACCAACCGCACCGCCGGCTCGTCGTGCACCGGCTGCGAGACCACCTGCAAGGTCGGCAAGTCGCCCACCGCCGTCGCCACCCCGGGCGGCGGCTCCGGCACCAAGTCGGCGTCCTCCGCCAGCGACGGCAGCAGCAGCAGCAGCAGCAACAGCAACAGCAACAGCAACAGCAACAGCAACAGCAACAGCGACACCAGCAGCAGCGACTCGTCGTCGGCTGCGGCTGCGGCCCCCGACAACAACAGCAGCCCCAACGCGTGCTCCGTGGCCGCGTTCGGCCAGTGCGGCGGCACCGGCTACACTGGATGCACTTCGTGCGCGGTAAGCCCTCTCAGCATCCCTTCCACAAACGGCGAAATGTTTCTCGACGCTGACCGTGATCGTTGGTTGCGTAGTCTGGCTTCACTTGCAAGGACGTCTCGGCACCGTACTACTCGCAGTGTGTTGCTTCGGCTTGAAGGAAGGAAGGAAGCCAGCACGATGAGAGGCTGAGCCGTCCTGTATTGATCTTGTAGCGTTGTGACGGTGTAGCGGTTGTTGTTGATTTTGTCGTGTTCGAGACTTGCGGAAACCGCACGTGGTAGGAATCAGCAGCAGTTCGGTGGAACGGGTGGTGTGTCCGCAACCCTAGAGAGTGAGATGAGGCCGACGTCGGTGTGCATTGCATTCATTAGCTGTATATATTCAAGCATCCATTTTGAACCAGATCCCTCATTTCTGGCTCGTTGGCGACGAAATAAAGAGTGCAATTCGACGGCGATCTGCCAGCGAGCTGACCGACATAGAATTAGATGGCCATAAAGCGGAGACATTTCGCATAGATGGAATGGCAGTGTATAAAATGAGCAATGAGCGCAACCGTAGGGAGTGAGCAGGAAAAGGAAAACACGGCAGGCTGAAGAGAGCAAGGGGACATGGGCTTTGGGCTTGTTTTGGGCCAGGCAGAACGTGCGTAAGACTCGCCAACTGGCCAAAGTGGAAGACGAGAACCGGCGCCAGAGACAGAAGCCTAGGGCTAAAGCCATCCTGAGCCTCATGCTCAACGCACTTTTGGCCACTCTGGTTGAATATGTAACTTTCTCGTTCGTTTGGCGATTCGACAAAAGAACTGCATCTTGTCAACGCAAGGCAATTGGCTGTTTGACCCGGAGCCTCTGCGGCGACCGTCATCTTAAAGCGCATATATACACAGGGCGGCCAGTTTCCCGTAGTAGGGCAGCATTTGCATGCCCCATCTCTCACCATTGCCGTCAGCCGGCCCCTTTACTCACCAGCTCTCGAGCCTTACAAGTCCTTCTTGCCCAGGCGCTCAGCCTCCAGTTCCCTCTCCGCTTGCTGGTAGTACTTGGCCGTGTCGACGCCGTGCTGGTTGTGGTTCACAAAGTTGAACCAGGGCAGGATGGCGATGAAGAGAGCCGAGTACCGCGATTGGCGGGCCGCAGTGCCCTGCATGGCTGGCGTCAGCTGGCTCTCGCCGTAGAGCGTCTGGCCGGCCTTGAGCCTGTCCACCATCTCGCGCATGTCCATCTTGACCTCGCGCGAGTTCTCGCTCATGCCGTAGAACCGGACTGCAGGCGGCAATTAGCGTAAGGGCCCGAGAGAGAAGAAGGCTTGTGGTGGAGGGGGAACCACGCACGGATAGAGCGCTGGTAGAAGTAGAGGAAGCCGCCGCATGCGCCGATAAACCCTGCGAGACGCATGCCCTGGGCAAGGCCGCCCTTTCCCACGCGCGTCGGCGAGACCTTCTCGAGGCCGTAGAGGAGGCCGGGGGCCAAGGCGGCGGCGACAACGCCGTGCGCATAGTCGGACGGCCGGGCATACCGCACTACGCGCTTGAAGTGTCTGCGCAGCCAATTGGGTCAGACACGGATCGGGAGGGAGAGCTGGTCTCGTGGGGAGCGAGCAACATACGGGTCATTGTCGATGAGCTGGTTGAGGCGATTGGCAATGTCAGCGAAACTCGGCGAAACGGGCGCACGTCACGACAGCGAGGGGCGATTGAACTGGGTGCACGCCACTCACGGGAAAGTCGGCCTTGACCGTCTTGCTGGGAAACTGATACGTCTGGGTCGGCGTGTTCGACATCTTGGCGGCCGACGGATGCGTCGTCGAGCGGATCACGAATGCGCTGAGCTGGGCAATTGAGGTCCCGAGTCTGATGTCAAATGGAGCTTCCTGGATCCGGAGCTCGAAACTGTCGGCGCCTGAGGCTGCCGTATGCGCCACTAATCGACGCCACGCCGTGCACAAGCCAGCCACTAAGCTGCTGAATTTTAGTAAAGTTCCTTCTCAGCCTTTCAAACAAGCTCAACCCTTCACCTTTCAAGGGTTACGAGCACGATCAGATGGTATTTAAGAGATGGTATTTGGACGGTTGCATTTGGTATATTGATAGACCGTAGAGTTGAGAAGACAAACTCCCCAAGAGTCTTCAGGATGGTGCAAGCCCTGTAACCATCCACAGCCAAAGCCCCACTTTTACCGCAAAGCCGTCAGGTGCGGTGCGGTGCAGCCCCGCGGTGGCCAGTTGACGCGACTTTCGATGCACCCAGCGCGTCGCGTTTCCAATCCCACCGTCGCGTTTAAATGATGAAAGCAACCGAGGAAGCCAAACAACGCAACCTCCCCAACAGCCAACCCAACAAACCTGCCAACAATGCCTTCAAAAACGAACCCCAAGTCTGCAGCCGCCGCTGCACTAAACAGAGAGGCCGACAGCAATGCCTTCATCAACGAATACCTTGCAGACTGGGACAATGACGACCCTTTCGCTTCCGACACGCCTGAGCCCGCCTCCGCCCCACAAAAGGCCGACAATAAAGGCAAGAAGACCGACTCTCTCGGCATTGACGAACAGATCGACTTGACGAGAAAGCCGCGCGCCCCCCGTGTGAAGCTGGACGAGACCCGGTTGGTAGCTTCGCCTTGCTTCCCCGCAAGCCCCTGGCTAACTTCTGGCCTCTTAGCCTGCTGTCGGAGAAGGGCATCCCCAAGCTGCGCAAGATGGCACCACGCATCAAGTTCAAGGGGAAAGGGCACGAGGTACTTTGCTCTCCCAATTGTGCACGGCTACAAGCTTGCTAAGACGTGCTGCACAGTTTTCCGACGCCTCTCGCCTGCTTTCTTTCTACCAAGAGTGGTTGGACAACCTCTTCCCCAAGGCCACCTTCTTAGACGCGCTTGCGATGGTCGAGAAAGCGGGACACAAGATTGTAATGCGCAATGAACGCCAAAGGTGGATTGACGAGGGGAAGCCGAAACCGACAATCGAGGACGTGGACGAAGACCACCAAGACCAGCGTTCTTCGGCCCCAAGGCAGCCAAGCCGCATTGCGCCCATATTCGAGCAGATGGCTGGCCAGGACCGAGCGGGAACCCCCGCAGCAGACGACCTGTTCGGGGACGACGATATCTACAATGCAACTCCGAGGGGCAGCACAGGGCCCTCCAGACAAGCTGCCCAGGAAGTTCCAGATGACGATGACTTAGATGCTTTGATGGCCGAGGCAGAATCCAACACATTGCAACCCCCCAAGGGACCCAGCACGACTACTCCGTCCTTTGGTAGCATCTTCGGTAGCGGGTCTAACAACCGATCTGCGCAAGCGTCTAGCGGTGAACCTGACGATGACGATCTGGACGCTCTGATGGCTGAAGCAGAGACATCAACAGCTACCTCCAAGCCCAGCCAATTTGCAGCAAAGGGCAGCATTTTTGGAAGCAGAAATACAGCGCAGAAGGCCACGCAGGACAGAAACGCCGACGAGGAGCATGATAACGACCTGGATGCACTCATGGCCGAGGCCGAGGCCGAGGCGCAGGCGGCGCCTTCAGCATCTGGCAATAGAGTCACGCCGGCCGACGGGAATGGCAATATCGCTAGAATGGACAAGGCAAAGAATCCCGGAGGGACTACCGACCAGGACAACGCAGATGATCTTGATGCACTGATGGCGGAGGCAGAAGCCCAGGCGCTATCAACCACCAATACTACTGCGCCGCCAAAAGACTCCAACCAGCGACCTCAAACTTTTGACGACGACGAAGAGGCAATGGCCGAGATGGATGGGCTATGGTGAGATGCGAAATTGGAAGCTCATTTTTTGGCCAGCATGCCCCGACTGTCGAAATGGCGCAAAATTTAATCCGACGTCGCGGGTGGGGGCTTCAAAAACCGGCGAGTCTGCACGCCGGCCAACGGTTGGAACGAGAGCAAAAAAACCGGAGCAGCGGGTGGGTGGACCGGATCAGCAGAGAAATGCCACGCAAACTGGCAGCTGGAAGGCCAACAACAGCAAGTGAGCAACCAAAAAACTGAAGACTCTGTTCAGTTGCGCGACAACGATTTTGGCAATTTCGTGGTCATGCACTGATGCCGCTGTAGGAAGTTCCCGTCTCCCCACGTTCGTTGTGCACGAACGTAAACATTCCGTCGAGCAACCGAGCGCCATTCGCCCTGCTAATGCGACTCAACGCACGCGTTACGCGGTATAATTGGGCAACAACAAGATAGACATGAGAGCAAGCAAAAATTTGGTCCGACTGGGGCTTGAACCCAGGACCTTCGCATATTAAGAGAGTTTAAGCTCGTATATAAGAACGATGTGATAATCCAACTACACCACCGGACCTTCTTTCCTTGATCCTCTTCACATGTTGATTCCATTCTAAACCGACTCTCCACATGGAGAGTTTCACTGTTTCAGGGGTCCAACGGCGCCAACGGTCCAACAACGCGGCGGTCCTGGCTGAGATGTTCCAGCGGTGCCCCGTTTCAGCCCCACCTGCGCCGCATGTACCCTAACCCGATCGGAGCGGCACTGCCTTACCCCACATTCAAGCAAGGTTCAGCTGGGCTTGGCTTTGGCGGGGTTCTGTTTGGCACGAGCACCATTTCCAGCTCCACCACAGCACCGAGCACCAAACTTGCCATCAAAGAACAAGGTTGTCCGGTGACCAGTCGTGTCCAGATATCGCCAACATGGCGTCCGAAGTTGGTGATGCCATGAGTCGGCTTCAGTTGGCAGGTCTCAGCTCGCTTGAAGAAATTGACGACATCCTCTTCCAACCCGACGCCCGAGCACCACGAACGGACGATGGAGGGACAGATGCCGACGAGCTACGAAAAGCCCTCGAGGCGAAATACCTGACGCCGTCAACCACATTTTCTACCGAGTGGCTGAACCGGCTACAGCAGCGCTGGGAGACGCCTAATGATCCGTCTCTCCTCTTCCGCATCGCACCCCCCCAGTCGCGCACCGTCACGCGTTTCATTCGCCATGGCCTCGAAGGACGTGTCACCGGCTACCGCAACGTCACCGTGCCGGCCTCGCACGCGACCGCTAAGACGAGCACCTCGATGATGCGCAAGCCCGCGGGCCGCGCCGACTTTGTACGCGGCGCGGCCGGCTTCTTTCCCTTCGCGCCCGGCGGTATTGACGGCATCGAGTCGACGGCTGCGCTCGAGGACCAGCTGCGCATATCATCCGCCGATGCAGACGAAGGGGGAGATTCCAAGAAGAAGCTCGAAAAGATTATCAAGATCGGCTCTGTTGGGGGCCTCCTCGAGGTTGCTCCTGGCTTGTCGAGGGGTATCGATTTCAGCAAACGGACGAAGTCTGCGGATGCCGAAACGGAGCGGCAGGAGAAGGAGCTCGAAGAGGTTCTCGATCAAGAGCCGGTAGATGCCCCAGATGGAGAACTGGAGGACGGCGGACCCCCGGCGGCCAATGGCGCTGCCAAGGATCAGGACCAGGATGATGATGAACAAGACGTGGAGGATATTGACGCCATGCTGCCCGTCGAGTTTCCCGCGTTTGAACCCCGTGGCACCCTCGCAGCGTCCAGTGTTAGAAAGGCTGGCCGCGAGTGGGCGCACATGGTTGAAATCAAGCGAGAGATGCCAAACTTCCGGGAGTTGGTGCCTGACATGGCCAGGGAATGGCCTTTCGAGCTCGACACGTTCCAGAAGGAGGCCATCTACCACCTTGAGAACGGAGACTCGGTGTTCGTGGCCGCACATACCTCGGCCGGCAAAACAGTTGTCGCCGAGTACGCTATCGCCCTGGCTGCGAAGCACATGACCAAAGCCATCTATACTTCGCCCATCAAGGCGCTTAGCAACCAAAAGTTCCGCGACTTCAGACTCACGTTCGACGAGGTAGGCATCTTGACCGGAGATGTACAGATCAACCCTGATGCTAGTTGCCTCATCATGACGACCGAGATTCTACGGAGCATGCTCTACCGCGGAGCCGATCTAATCCGCGATGTCGAGTTCGTTATCTTTGATGAGGTGCACTATGTCAACGATTTTGAGCGCGGTGTCGTCTGGGAAGAGGTCATCATCATGCTACCGTCGCATATATCGCTCATCCTCCTGTCGGCCACTGTCCCCAACACTCACGAGTTCGCATCCTGGGTGGGACGGACCAAGCAGAGGGATATATATGTTATCTCGACGCCAAAAAGACCTGTGCCCTTGGAACACTACCTATGGGCCGGCAAGAACATCCACAAGATTGTGGACGCGGACAAAAAATTCATCGAAAAGGGTTGGAAGGACGCCGATGCCGCGGTTCGTGGCAAGGGCAAGCTTAAGGCGGCTGATTCGCCAGCTTTCCGTGGTGGTGGTAATGCACGCGGCGGCGGTCCTCGGGGTGGTGCACAGCGGGGCGCAAATCAGCAACGAGGTGGCAGAGGCGGCGGGCCGCAACGAGGAAGAGGCGGGCCGCCTCGCGCAAGCCATACCCCTGGACACATGGGCCGGACAGGTAGACAGGGAGGCTTCACGTCAGCTGCCCAGGACAAGACCCTTTGGGTGCATCTGGTCCAGTTCCTAAAGAAAGAAACCCTTCTGCCCGCCTGCATCTTTGTATTCTCCAAGAAGCGATGCGAGGAGAACGCCGATGCCTTGAGCAACCAGGACTTCTGCACCGCAAACGAGAAGAGCGCCGTCCACATGATTATTGAGAGATCAATTGCGCGTCTGAAGCCAGAGGACCGGGTTCTTCCCCAAATCATCCGCCTACGCGATCTCCTCGGACGGGGTATTGCCGTTCACCACGGCGGGTTGCTCCCCATTGTGAAGGAACTTGTGGAAATACTATTCGCACAGACCCTAGTAAAGGTTCTCTTCGCCACCGAGACCTTTGCCATGGGCCTGAACTTGCCGACGAGGACTGTCGTCTTCTCCGGGTACCGCAAGCATGACGGCCATTCGTTCCGGAATCTACTCCCCGGGGAGTATACCCAGATGGCTGGCAGAGCAGGGAGACGTGGTCTCGATACTGTCGGCTCCGTCATTATCGTTCCGCCGGGCGGGGACGAAGCTCCCCCCGTCACCGATCTCCGTCTGATGATTCTGGGCGAGCCTAGCAAGCTCCGCTCACAATTCCGACTGACGTACAACATGATTCTCAACCTTCTACGCGTGGAGGCGCTCAAGATCGAAGAAATGATTAAGCGTAGTTTCTCCGAGCACGCCACGCAACAGCTGCTCCCTGAGCACGAGAAGGCTGTGAAGGTGTCCGAAGCGGACTTGGCAAAGATCAAGAGAGACGCGTGCGCCACCTGCGATGTGGACATGGACGAATGCCACCAGGCTGGAGAGGACTTTAAGCAGCTCACCGAGGACTTGTACCGCGGAATGCTGGCCATACCCATCGGCCGCAAGATGTTCACCCAGGGACGACTCATTGTGTGGATGAAGGACGGCGTGCGCACTCCTGGCATACTGCTTGCAGAAGGGGCCAGCGTCAAGAGCAGCGCGGCCAGCCCCACCTTCCACGTTCTTGAGATCAAGACAAACAGGGAGGTCCGCAACGATACGGACCTGCTCCCCTTCATCCCCTCGTTGCGCAAGCACTACACCCCTTTACCCCAGAACAAGAAGCACATTTTGACCAAAACTCTTCATGTGCCTCTGGCCGATCTCGTTTGCCTTACGAGGCATGTCACCAAGGGTGTTCTTCCCGACATCTTTGGCGGGGAAGGCTACCCCAAGGCGAAGGACATCCTGCATCACATCTGCAGGTCGTGGACGACGGACATATGGGACGAGATGGATCTTAGCAGGATCAAGAGTCTTTATATGCACGACATCATGAGCAAAAGACGAGAAGTCGAAGCCAAGGTGTCCCGCTCCACGGCCGCGACATGCCCCCAGTTTCTCAAGCACTATGCCATGTGCCACGACCAGTGGCTCATCAAGACGCAGATTGAACAGCTGCGGCAGATGCTGTCAAACCAGAATCTTCAGCTGCTCCCCGACTACGAGCAGCGCATCCTGGTCCTCAAGGATTTGTCATTCATCGACGACGCTAGCCGCATCCTGATCAAGGGGAAGGTGGCATGCGAGATCCACTCAGGCGACGAGCTCGTGCTAACAGAGCTAATCCTCGACAACGTGCTAGCTGACTACGAACCAGCCGAGATCGCCGCGCTGCTCTCGGCTTTTGTGTTCCAGGAGAAGACGGGCTCGGTGCCGACGCTGACAGGCAACCTCGAGTGCGGCATGAAGACCATCATCGAGCTGTCGGAGAAGGTCAACAACATCCAGACGGTGCACCAGGTCATCCAGTCGTCCGAGGAGAGCAACGACTTTGCCAGCAAGCCGCGCTTCGGCCTCATGGAGGTCGTCTACGAGTGGGCTCGCGGCATGAGCTTCAAGAACATCACAGGCCTGACCGACGTGCTCGAGGGCACAATCGTCCGCACCATTACCCGCCTCGACGAGACTTGCAGGGAGGTCAAGAACGCCGCCCGTATCATCGGAGACCCGGAGCTGTACCAGAAGATGGCCGCCGCGCAGGAAATGATCCGCCGCGATATTACCGCCGTGGCCAGCTTATACATGTGATGTACATAGCGCCGGCTCGGTTGTATCGCAGCTACAAAAGGATTGTGATTTCCCCCAGGACTAGGTGTAGGAATAGATAGATGACAGAAGGTGTCCAAACGCTTAGTTGGGAGTAGACACTTGCCTCGACTTTATTATTTAGCTCCCTAGATATCCCTGTAGAGTTTCTGACAAATTTGACGATGTTATGACTACAATCAGTCTTGCATTGACACATTGCACTCTCTGAGTAGCCAAGGTTTGTCTGCTTTCTAGCACAGAGGGCGTGTGACTAATTAGTTCGTTGATGGCCGAACATGACCCAGCTATTGGGATTTGATTCTTGTTGTTGCCGATGAATTGCCCGTCCATGGTGTATACATGCAAATGGATACCTCAGCCAACTGTTTTTCCCATCTTTGTTCGAGCTGACAAGATCACACAGCAAGGTTCAGCCGTTAACCTTGTAGCACACTCCATTATCATGAGATACCAAGTACCTGAGGCAAGATACTTCCCATCGAAAGGTAACTTCAGGTAGGCAAGGTAGCGAGGCTTATGACGACAGGGTCTAGGGGAGGAAGTTTACATTTTGAATACACATTGGAGACATACAAACTTCAGGTTAAGATTCCAAACGGAAAAAGTCAAATAAATCCCTTGCCAAACAAAGATGTTGAAAGAGATAGAGTAGGTTGTAGAGAGTAGGTAAGATTAGATAATACGGAGCTTGCGTCATTTCTATCAAACCTATATATAGCAATACCGTTTTACAGGAAAAAGAAAGAAAAAAGAGAAAGAACCCATGAGGGGCCACACCGAAGCGGGAAAATAAAAGAAAGCCCCCTTTCAAAGACAGGGACAGTGTAGCTGTTATTCAACGAGATGATTGATGCTACGATAAATGCTATATACCACATCATTCCCTTGAGGATCTTCATCATATCCTCGTTTATCCACACTACCATCTTAACCTAGGTTACCTACCTACCTGCCTACCTACCTCCCCACTTGCCCAAACGCCGCGAGTCATGAAAGAAAAAGAAAAAGGAAAAGGAAAAGAAGAAAACGGTTACAAACTTTGAAGCTAATTTGTTGCGTCGCCTGTAATGTTAGACATCTTCTCCGACACAAGGGTTTCTGACCATCTGTATTCTGTCCCCGTCTTGTCTGTTTGTTCGTTCACTCTCGTAAATAGGGATGCACCCCTGTGCCTGGCGCCTGGTACTGTACAGCACTCCTCCCTGCACGCAGACAAAGAGCGTTGTCCGCTTCCCCAGGCCCCGTAGGCTAGCTGCTGCTAACTATCTCTTTCCTGTTCTGTTACTTCGTCTAACCACCTCGTAGGCTTAGATTTGTATAGAAGAGAGAATAGAGGTAGAAGCCCGCCTACTGCGCATCATACAGACCGTGTTTAGGTCTTCCCCCGCCGGGGTTGCGCACCCTCATCAAGCCCGCAGAGCGCGCAGGCGCTGCTGGAGGGCGTCCTCCTCCTCGGGGGTGGGCTCGGCTGTGGTAGCCATCTCGCGCTCGGGGTCCTCGGTGCTGGCGTTTGCCGTGTTGAGCTCGGAGCTGAGCTCGACGCCGGCGTCGTCGGCGAGCTTGCCGAGCAGCTCGTGGACGGCGTCGTCGCTGACCTGGACGCTGGTGCTCTGGGTCATGGCGTCCTGGTAGATGCCGTTGGCCATGGCGTACTCCTCGTTCTGCGTGCGGAACTGCTCGAGCGTCACGAGCGTCTTCTCGGGGTTCGCGTTGCGCTGCGCCCGGCTCATGGTCCGCGACGACTGCGCCATCATGGCCGTCATCCGGTTCATGGCGTTATTGGCCTGGATCTGCGCCACCGATAGCTCCGCCATGTCCGCCGCCTGGTCCATCTGCGCTGCGATCGCCTGCTTGGCCAGCAGCATGCGCGCCTTTTGCGCCGCCTGGCCCGTCTCGCCTTTCTTGAGCAGCTGGAGGTTGGGGGGTGAATGGGTTAGCTCGTTTGGTCTTCTGTTCGGTGTGGCGGGTTTATGTCGACGGTCTAGAATCCCGGTAGAGATGGAGGTGGAGGTGGAGGGTGAAGCGATGTGGCGACAGTCAGCGGTGACGTACATTCTGGATCTGCTTCTTCAGCTCATTGTCCTGTTTCGCAGCCTTTGCGGCTTCGCGGCGGGCTTGCTTCGCGTTGAACTATCGCCGGGGCTATCGGTTAGTATCTTGCGGCATGGTAGGGAGGGGCGTCCCAACGGTGTTATCCTTAGTTCCCGGGGCCTCCGTTTGCTCTACCGGATGCGCTGGGGGGCTGGATGATGGAAGGGTGATGGACGGGACGGGGAATGAGGGGCATTCGAATCGCATACCCTCGCCTGAAACTCGGTTTGCATGTCCCGAGCAAGTTGTCGATTTGCCATGGTCGCCGTCGGTGTCTGTTTGGCTGCAAAAAGAGAAGATGGTAGTGGAGCGCGGAGCTGGAGTTGTTTCGGCCGCGTGTCGTGTCTTTGTCGCTCGGTAACGTTGGGGCCTGCGAGGTTGATTCAGTGGCGGCCTTGATGCGGCGGCAGCTGAGTGCGAGTGCGGGCGAATGCGCCCCTCCAGGCTACAGGGGGGCAAACCGCGGCTTCCTGATTGGGCCACAGAACCCCTCCTGGACGGGTCCCTGCACAAGTGGCGCACCATGACGCAGGTGTGGCTGGTGCAGTGAACATTTTGTTCCGATTCTGCCTGCGGAAGCCACAGGGCAGGCCTATCCTGCCTCGGAATCATTGAACTTTCTGAAATTCGGAAGGGGTCTGGCTAGTCAGACCGACCTTAAGTGTACATACCTTAGGCATGAAGGTTTTTTCTTCTCCCTCTGAACCGCGGCCTCGTTCGAGTTTGAGAAGCCTCTCGCAAAATCGGGCAAACCCTTCCCGATCTTTTCTAATTTCCCCGACAAAGCACGAGCCGACTTAACAAAGTATTTCTGGACTTCAGTCCCGACCGCAGCAACCTCCAAGACGCCGTCCCATGAACGGCTTCGGCAACATGGCCTCGATGCGCAAGCTCAATGTCCAAAGTTTTCCGCGCCCCCCCGTAGTGGAACGTGTCATGCGGCACATCCAGATAAAGTGGCACGGCCAGCTTATTGCGGATTGTGCGCCCGGCGATGCTTTCATGGTCCTCGAGACCCATCACCCGCCTGGTAGGTTTCCCGTTCCCCTCTAGGTTCCTCTAGCTTCTTCCTCTGTCCCCCTCCCCCCCCCCACCCAAAGCTTTTCGAGCGCTCTTCTAGCTGCGAAGTTGCTGCTGTTGAGCGAGCCTGCCTCCGCCTGCACGGCCGGGAACTAACTACCACTTACCTCTGCCTCCCGCTTCTTATTTATGCTTTCTTTACTTTACCTGTCCTTCTCCCAGTTAAGGGCAATTGGTGGCTGACCCGCCCGGTTCTACTCCATACAGTATACTACCTCCCTGCCATCCAAGTCCGCCTACCGCTCGCGACCACCCCCCGTTCCACCTTTGACGAGCACAAGGGCGCTGCGACTTACTACTCTATGATGAGCCCAATAAGTGCCGCCGATACCGTCATGAACCGAATCTGGTCCTACAACGACCCGCCAAAGGAGTACGAAGCCATCAAGGGCTATCTCGCCTTCTCGCCCGGACCCTGGGAGTGCTATGTCGACGGCGAGAGAGCCGGCGCGGCGCCAGGCGACTACCACGGCGGCTGGGTAACGAGCGACATTGAGGGCATAGTGACCGTGAGGGAACAACAGTGGCCACAGCAATGGAGCCCTACCATGTACGGTTGAGTGTTGGAATACCAACAACCCAAACTTCCTCGGACAGACTTTCTCGGACTGCCGATGAAGCTTCTTGCATCCTGCATTGGGGGGACGTTATCTTGAACAAAAGGCAAAACAGCAACGGCATTAGCGTTTTACGAGAGAACATGCAAAAAAAAATAGCGAATGGAAGTAGACTTAATGGAGAGGGAAAGGTTGGCATCGGAGCGACGGTTGAGCATATTATAGAACAGAGATGGGGCCTCGAGGCCAAGCTTGCAAGGAACATAGAAAACAAGCAAATCTCACTCCAGCCACAGGAGGTGTCTTTTCCCTATTTTGTTCCATGCTTGAAGGTCGCCAGTGGCACGGCATGATCCACCTAATATATCTCTGATCGGGCGCTGCACGCGAGGCTCGTGATAACTCTAACGCAGGCAGCCTACCGCGTATGATCGGCCCCTAGAAACAGAATGCGATCTCCCGATGCAGTATGCCGCTTGACATTACCCCAGACTATTCTTGACGCCCACAAGTTTTTCCACGGCATGGGAGTAGCGCGGCAACATGGAATACATACACACAGAGCCCGGCACTAGTCTCGAACTCAAATGGGGGGAAAACGGAAGCTCACTCAGCATTTGGCGATGCCCGCCCCGGCCGTCCGGTGGTATTCCGTCGGGCCCATCAACCGTTGGGCAAGCCGCCTGGGGAGGGGACATCCGCAGCGTCGCCCGCCCGCCCACGCCCACGTCGACGGGCCAGTATCCACTGGTCCGGTGGATGGCGCCAAACCGACGCTGTGGAGTAGGGGTCGAACGTGGCCGCGAGCACCCTGGAGAGGGGAAGGCTCCAAAAAGCCCGGGATGGGAGGGCGACAGAAAGCAGAAGGGCGCGCGCGTAGACGGGCGGCGGCCCGCTCGGTCGCTGGCCAGAGAGCAGTGGCTTGGCCTTTTGGAAATTGCTGCAAGTGAAGCCAGCCAGCGCAGCGCTGGGGAAGAAACCCCACCCAGCTGCGACAAGCCGTTCCATTTTCTCCATTCCCCCCTCCGCCGTCCGATTCGGCCACCCCAGAAAAGAGGCTAGTACCGTCATTCCGTAGTGCTGTTCCGTCGTAGCAAGTGGCATGGTGTCCGCGCAAGGTTGCCCGCTGCTTCCCGCTGCATCATTGGGGGCGCCGATCCAATTCGATCCGTCTCATCCGTTCTGCTCTGCTCGGGGCCGATCGAGTTGGCGGGTTGAACGGATGGGCGAATAAACGGATGGATGAATGGGCTAACCAATGTTCGAAAATCGAATTAATAAGGTCTCTGTCAACAAAGGGATAAAAAGGGACGTCACCGATGGGCCGAGTTGAGGGAGAATGGGGGAGCGAACAAATTCCATGTTTGCCAACAAAAGAAAAAGGAAAAAGAATTTTCCAGCGAGCCGCCGAGCCCGGGCGCGGGCTCGGATTGGATTGGATCGTTGCCCTGTCTGGGCGAGGGGTGTGACGTGACGGGCAAGCCACAAACAGACAAGTCCTTCGGATCAGCCGTCGATCGTCCGAGCGATCGGTCTTTGCTTATTTCTTGGAGGGAGGCGGCGCGGGGGCTAGAGAGGAGCAAAAAGCCCCTGAACCTCGAAACCACAATGAATGGTAATGTCGTACGTGCCACCTGCTCCGTACCACGCACGCTCAGATCTACTTGGCAGATCAACGGCCCGTTTTGCGTCTCGAAGAGAAAGAGAAGCCTTCTCCCACTACAGACGGGAAAGGTTACTAGCCACCTTGTGCGTCCGCTGGGCCCTCCCAACATGGAAGACGTGGTGGCCGAAGCTTTGAAGAGTCGAAAACATAAAAACTATCCGTATCTGGCAAACAGGCGGCAATTGCTCTGCCGGGGCGTTGGAATGCGGGATGACGGCTGAGCTCAGCCAACTGGCGTCTGGCTTCGCATCTCACCTGCGTTAGTGTACCGTCCTTTCAGGTGGTGATGACTGAGACAAACAAGAAACACAACCGTCTCGGTCACACTACTGGTTCGAGCGCGACGATTCGCTAGCTGCCCTGGCTGCCCTGGCTGAAAAAAAATGTTTCCAAGAACCGGCGAAGGGATGAGGAGGAGGCTCAATAAGGGCGGCCAGAACAGGCCGGGGAAGGATTAACCTTTGCACATACCTCCTGCTCCTCGTCTCCTTTACTACTCGTGGATGAGGTAGGCAGGTTTTTTCTGGCTGTATCAATACTGGCACCGTGCAGTGGCACACTCGACTCTCGATTACTATACCACTCAGTGGCATATGATTTCCTCCCAAAGTCTACCTATTCTACATGTTTCGTGGTAGCCGAGGCCATAACGTGCCCTCCCCCAGCAGCCACGCAACATCACCGACCGGTTATCTGACCTTCCTAATCGCACAAAGTAATCGTACAACGAAGGACTGCCTTCATGCAAGAGAAAAAGATGCAAGGCGGACAACAACCCTGGAGAAATTCTGAGGTGAGGGGACTATGCGCTAAAAGTCTAGTCTCGTCGCCGTTGCCGTCAGTTATCATGGACAAGAACATGCTCCGCCCTCTAGCGGGGGTCGAGCTAGACTTTGTAGATAGAGACTAGCACAAAGCATCCCCTAGAGACATAGATAGGTAGATTAGCGATTCCGGGGATTCTTGTCGCATCGACACAACGTCCAGGGCGAGGCGTTACGAGGCACAGTCGCAAAGGCACTTGCGACTTCCCCAATCCGACTGGAGGGCACATCCGTATCCATGTCCACTAATCCAGGGAGGAAGTGGTTTTGGGCGGGCGGCCAAAGCCGGAGGCTCGCTCGCCTCTCCCCGCCTTCGACTACTTTCATGCCTTATTGCACCCGATCGGCCAGACGCATGTCGGAGGGAAGATTAAACAACCAGGCACCTTCTAGAAGGTCCAACTCGCGGTAATTGGCGAGAGCACCAATGGCAATAATGGGGACAGGTCCATGGTTGGTAGAGTGGCTCGGGACCATCCTCCGCAATGCGCGCCCGTCTCTTAAGCCTGCCAAAGGCTTAATTCGTAAGGTGGACGTCTGGAGTAATTCAGCCTGATCCACGATGGCCTCGTGCACCCGGGGGGCAACTCTGCGAATAGATTGCAGCGGCTTGCAAAAGCCGGAGGCTGGCATGGCATATGACATGGCATGGCATTGTCAATTGGAGACCGTCGCAGCTGGCGGCCCGCCGAGTCTCCCGATTTCGATCCTGTGCCATTGAGTCCGATCAAACCGCGAGGGTCAGATACAGATTGCCCTCTTGACCCGGCACTCTTAACGGATGGAGCCCTAATATCAGCAAAAAGATGGGGCGGAGACTTTTTTTTTTTTAAACCTCTGCACCTGCGATATTGGCCGGCAGCAGACAAAATAATCCTGTTACTCAGAGTGTGATGTCGGCCGAAACCTTTTTGAGATGAAGTCGATTCAGCCAAGGTCAAACTCGGCCGTCACGCAATTCCAACACCCGACTCGGCATCAGCCCCCCATCCCCCATAGGTCTCTCTTTGTGCTTCTTCCCGCTTCGATGCTCCGTCCGACCTCCTCTGGTCACACACGGGCTCCATCAAAGACAGTTTAATCGTGCAGCCGGAACCTTCTCGGATCCGGGCGTTGCAATCAACTCGAGGCCAAACCCGCCCGCGGGAAATGCTAGACGAATGAATAAACACCCTCTCCGCATGAGGCGACAAGACAAGCCTATAGCTCCGCCCGGCATTGTCGGAGCTGTCATCGTCAGCCCAAACTCGTGATGATGGAGTGCGTGCAAAGGTCATTGGCCTGCAACCACTGGCCGTGCCCTGTGTGGAACAACCCCTGAGCTAAGTTTAGAGTGTAATTGTCCTCGGGCCTGTTAAGAGGCTTATCAGCCCAATGTGGCGAGGCCCATACTGTGCTGTTAAGTGGTGGAGACCGAAACTCGGGTCGGGGCCTAATGCGGTTGGAGGTCCAGCCCACCAGGCCTTTCGGCCCAGCCTTCGGTGCTCTGGCTGAAGAACAATGGAATGGAAATGGAATGCGGAGTCGGGACCAAAACCCGCTGGCTGCACAGCCGCCACCCCCCTGAATTCGACCCTTTGTTCCAGTGGCCTGCGGGCGGCCATAGGAGGATTTTGGCACGGGCAGTCGACGGTGCGAGGCAGTGACAGAAGCCCTGCCCTCCTCTGGGTCCCCAATGAAATCCGTATCCAAAATGTCGAACTACGGCGTGGTATGTTTCTGCTTCTTGCAAATCCGCCCCCGCCTCCTTGCATTGGTGAAGTTGTGGCCACCACTCGATCATTGCCCTTTCCTCGCTGCCATGCCTTGCTTTGCAATGCTCAGTGGAGGGTGGAAGGTGGAGGGTGCAATCCATGGATTGTGGATCTGACCTGCTTGGGGAGGTCGCTGCGGCCCCCTTGGGCCTGGGCGGACTCATCATCCGAGCCCTGGGCCTTCCCTGTTTGGAATGTTAATTTGGGTGTGACCCGTTCGCCAGGTCCGCCAATCACAGCGCCCGCCTTGGGCTCCTTCTCCTTCGGCTCCCTATACGTACCGGCTTCTGCCTCAGGCACCAGCCCCTGAAGAGAATACGTGGCCAAAAGATAAAAGCAGTGCGTCCTCCCACCCGATCTCCCCATCTAACATCCAAGTCTAGCAGCCCCCATCCAACCACTGCCTTCCCCAGCATCGTCAAAAGGACACTCTGTCCTCACCCCCCACACAGCCAACCAGCGTCGCTGCCTGTTTCACGCTCTAGCTATTGACTCACGCAAACCAGCGTAACTGAGTCACGGACTCGCGGCCTTTTCGCAATGCGCAGCCCTTGACAATTTCGCTCCCTGACGTATTTGTATTGAGGAACTAGGACGGCACCTCTTACAGTCAACCTAAATTTGATCTGCAGCTCGCTCGTTGTTTGTCGACGCATCGCGCCAATCAAGCTCGCAGCAGAATTGAACAAGTCCTCCTCGTGTGTACCCAGTCCAGCCATTCGACACCGTCGCCATGGATTCCTGGACCGCCCACACGCCGTCGCCCAACCTGAAGTTTGAGAGCTCGCCCACCGAGTCTCTGCTCTCGACACCGAGCGAGATGTACCCGTCTTTGTTTGGCACCGATTCCTCCTCGGCCGTCAACCCCCTCGAGATGATGACGCCGAGGTCGTACTCCGAAGACCCTCAGTCCGACGCATCCGTCCTTGCCGGCATGACTCCCGCACCCGAGACGCCTTCGGCCTCGGGCCCCGGCTCGGAGAAGAAGCAGACTAAGAAGAGGAAGTCGTGGGGTCAGGTGCTCCCAGAGCCTAAGACCAATCTACCTCCTAGGTACTACACCACCAATAACACTTGGCATCGCACCGCAAGGCTAACCACTTTCAGAAAACGCGCCAAGACCGAGGACGAGAAGGAGCAGCGCCGTGTTGAGCGCGTCCTGCGTAACCGGAGAGCCGCCCAGTCGTCCCGAGAGCGGAAGCGGCAGGAGGTAGAAGGCCTGGAACAGCAGAACAAACAACTCCAAACACTTCTCCACCAAGCCCAGCAAACCAACTTGGCCCTGATCGAGGAGCTGAAGAAGTTCCAGCGTAGCTCGGGCGTCGCTCTTCGCCCATCACCCGTCACGTTTTCACACGAGCTCTTCAGCTCTCAAGATGGCCACAGCATCCCGGTCGGTGAAGCAAGCTCTTTGGAACATCTCCTCACCACCATCCCGGCCAACACCACGGTGAACCCCGCATCCCTGTCTCCCACCCTTACCCCCGTCCCCGAGGCCGAGGAAGAAGAAGATGAGGCAGCTACAGCGGCAACCCCTCTGGCAGACAACACCAGCTCAATGAAGGAGCATGCTTCCCCCGACGCGACACAACATCCTGCTGCGATGTTGTGCGATGACCTGCAGTGTCGGTCGGCGGGAGCAGCTCCTTCGGCGTGGCTGGCGACGTCCCAGCAACAGTCGGCCCCTTCACTGGCTCTGTTCTTGCCGCTCCAGATTCTTCTGATTTCCACATCAGTGATGCTTTCTCTATGTCAGCGCCCTTTGACTCAGATCGCTATGTCATTGAAAGCGGGCTTCTCGCTTCCCCCAACTCCATCGATCTTGAATACGATTATATGGCTGGTGACGACGCCTCAGCCTTCCCGTTCTCGAACGACTTCGACATCAACGACTTCCTGGCCGACGACAGCGCCAGCAACGAGCAGCAGACGCAGCACCAATCCTACGGCTGCGCGGCCGCAGACTCGTCCTTCCACAACCCTAAGACTGAGGTCTCTTCGGAAGATCCTTACCTGCAGCCCCACTCTGGCGCGTCCCCTGATGGATGCGACGATGGAGGCATTGCGGTTGGTGTCATCTGAGGGCTACGCAGTCGGCCGGGTTTCTGGAGACGGCGCTTCGGCGGCGGCAGCGGCTAACGGAAAGACGCAGCGGCAGTCGCAACGTAGCGGGCCTACAGCGTGGCCGAAAGGGGCCGCGCTCCCGTCCAAGGAAGTCCTACTCACACTTTTGTGGGTCCTGAATGTCGAAGAGAGGAGGCTCGAGATCCGTCAACGCATCGGAGCCTCCTCGTCGAAACTCGGAAGACTGAGTGTCCCCAAGATAACGGCACTAGCCACGGACAAAACGCAATCGTATGTTCTCAAGATAGTATCTCTCAAGCGCAGCTTGGATGTGGAGCAGCGTGATTTTTCCTTTAGCGGATTTGACTTGAAGCGACGCCGCTTTGAGTAGCATGACGAAAATGTATGAACAGCGGGCGGATAGCACGCATGAAACGAAAAGGAAAAGGTATAGGATAGGTTGGGGGCGTTTTTGCGGATCATGGTTTGCTCTGAGCTTTACGCTATACTATAGTTTCCTAGATATCAAGATCGGGTTTTTACAGTCTATGTTGTGGTTGTCGTGAATGTACGTTTTGTCTTTGGTTTTGGCTAGAGGTAGAAAGCCCTGGCACTTGTATTGCGCTATGCCGCGGGCTCTTTGAGATGTCAGCCGTCATCAGAAGACTCGCTACGATCGACGCATGCTTGTATCTAGCTTCACCTAGCCGTTCCTCTACCATCTACTTCCACTGCGTCTTCAATGAGTCCAATTCGTGTGCGTGTCCCTCGCATATACATGGTATCGAAGAGTTGAGTCCCACATTCCATCAATACGCCAAGAAACCACCCGTCACACCATAGCCGTTCGCTCTGCCTCGGCTGCAGGCTCGGCTGCTGCCCGGTCGTCCGTCCCCTGGCCGCCACCCCGTCGTAAGTTCGCTCCTGTCAACCTCTACGTCCTGGCCCCGTCCTGGCCCTGTCCCTACCCCTTGCTTTGTCTTGCCGCGCCGTGCCTCGCCTCGTCGGGTTTCGTGTCGTGAGCCCCTGGTTGAACCGCACGGCGCGGCGGTTGGGGGCTATGGGGTTGTTGATAGTCCCAACCATGCACCACAACACCACCCGTGCCGCGAGCTACTAGTGTCCGTCCCCGGCCCGATCCAGGGAGATGACAGAGAGAAATCCGACATCACCGCATCATGTTCCGTTACAACCAGTCCCAACGCTACTCCATATACTTCTCGCAGACCGGCGCAGCAGTTTATCCCTTGAACACCGCCCAGGGTTTGGACTATGCCCGCGAGCACCTCAAGTTTGTCTGCGTCGAGCGTCAACGGGCGGCGCGAGCAGTCAGTCCAGAATGTGCCGGGTGTGGCGATTTGCCACCGGTTTCTATTTCTTGAAGCTGTTGTTCAATGATCTCTTGCCAACCCATAACGCCCAAGTCGTTGAAAGACCTATAAGAGGAGACCTGTAAGAGGAGTTTGCAGATGCGGCAAACAAAAATGTTAGCACTCTCATGCAGCAAGGACTGGTACTGTTTATCAGTGTGGTTGCATGGACTTGAAAATCGAAATACTCCATTCTTGGAATAACCTAGATGTCCAAGGCTTTCTTACGGGAGTCCTAGAAGCTTTTCCTACCAACCCACTTGGAGATTTTATCTCTCTTTACCCATGCTGTACAAGCCGTGGTTATGACACAAATAAGACCACACACGGAGCCCACCACAATCCCCATGAGAGACTTGGAATTCCATAGCTTATCTCCCCGTACCCCATGTCACCCCTTCCTCTCACCTCACACAGATATTATGAGGCGCGAGGGTTTGCACTTCTTGGAGTTTGAAGCATCTTGACGTCGTGCCTCTACAGGTCGGCTGACAAGCTCCTCAGTGTTGTGAGGCTGTGAGCCGCTTCATCGAACTCACTGAGTGGCTTTTGGAACCTGGGAAGCGCCTGTAGGGCTGTGAGCGGCGTTCACGGAGTGTGCTCCGTGTTGTTATTACCCCTAAGCCGGTCATTGACCGAGAGGGGTAGAAGGGATGTGGTTCGATTGCGATAGACATCTTACTACGGGGAGAGAATTGTCACGTTCAGCGATGTCAATAAGAGGGTAGAATATAATGTATTGTTCAGGGAAGAAAGAAAGGCGGAATTCCCTGCTTATGACAGCTAAATGCCTACTTTCTAGCATGTAAGCACTAGGCCGTTGTTGGCGTAGATCAACACCCGTAAACGCGCCATTCCAAAGTGGCCCTATTACGTAACCAGAATCGTGAAATGGAGTTATTCTCTCTGTCATCACCTTCAATCCCTCTTCAGTCTCCATATTCTCTTCAGTCTCCATATTACTGTGTGACTTGATGATAAGCTCCGAGTCCAATTGCAGGACAGGACAATGTCTGTTCAAATTCAAATTTACGATCCATGGCCAGAAAGCAATATCAAGTCTCCGAGAGGGTTGGCGTGTCTACCGAACTTCCGATCCAGGTCGTGCTAAAGAAGTCACCTCCTTCCCCAGCGCTTCGCTCCGTCCAGTTCAACTTCATATCCTCGGCACCTCTAGCTAGCATTTCTGAAAGTAGGTATACCAACCTGCAGGACCCTTTGTTATCGACGCGCACAAAAGAGTTACAGTTGCTTTCCATCCATTGAATTCCCCATTCAGCCTTCCGCAACGTAGCTAAGCTCAGTGACCTCTCGGACTTGTCATCTCGTACTCCAGCTCGAGAAATTATAATCCGAGCTCCACTTCACACCAATTTTGTGCGGCGTGTCTTTGCGCGCATTAACTATGCAATGTGCAAAAGCGAGGCTCACAACCACCATTCGCTCTCAAGCTTGCTCATGCCCGCTCCTCGACGATAACTTCAGCCCTTTCAGTCTAATGTAACGATCACCATCATACTAATCATAAAGATGATAAATACTTTATGGAATACACATCTATTTTCCTTTCTTTGAATTCCCTTTGAAGATCATCTCCCATCATTTCCCATCATCTCCCATCATCTCCCCCCAAAAATTGGCTTCCCTCAGCTAGTAGAGTCACCATCCCCTACAACATGCTCGCCCCAACTCTTTTCTCTCCTCACCTCCTCCCACTCCCGCTAATACTCACCCTCACAAGCGCCGCACCTCCATCCTCCACCTCCAAATCCCTCCCCCACCGCACAGAATACCTATGGTGAGTTTTTTTGAGTCCCCCTTTTCTGGTTGTTGGGGGTGATCTGTGCTGACTTGTGGTGATTAGATACGTGGATGCAGCCGTATGGCGAGTTGCTGGTGCCGGGTTATTCGGCGGTGGGACATCGGCTTATGGACAGGGCTTCAGCTGCGGCTGGGGTGAATGTGAGCACAATTGGTGTGTGATTGTTAAGCTGGATGGATTTTTGGATATTATCATTCTTGTTAGGTTGGGTTTTGTCTCGATTTTTGCCATTGCCGTGTTAGTTCAATCGTTTCTCGGCCATTCAAGTCAGCACCATAACCTTGAACTTGCTGAATCGCAAATGCAAGGATGAGTCGTGCAGTTTTGGAGCAGTATTCTATAGATGCAAATTCTTAAATATTTAAACGCTTCAAGCAGTCATTTCCAATTCTCCATATGCACATATCCATGCCTACTATATACCAATTAAATAAATGATTAAATATGCAACCATCAGGACGGCCCCCCCCTTTCCCCCATGCCATCCCCATCACCATCACCCACTAGAGCCGCATCCACTAGATCCGCATCCAGCGGCATGGGCTCGGGAACAGCAGCCCCCGCGGGCCCGTCGCCGAGCTCCTTCTTCATCTTGTCCAGGCGGATGACCTGGTCGACAAGAAAATCAATCTGGCGGCCCGAGTTCTCGCTCTGCTGACCGGGCAGCGAGTCGTTGACGAAGCGCAGGCACTCGGCGGCGACCTCGGAGAAGACAACGCCGACGCGCGCGTCGACGGCCGGCAGCCTCCCTTCAGCCCAGCGGCGCGCCTCGTCGGCGACGGGCCCCCCTGCTTGCGCACCACCGTTGTTGTTATTGCTGTTATTGCTGTTGTGGCCGTCGAGCCCGCCCGTGTACGCTACGCACAGCGCAATCTGCACCAGGTTGACGCCCAGCAGCAGCATGGACTGGTCGACTGGCCGCTGCCTGCGGCGGCTGCCTATGGGCGCGGCGCTGCCAGCACTGCTGTGGCTCGCGTCGATCGGCTCGCCGAAGCCAAACGAGATGTACGGCGACAGGATCAGCGGGTCGGCGGGGTCGGCGAACAGCGGGTTCGTCGCCGCCGCCGCCGCCGCCGCCGCCGCCGCCGCCGCCGCCGCCGCCGTCGTGGCCTGTTTGGTCTGCTGCTGCTGCTGCTGCTGCTCCTCGGTGTAGTAGCGGAAGCACTCGAGCCCAATGGCGCGGCACGACTCGCGCACGTCGGCCAGGTAGATGTACGCGTACAGCAGCAACAAGGCGAGCTCGATGCGCTGCGCGACCGTCATGCGCGCCGCGGGGGAGCCCTCAGCCAGCGCCCCAGCCAGCGTCCCCGCGCTCACGTAGTGCTTGTCGGCCTCGTGGAACAGCCAGTGGTTGCCCAGCTGCTCGCGCGAGCTGGGCACCACCACGCCGCCCCACAGCCGGAACTGCCGGCTGCTGGTGCTGCGCGCCGCGTCGCGCGCGAACTGCGACGCCTGCGTGAGGCCATGGCCCGCGAGGTGCGACGCCGCGATGCCGCCGACGCGGTCGCGCGCAGGGTTGAACTCGCGCTTGGTCTGCGCCACGAACAGCCGCGAGCGCTGCGGGTTGGTGCTGGTGCCGGTGCCGGTGCCGGTCCCGGCATCGTGGCGGTGCATAACAAAGTAAAAGTGCTGGTCCCGCGTGCCTAGCGACAGGTAGGCCTGGCATAGGTCGAAGAAGCGGTCGCCTTCGGCTATGAAGTCCTCGGTCAGCTGCAGGCTGAACTTTGTGCCAGCCGTGTTGACGGCGCGCAGCGAGCGGTGGAGCCGGTCGAGGGCGGCGCGCGTCAAGCGGATGATGCGGCCCAGCTTGGTGGCGTCCTGTGCGGACTCGGCGCTTCGCACCGCCGCCGCCGTGTTGCGCAGCTGCGTCTCGCTGTCCAGGTCGTCCATGATGGCCTTGAGCCGCGCAATCTTCTTGTCCAGGTCCGACTTCTTCCACATCCACTCGACGTGCCGCTCGACCGTCGCCTTGACCTGCACGTCCTGCTGCTTTGCTGCCGGGTCCTCGGTGGGCTTTAGCCGGGATTCCACGGCACTTCGGATGTGGGCGACGTCGTCTGCTCGGGCTTTTGACGGGGTTATAGGCGACGCCGGCGACGCAGGGCTCTCGGTCGTCTCGGGGACGGCGGGCGGCGTGACGGTGACCTCGACGGCCGAGACGGACGGTGAAGGCTCATCGTCGGCCTTTTGTTTGCCTTTGGGGTTGATAACCTGTGCGATGTTGGGCTTTGGTGGCGATCTTTTAAAAGGGTTCAGGAAGCGTGAGAACCTCTTCCTCTTTGGGTCCTTCTTGGACGATAATCGATCCTCGGAACCCGCGATCGACGGGGTATCCGTGACGGCGGTGGCCTGAGAGGACTCGGAAAGCGAGGGTCTCGATTTGGTGTCTTCACTCGAGCCTCTACCCGGTAGCGTGGTCGTGGTGATGGAAGGAACCTGCAGCTTGCGGGGCGGCGCATCGTCAGGTTCATTATTTCCTTCTGCTGCCGTCAGCCCTGAAGCGGTCGTCGCGTCAGAGCCGGGCGCGATGATAGGTAGCTCTGGTCTCTTCTTTTGGAGCTTCTTCTTTTTGTGTTCTGTTTCATATCTTGGTCAGCTTGGTTCCTTCTCATTCTGTGCTAATTAGGTTCTCGGAATTGATTGAACTCACCTTCCTCAAAGTGCGTTATCAAGGTGTCGCACTCGTTGAAAACGGTCTGAAAGTCGTGTATGAGGCCTATGACGGTGCGTGTCCTCTCGTGGTGTTCGTCTTGGGGATTGAATGTCTGGTCGAGGTCGCTCAGGGGCCTGTCGCCAATCTCGAGGAACCTGTGAAACTGCGTATTGACCCTGAAACGGGCCGTCATGACGGCCGCCCCGTGGTTCTTGTACGTGTTCCATTTTTCGTTGACAGCCTTGCACCCGTCGACGACAGGCTTGATGACTTTGACGAGAGCGACAGCCAGCGTGAACTCCATGGCGATAATTAGTTGTTTTCGGCAAGCTTGACGAGGGCGTGAGGGGACCAGGGCCAAGGCTGTCTCTTGAAGAGCCTCCTCCCCTCCGACCATGGAGACAGGGGGGGTCCAGCCCCGGTCTGGCGCCGCGACTAGGGAAATGGAATTTTAATTCCATATGCCTAATTTGGTATTTGACTGTCGGTCGTTTTCCCCGTTCACGTCACCGTGTTTGTTGGAACTATCTGTACCTATGTAAATTACTTCTAGAGAGGCTCTAATAATCTGTAAAGCCCCTTTAATATCCAAAGGCCTACTTGAAACGTCTCGATATTTATCGGAGGCGTCGTAAATGTGTTTTAGCTACCTGTCATCTGATCTTGAGGTAGCTCTCTAAACTTGGAATTTCCAAGGTTGAAGCGGAGTCTAACATGGAAGGCCAACATTCAACATTCAATCTCGATCGTTGCAGCTTTTGTCACGGCTTTTACCAACTTACACAACGAAGAAGCATGACGGGTTGGAATTTATATTGACGCTTCTTTGCTTGTTTGTCTTTGCAGTTTCTGCTGAATGGCTTGCTCTTTGGCTGATCATCTCTTATTGGTTGAATGGATTGCAAGACTAGGGGAATAGCACGTTTCTGGCTGCCTCCAGGCCCCACCCCATTTCACTCGCCGACATTCCATTTCGAGCAGGATGCTTCCTTTCGTCCAATAGTACGACGCGGGTGCTCAGCTTTTGCTGTAGGCCGCACGGCCTGGGCCCCGAAGCGAGACCTGGAGGAAGGCGCGCCCACCACACCAGTGGCAAATTCCAGCGTGATGGCTTGCAGGCTTGCAGCTGGTGGGCACCTGAGGTAGGTGCTGCCGCAATGCAGATTTGCCAAGTCTGCCTACCCCCGCTCTCGCATGAGGAATGGATTGTCGGTCCAAAGCCAGTTTTCAACGAATTTAGCCGCAGGTTGCCGCCGTGGGCAATGTTAGGCAGTTTCATTTCGCTGGTGCACACACCACTTTGCCCGCAACTTGCCCGCAACTTGCGCGCGACTTGTGGCCTTTTTCGCCGTCGGACGTCGTGTGTCGTTGTCGCCCGTCACGCGGCCAGAACAGCCTTGGATTGGCTGAGCCATCCAACCTACCACGGCCCACAGCCACTCTCCACGTCAGCAGGCGGCGGAGGCCTTTGCCCGGTGAACCGACGTAGACTAAACGGCAAAGTAGCGAGTCACTCGTCGCTTTGGAATCCCGCAGGACAACTTCCCTTTGCATCTTCATCTATCAACTACCTTAGGCTCCATAATACCAGAAATCGGCTTCTGTGAACATCTTTGTGATTCTTTGGGATCTGCAGAGCCAAACCCCGGGTTTGAGCTCTCCATGGAGCCCATCTCCATCTCGGTCGCCCTCATCTCCGCCATCCAGGTCGCCAGCGCCGCCGTACGCCTGCTCAGCGCGCTCCGCAACGTCAAGGACAGCAGATATGAGGAGATATACTGGACCGCGGTGGCCCAGCGGGAGATCACCTTCAACTGGGCCAAGCGCATGGAGCTGGGCGGCGGATCGGTGTTGGTCGAGCAGCAGCCCCGGGTAGCCGAGCTGGTCAGCCGGCTCATGGAATCCTACGACCAGGTCGGCGCTTCCGTCAAGAAGCTCTACCGCCCCGAGGACGGAAGAGTCACCCCCAGGCTGCTCGCCTACCGCTTGAAGTTCGAGACGGGCGGCTTTGACTCGTTGCGGCACCGGCTCAACGCCGTCGCCGCCATGAACGAGGCCCTGAACCAGATCGCCCCGCCTCCGCCCCTGGGCTCGTCAGCCACGCCAACCAAAGTCTCCACCGGCCGGAGTCAAGTAGCTGTGCACACTGCAGACAATGGACGGTCTATCTGGGCGACACTGCAGCGAGACCTCTCGGACGCCCTGACCCTCGAGTCGGCCGCCGAGGAACTGGCAAAACCGCCAGCACTCAAGCGCCAAAGTACCGACGACTCGATACCCGACGAACTCAAAGAAAAGCTACGCCAGAATCTCAAGCCCGTGCCAATCTCGTCACTCTGCGGCATATGTCGCGAGGCCTTGAGCCACTTGAGTCTCGTGGTGGACCTCTCCAAAGCAGTCAAGCCCCTGTATGCCAACTTCCAGCGGCTGACGATCGGCTTGTTTGACGACGTTACGGGGCTGGATATAGTTCTGCAGCAGGATTTCGAGCGGAATTCTGGGCTTCGCGAGTTCGTCCTGCAAGTTCTGGTCAACATGGCCATCGCAGAAGGCAAGTACCCCCTGGCACCGCCCCAACTATCACGAGGAGTACGTCTACCTAGCTAACTTATCCTACAGAGTTTCTCCTCCGCGAGTACCAAAGGGCACAGAAGCCAGACCTAACCAACTCATTCGAGCAGGACCGGCGACGGATTCTGAGCACGCTGGGGAAGGGCCAGCTGATTGACTTGGCCGCGCAGCGGTGGGAAGAAGTGCACGAAATAGACATGGAGATTGAAGAGGACGAGTCTGACTCCGATGACGGCGGAGAGCTCTTCTCGGATCCTGACGAAGACGCGCTGTTCGACACGACGTACTCTTGGTCTGGCACGGCGTTCGACCTCAAGACGCGGAGGCGGCTGCAGGATCTGGGCATGATGGTGGAGAGCATGGAGGGGATCCTGCCGGCGATCCGCTCGGCAAGGCAGGCGCGGCGCCTGCAGCTCGAGGCCGCCTGGACCGCTAACACGCTACCGGCGGACATCATCGTCGGCCCGCTGTCGGCCAGCCCGACCGAGATCCACGACTTTGCCCAGATGAGCATCAGCAACAGCACCGAGACGGCGCCGTCGCAGGGCCTAGGCATGGCAGTCGACAACATCAAGGCAGGCCACGAGACGCCGCCGCCCCTAGGCACACCGCCTCTCGGCCGCTCGCAGCATGCGTCGAGCTTCCCGCTCTCCCGCCAGTCGACCGACAGCTGGGACTCGCAGCTCGATATCGGCAACCCCAAACCGCTCCCCGCGACGGCGATGATGGACATTGAGCGGTACGAGGCGCTGGTGGAGCGCGTGGTGCGGCTGGCCAAAGACCTCGAGGACGCGCTGCGCAAGGACGAGGATTTCGCGCGCGTCAAGGGGATCCCCAACGCGCTGGTCTTCTCGGACCAGGTGCGCGTGCAGCGGCTCAAGATGCAGAAGCACCGAGACTACATCCAGCGCATGGGCCCGCGCGCCGTCGTCACCACCCAGCAGGCCGTCGCCGTCACCGACCTCAACAACGACCTCAAGTCGGCCTGCCACAAGCTCGTCGGCTCGCTCAAGAACTTCAGCGACAACACCCGCCCCGAGGACCTGCTGCCCGTCGACATGGACCAGACCATCCAGGACCTTCTAGGGACCTTCAGCAAGACTACATCGGTGCTCACGCCCAAGAGCATCGCTGTGGCTGCGTGATAGTCGTGGGGTGAGGTAGGTTTGCTGACAAAACGGTTGAATGTGCAGGTGGGTATGGGTTTGGACTTTTGGGAATTTGCCTTTTGGAAATCTGGAGCTGTTTGGCTTCGTAAGCGGTAGGTGGAACAGCATTGGTGACGTAAAAGGTCTTTCTGGCCAGGTGGCACGTGGTCATGGGACAGATTGTTGCATTTCTGGGGCATGTACGGCTTATCTAGGTAGGTGAGGTATTAGCTTAGCGATTCATGATTTGCCTTGAAAGCTGATTAACTATTTCTGAGAAAGTGAACTTGATCTAATCGTCTCCGGCCTACCACGGATTTAACAATTTTTCCGAGCCAGCGCTGCCGTCAGACCAGATTATCAGATCAATTTACCAATCAATTCAAACAAACAATCGGGATTTTTGGAACTGTCAGATCAAACAAATCAGATATCGGCCGGGCTTATTTGACAGATATAACAGATATCTGAGGCTGTTCAGAGCCCGGATTTAGACTTTTTTCCGGCGCCGTTGGTGTTTTGGATTGGGGTTCAGGACCCCTGACCGGTCATCCCTGGCCTGCTGAACCAAGCCAGGGTCAGCAAATTCTGTTCTTCCGGACCCGACGGAAGCTGTTCCAAACATCCTGACTGCCCAGACGATGCTATTCCAAGCATCCTGACTGCCCGAACGAAGCTATTCCGACTCTCCGACCCTCCTTATGTCATCTGCTCCCATCTCTGCCTTCGCGGCTATACAGGCCCGGCCTCCTTCCATCTCCAAGCAATTTGCTGCAGCGTCAAGTACGATTCCTGCTGACGATGCCTCTGTCCCTGATCTAGTCAAGATTTCCTGGAAGAATCGACGTTTCATCCCGACCGGAGTCATCCACACCCAGAAATCCCGCGGCAGACGCAGCTGGATAGCAGATTACGGCTTCTTCATGACCGAGCTCGAGCCAGATAACCGACTGAAGCAAACCGTGTGGTGCTGTGGGACTTGTGACGCCCGGGGCCAGCCTCAGTTCTTCGTTGCTTCATCTACATCTTCCTCCTCCATCGAACATCTCTTCAAGAAACACTCCATCGTCGATCCGGAACAGTCAGAACAGCAGCAACAGCAGGGCCCCAACGTCCTCAAGATGCAATCAACAGCCGCCCGGCGAAGGCCTGCCTCTGCCCTTGCTATTCCTCGAACAAGGATTGACCGGCTGAAGGAGCTGTGTGCCTACTTCGTCATTAACTCGAGCCTTCCCTTCGCGATATTCGAGGACCCCTATCTACAAGACCTGCTCGTTCAATTCAACCCAGCTTTGCAACAGCAAGTGCCATTTGGTCGGACTGCAATTAGGAACGAGATCGAGGCTCTCTTCCTAGCACGCAAACAGGTGGTCCGGAAGGCGATCCTGAATGCTAGGACGGCTATACACTTCAGCTTCGATCTCTGGACGTCTCCAAATCGACTAGCCTTCATCGCCATCATCGTCCACTACCTTGACGGAACCTATCAGCCTGCGAAGCGGATGATTGCCTTCAAGCAGCAGTCAGGAACCCATGCCGGCCTGAATCTCGCTGAGACGTTGATTGGGGTCATCCAAGATTGGGGCTTTGGAGAGCGGTTGGGTGTAGCGATCTGTGATAACGCCACGAACAACGATACCTGTTTACAATCCCTCTACAGCCGGTTGTTCCCCCATTGGGATCGCGATGCTATTCGGAGTCGAAGAATGCGCTGCTTCGGTCACATCCTCAACCTAGCAGCTAAAGCCTTCCTCTTTGGCGATCGGGCAGATGAATTCGAACAACAGGCTGAAACCCTCGAGGCCCTAGAAGTAGACGAGCTAGATGCCACCCACTGGCGCACTAGGGGACCCATTGGAAAGCTCCACAACATCGTCAGATTCATCCGAGCGTCTCCCCAACGAAGCGAGGCTTTCAGGAAGACCGAACGGGATGACCGGTCGATCCAAGGGAGCTTCTTGCTGGCCGAAGCAACAACCAAAGAGCTGGAGCTGAAGCAGAATAATGCTACGAGGTGGAATTCGACCTTCCTGATGATTGAGAGGGCATGTCTATTACGGAATACCATCGAGAACTACCTAACGGACCTCGACCTCGACCGGACCGCAACTAATAAGGTCTCTGCTGAAGATCGTCTTTCCTTAGAGGACTGGCGGCTCCTTGCAGAGGTTCAGGAGATCCTGACGCCCTTCTACAGGCTCACGATGATTACCCAAGGCCAGGGTCAGCTTCACGAGGTCCTCACGGGCATGGAATACGTCCTTGATAAGCTTGAGCGGTGGAAGCAGCTATATATTGATGAATCTCTCAATCCGGCAGTAGCAACAGAACCGGTTCGGCCACCAACCCGCAGCCGGCCTTTGCAACGTAACAGAGCAGCCATCGAACCTGGGTTTACTTCCCGCTTTAACGAAGAAGCCCTCCCGGACCACACGAGGCTGGTTTATACTAATCTTGCTGCTGCTCGGGCAGCAGGCAACTTCGATAGCCTTGGAGCCCAGCAACGGTCCTTCCTTCGAAGTGGGATCAACAACGCATGGCTAAAGCTCAACCACTACTATACATCGATTGGAGAGTCATCCTTATTTACATCAGCCGTCATTCTACATCCCGGGCTCGGGCTTGGGTGGCTCGAGAACGTCTGGACCGCTCCAGAGCAGGTTATCTGGATTAGCGATGCTAAAAGGGCTCTCAAGGCTTACCTCGAGGCCTACTACCCTGAAGCCAACGAGCAGGGGAGCCGCTCGCCCTCTGCAGAGCCGGAACCAGTTGGACAGGGCCCTCCGAAGAAACGGAAGGTCGAATTGGAAGAGGCAAGGCAGTGGATTGCCCAGAGGTGTCCCCAGCTCTCTCAGACGGCTTCGGAGCTTGAGGTCTACTTCAGGACGCCTCGAGAGAACACGGAAGATCCGATTCAGTGGTGGAGGGACCACCAGGCTACCTACCCTCGTCTTAGCTGCCTTGCGTTGGACCTACTAGCCATCCCAGCTATGGCCGATGATTGTGAGAGAGCATTCAGCATCGCGAAGCTGACCGTGACGTCTCAGAGGCACAGCCTGAGCAGCGAGGCTATTGAGTATTGTCAGCTGCTGAAGAACTGGTTGTATGAAGACGAAAGCCGCGGCCAGCAGCAGCTGCAGCAGCTGCAGGAAGAATAGCAGCCGTTGGGATGTGGTAAGCCCAGAACACCAAGAATCGGGGTCGCGATGCTATTTCGGTGGCTGGAATAGCCTCACGGCGGTCAGCAGGGGTCCTGATATCAGACACTACCAGACATATCAACTAAACAGTCAATCAATCAGATTTCGGGCCCGAATTCCCTTTCAGATCAGATGGGCACCCTATATTTGATCTGATTGATCTGACGGCAGCGCTGTTCCGAGCCCCAATCAAATCTTTCGGCTCCTGATCCGGGCCGGATGGATCTCGTCTAGCAGCGCGTAGTCCATGCGGATGATGCCCTTGTTGGACCCGGAGGCCTGAAACAGCCGCCAGAAGCCCGTGGTGAACAGGGCGGCCTTCATGCCGGCACCGGCGCCTCCGTCCGTCGTCTTGGCGGCGGCGCGCTGCAGCCGGACCCACTCGCCGATGCGGCCCTTGCCGTCGTAGTGACCGCAGCGGTAGCGAGAATCGTAGCCGCTCAGCTTGATGCCGTAGTCGAGGTTGCCGCGGACGTAGAAGCTGACGCCGCTCTCGGCGGCGATCTCGAAGCACCGCACTGTCAAGAACATCTCCATGGCCTCGCCCGTGGCGAAGCCGTCGAAGGCGCCCCAGCACCCGCACGGCGTACTTGCCGTCCTGTAGAGCTCGCGGACTGCCGGCAGGCCCTGGGCGCCCGTGCCGCTGATGACGAAAACCCTGCATCACTAATCACCTTGTTCCCACTAATCGGCTTATTTCCCCGTTTGGGGTGCTGCCACCTCGAGCCTCGGGGACAAACTTGCTTTGTTACCAGTCAGTCATAGTGTTATGTCTGCATCGAGTCCGCAGTGCCATGACGATTGTATCACGTCATGCGCTGATATCCCGCCAGCTTGGCACATGATCAATATTTCCGGCTATCTCGGAGACGCGGATGGAATGATAGGTGAGCCTTGTCAGGTGGTATGAGACATGATTCCTGCCAAGACACGTCCTTCCTCAGGATCTCGGCAGCCATCAGGTGCGACGGATCGGGAACGAACCCCGGCGCCGGTATAGAATCTTCGGCGTCCTCATGGATGATTACTCCTGCAAAGCAGACGGTCAGCATCATGTCCTAGTCCAATGGTGGCAAGCTGCTGCATCGGCGATAATCAGAAGGCCGCTCACTCTTTACGCCCCACCCATTAAACCTGCCCACAATCTCCTCGTCCTCGGCTTCCACCTCGGCCCCATTCTCGTCACGCTTGCTGTTCGGCGCCGGCGCCAGCCCCGAGAAAATGACGGTACACTTTGAAAACGCGGGGACATTCCCGTAGCCGCCGTACTCGCCCGCGGCGTTGGGCCCGTACACGGCCGAGGAAATGCCCGCCGCCTGGGGGATCTGGCCCGGGTACGTGGCGAGCCGCTGCCAGCCGCTGTTGGACAGCCACCCTGGGTTACTCCCCAAGGCGCCGCCGTTGCCCCACTGCTGCCAGTTGGCCGCGGCTGTGGGGTCGTCAAGTAGGCCACGTTGGTGCTCAGCCCGCTCATGAGGCCGTTGCAGTTGTCCTGCAGCGTCTGCTGCCACACGGGCACGCACAGTGTCGAAATGGCCGTCACGCTATTGGCGAGAGTGCCAAAGTAGCCACCGCCTTCCTCTGCAGAGGCGAGCGGGTACTCGTCGCAGCTGACTAGGGCTACGCCCGTGGAAAGCCCTACCGCCGTGGTGTAGATCACATTGTCGGTGAAGCAGTAGCTGCTCCCATGCTTGTTCCGGTTGGTCACCCTGCAGGCGAAGCTGCGACGCGGGTTGGCGTTGACGGGGTCCCAGGTCAGGCTCAGCCCGCTGTTACTGAGCCCGCGCGCTTGGAAGAAGTTCTGCATGTTCCGGCAGATTCCGGGCACCGTGGCGCTCTTGCCGGCGTTGTTGACCTGCGAGTCTGAGAAGACGTGGCAGTTGAAATGGAAGTCGGGCAGCACCTAGCTACACACCGCGGACGATGCCGCAGTTGTCGCGCGCTTGGAGCTGGTATGGGCGGAGCACGTGTCGGGCGGGCTCACAAAATCCCGAAACTTCGGCGGGCGCCTCGCCGTCGTCGGGCCAGTACATCTCGGCGCGCTCAAAGGTGTAGCGCGCGCCGACCTGCATCGTGCCGCTGAGCTGCACCACGCCTACGATTTGTCCGTAGAGGTCCAGCGTCGGGCCCACGGCGGCGAGTCCCTTGATCGCGAGGCCGGGATAAGAGAGGGTTGGAATTAGCATCACGCGCGGGCTGCGGTACTCCAGGCGGGCGCTGCCGATGGCTGTTAAGCCGAGGTATACGCTCGGCTGCATGGCGAAGTAGGCGTACGTGGCCGTGGGCACGAGACCGCCCAGGGCACCCGAGTAGTAATACGCGTAGGTGGCGTCCATTGAAGCCTCGGCGTCCAGGTAGATGTTCAGCTGGGCATTGGTGCGCGCACAGTCGACAAACGCACGGTAGAGCAGGATGCTCTTCTGCAGGATAATGCCCAGCGAGCCCTTGTCGCTGCTCGTCACCGTTGTCACCTTCTTCAGCTAGTTGACGAAGGTGCCGAAACAACGCTTGGCCCGCGGCGTCTCGTGCTCCATGCCGTTGTCCCGCGCCTCGAGGTGCGTGGTCTTGCCGGCCATGATGTCGGCCTGCCGCCTACGCATGCGCTCGTGCGACGTCTTGGCCCGGCCTACTCTGTGGCGCCAGTCCCGGTACGAGAGGGCCTGGCCGTCTTGCAGCTCGCGCCGCACCTTGGCTGGCGTGTCGGTCACGTCCTCCCAGTAGTCGAGAAGGTTAGTGAAGTCGATGCGCATGTTGACGGGCCCGGAGTCGCGCTTGATGGCGCCGAACTCATAGTCGATCTTCATGCGCTAGGCCTTACTGTCAAGCTCCTGCGCCTCTCGCTTGCGCTCGTGGTGGCGTGGGAGCATGTAGTGCACCGGTGCCGGCTTCATCGACACCACCTGAGCAAAGGGACCCTCGCCTACGTGATTTGGCAGCTTAATGATGGTGTCTTCAGCGCCGTCATGGAAACGTTTCTGGCAGCGCGGGGACGAATCTGGGTAGTTGCAGAAAACGTAGAGTACCTCGCTAGTGTACTCAAATGCCGTCTTGATACGCGTGCGGTTGGTCGTCAACAGCGAACGTTTTCCCAGCGGCGCGTTGTCCTCGGTGAAAGAACGCGCCACTGTGTAGGCCGCGTGGAAAGTCGCGTCCACGGATCCCGGAGGGCCATCCAGAATGACAAAGCCGTAGGGATCGTCGCCGTATGCCTCGTCCGGCGAGAGTTCAGCATCGTTGTTCCCGTAGTTGTCCTGGTACGCCCATATGATGTCGGATCCAGTCTCCTCGTCCGGGCTGGACCAGAGATACGGGGGTCGACGGGCCATTTTCCATCGTAGTCCTCGGGCGGGTCACAGCAGAAGCGCCAGTTGGGATCCTGCCCGGCCAGCGGCTGATACGCCGAGCAGTCGACACCCTCAAGACTCTGAATATCTTTGAAGGGATTGGGAGGATCAAGGGCCGTGGTCCACTGCACCTACGTGGCCGGGCATATCGTGGGCAGGCATATCCTTTGCGAAGGTTGTGCCTTCGTCAAACGTCCAGGAGCAGTTCTGGGGCTGATCATTCGTCGGACAGCAGAACCCTTGCACAAAAGAGTGATAGACATCTGGAGCGTCGCCCATGGAGACAGAACACAGCTGGCCGTTGCCGTCGTCGTAACGTATGGTCTGCAGCGTGGTGCCGGAGGGACATGAGGGCAGATCGACTGTCGGACCCGGCAGCCGGTCCATGGGCATTGGTTCAGGATCTCGGTGTTGTCGCAGCACAGTGAACGATGACCGTCGTAGCAGGGACCTTCATCAGCGGTGGCGTCTACATAAGTGTCGATGTTAAGCTGGAACTGGTCCGCCCCGCAGAAGCCGCTGCACCCAACTTCGCTTCGTATCGGCGCGCCGTTCCACTGGCAGTTCTTGGGCATCGAGAAAGTAGGGCAGCAGATGTAGCGGAAAGATCCCTCGGGACAAGTGCCGCCGACGTAGAAACCAGGCCGCTGCAGAGGCGCATGCGCCGTGGATACTGCCGTGGTGCCGGCTGGGCAGACGTTGTCCACCGTTGTTATTCCGGTTGTTGCACCCTGGCGTGACGAAACAGTCCTGCCCCGTGTAGGCACCGAATTGGTTCACCAGGTTTGTCTTCTGCGCATCGGAAAGACTGCCGCCTTGCAGGAGACCGTTGGCGACGACACCGGCGCCCAGGAGGCCTGAGAGGGCATCGTATTGGCCGGTGTCTTGATCAATGGCCCAGATCATGAGGCCCGAGAGGCAGTGCCCCGTCAGGTAGGCGAGCTTATCCGCCCAGGACTTCTCGTCGTCGTACGAGATCCATTGGTTACCGTTAAACACATTGACCTTGACCGTGGAGACGGGATCGTAGTACGTGGCCACGTTGATGGACCGGTTGGTCGACGCGATCTCGGCGTAGTACAGAATCCCGGGCGTTTTGGAATAGTCGCCCGCCATGCCGACCGCCGAGAACTGGCACTGGGCCCCCAGCACGAGGCGTCGGCCATGGTGAAGGAGCGCCCGTAGAAGCCCATGCCCATGACGACTTTGGCCGGGTCGATGCCAACTCTCCAGAGCAGCTGGAAGCCCTGGTCAATCCGGGTGAGGTTGGTGTGTCCCTGCAGATAACGGCCCGTGTATTTGTTGAGCTGGTCCCACATGCCGTGCAGGTCGTAGCTCATGACGTTGAACCACGAGATGTACTTCTCCATTTCGGGCAAGTCGAAATTCTGCAGGTACCAGTAGCTACTAGGCAAGGTGCAGGTGATCTCCTATCCAGGGTTGACCGCGTCAAAGGCGTCGCGCATGTCGGACAATAAGAGCACGTAGTTCTGCGTATTATCGGGTTTGCCACCGCGGTCCGGCGCCGTTGGGCACTCCCAGTCAATGTCGATGCCGTCCAGGCCATATTTGGTGAGGTACGAGACGACCGATTGGATGAAGATCTGGCGGCTATCGTAATCCCGCGCCATGTCGGAAAAGTAACGTCGACGTGGGCAGGTCGTTGAAGTTCCATCCGCCAATGGCGACGTTGACGCGGAGGCCCGGATACGTGAGCTTGAGCTTTGACACGCGAGCGACGAGATCTCCGCCAACGTCCTGCAGATTCCAGTTGTCGTTAAACTCAATGAAGGCAAGGTTGATATGGGTCAGCGCCCCAGCCGGGATGGCTTCCGGCTCCATCGTGTCGCATGGCCTGCCGATGCCGAACAGCTCGTAGTAGGTAATCTTTCTCTACAGCCCGTCTGCCATGCGCGACGAGGGGCAGGACGGCGAAGTGACCGGTTTGCAGCCGTTCCCCTGACATCCCGTGCAACAGAAGTCGATCGTCGTTCTGCAGAACCCGTACTGGGCGCAGCAGACGTTGAGCCGGCAGTCAAACGTTGTGCCATACTGTCCACATTGAGCCGTGGCGTTGCAGGTTCCTTGGCATCCCGTGCCGCAGAACTATTCACCAAACCCACAGCTTCCGAACTGACTGCAGCAGCCCTCGAGACACGGGTTTGTTGCCGAGCACGCCGCGTTTTGCTGGGCAAGAACGACGACATGGTCGATCTAAGGTAGCAACGGCACCGCAAGGACCGCAAGGAAGAAAAGAGCAAAAGAACCAAATAGCGGCATCTTGAGAGCAGAGTGTCGGTGCCGTGAGACACAAAGTCAAGGAAAGGTCTGAAATGAGCGTGTATGTGTTAAACCATAGCAAAGGCGTGGGTGTCGGGAGCTGAGCTGCTCTTCTGCTTTCCCTTGGCGAAAGAGGGCCGAAGAGGCCAAGTCGGCCGTGACATAAGGAAAAGACATTCTATCAGGAACCCAAATCACCGACGCGCATGCTCTATCCCTCCTTTTCGCGCCATATGGTGAGTGGTAGATGCAGCAGGCAACTATAGAGAAAACCCCGAGACCGAAAGCGGGTTGCAGAGCAGGAACCGGAGCAAGAGGTCACTGGTACAAGGCCGGCTTCTGAAAATGTCCAGTCCATTGATTTCGTGCCGCAGTGGTGAGAATAATACCCGATGAGCGACAGGGGTTTAGATTTATCGTAAAGAACTTGACCCCTTTTTGACCCCCACGCAATCGGGCCTAATTTCATATTCGTAAGCAAGCAAAGAAAATGGTACTCGGCAGACTTACTCGTCGTCATCGTCCTCGTACCATGCCAGGAGCGCCTTCCTCTGTTGGCCACCCGCAACATTTGGCCCCAGCCTCTCCTCGTCGAGGACGACAACTGTGCCCACTTGACACGCAAGGTGATAGAGTTGGAGAGGACGCCCAGATAGGTTGCATCCTCTGGCCACTCGCCGCCGCCTGCCTCGATGTCCCTCTTCTCACTACGCTGCCAACTCCGGCCTTTGCGCAGCTCTTCTTGCCGACCTGCCTCGTACGTGTCGCCGTGAGGCACGTCAAGGAGTTGCGGGATTCGGCGAAAGATGCGATCCCAATCCGGCACAAAGTTGTACAAGACGGGATCCGAATACAGCAAGGCATCATCGACCTCGCTAGGCCCGTCAATCACGCCTGACAGGAAGTTTGCCATGGCCGAGTCGCTGCCGGGCCCGTAGTACGTCCGCAGCCAGATGGCACCCCGGACATTGCGCTCCTTGAACGGCCGCGCGTGGGCTAGGATTTCCTGTCGGCCTGTGGCAAACTGCTGGCCGACCAGAGGCCGCGAGCCTGCACCTGTGCAGAATAGGCCTGGGACGCGCCTGGTCAGCAAACAAACCCCAGACGCGAAAGAAGAGGCGAGACTTGCGGCCCGCATATGCAGCAACGCAACGCACCTCCAGAGATTAGTGGGGGACCTACATGGCGCTCAGCAACGGAGAGTTGAAGAAATCGGTCAAAGATCTCGGTCATCTGCTGATCGGGCGGTACGGCCGCATCGGCATTCCATTGCTCCTGATTGCGCAGGTAGTCAGCGCGCGAAGGGCTCGGAAAAAGGGGTTGGAGTCTTGTGACGACAGGCGCCTCCGGGGAAGATCGGGGGCAGAATGACTCACCAATAGGAAGAGGTCGCATTCTCTGACCTTTAGCGCCCCAAGGCTAGGCTGGTTCTGGTTGTTGGCCATGAGTCGCGTTGTACTACCTTGCGGAAGTTGGAACAGATCAAAATCGGGCAGGACGCGATTATGAGGAAGATGGAGGATGGAGGGCTAGACGGTCGGCAGGTGATATGCCAGGTGCTGTTGGTCTTTAAATCATGCTGTGCGAGGTGGGCCAGGTCCGGTTGGTCTTTAAATCATGTTGTGCGAGGTGGGCAGGTGCGGTTGGTCTTTAAATCGTAATTACTGTGCGAGGTGAGGTGCGGTAAGCAGTCGTCCAATTTCGGGCCGCTTTGTTGCAATGGAAGCGGGGCTGGGTCAGCCGCCCCTATATTTCAGTGGGTACCTAGCCCAGCAAAGGGCTGGCAGCGCGGGAACGGCGCGCTAAGGAAAGCTTAGGTTGACGCCGAAGTGCAGGGACACCTCGGGCGTGCCTGAAAAGCACGGGCATTGTACCCGGTACTTCATATCTCTTTCCAGCATCGGCTAGAGAGGACCAATTTGAACATGCGGCGCAAAAGGATGCTTACCAGACCTCTCGATGCCATTACTCAAGGTTCGGATCTATTGCATCCATCCACTGCATGCTGCCCTTGCCTTGTCCTTACGGGCTCGCTGGCTCGGGCGATCCCTGTCATCTTTGCACGATACAGTCTCGCGTCCGCGCTGTAATCAGGCGGGATAGCTTTCCAATGCGTAATTATTGCTTTTTGCCTTTCTTATAGCAATGCTTACTTACGAGCCTAATTACAGACCGCAGGGCCTGCCTCTAAGGACACCATAAGATAGAAATCGCAGCAGCTCTGGGCTGCGTGCAGCAGCAATGGCCGCGCGCCGCTTTTCTCTGACTCTCGGTCTTCGACTTGGTATTCTGCTTCTTTCCGTCCACACTGTTTTCGCCGCACAGCTCTTCAACAATGTCAGCTCGCCATTGTCGTTGTCGTCGTCGGCGCAGATTGCCTCAGTGCGGCTCTTCTCAAACGCCAGCACGCTGCCGTCTTCGGCATCGTCCGCCTGCACGGCGGCGTTGATGCAGAACATCTCGTGCACTCAGCTCATCGCGCCGGCTTACATCTCCAACCACGGCTATCTGGATCCCGGCACGCTCGCCTCCCTCTGCACGTCGGCTTGCCCCACCTCATTGACCTCGTTTCGTGCTGCAGCCGAGAGTAGTTGCGGAACGACGCCGTACACCCTCCCCATCAACAACAGTCGCTCGGTCCCATCCATTTTGGATCCGGTGGTGTGAGCGTACAATGTCGCCTGCTTGCAGAGCGGGAGCACCTACTGCGTACCCACGGTGACTAACGCGACGAATGGCATCTAGCCATGCTCGGACTGCTTCCTGAAGTACGAGGCCGCCATGCTGAACTCGTCGTATGGCCTGACTCACATCACGCCTCCCGACTTCTCATCACTGCTGTCCTCTTGCTCCGTGCCAGCGACTAGATACTCGTATTCTACCCCATCGAGCTCAGTGACACCGACAGGCACGTCGTCGTCCACCGCGTCGGCAGCGCCCACCTGCACGGGAACGTCCTACACGGCCGAGTCTGGAGACACATACGCTTCCATCGCTCGGGCTAACAGCGTGGCAACGGACCGTTTCGTTACGGGCAACCACTTGGACTACAACTGCACCGCCATCGCACCTGGCGCCAAGCTGTGCCTCCCGCAGAGCTGTCTCTTGTACCTGGTGGAGACGAACGACACGTGTGCTGGCATTACCGCTGATGAGTCTTTCTATCTGAACCAGCTGTTGTCTTGGAATCCGTATAGGCTACCCACTCTCTCCGCCCCCCTCGTGCCGCCGTCTTGAGTAATCTGAGAGCAGCCCACTGATAAGTTTTTGAGCACAGATCAATACACCAGAATTACGACAACCTGGATTCTATGATTGGTCGCACGATATGTATCTCGTAAGTTGGCCGTTCGTACTTGACTGCTTGTGAAAGGCCAGACTAAAGTTGTCCGGTCACGCCGCAGTCCGCCAGGGACAACAAGTTGGACAGCCAATCCGGCGAACATCAGTAGCGACTGGAATGTGTGAGTAACTCCTATCAATGATGAGACATTAACTCGGTGGGTTTCCTGCTCAACCTCGGAGCTCAGCACCTTCGTCCTACCGCCCGCGTCTTTCGCCGTTATTCCCAGCATCACCAACGTTCCAAACTACACCACAACTTATCTCAATCCCACAACATCCATCAACATCAGCACTAGCTCGGTTAGCATTTTGCCGTCCGCCGTTCAGTCTGTAAGTCCGAGTCGCAAGCTCTCTCTCTCTCTCACGGCGCACGCGTTACAAACCACTGACACACAGCCCCTTCACCAGTACGCCTCATTAACGGCCTATTTCCCCATTACCATGAATGACACGCTGGCCGGCTGGACGATTCCCGACCTGCCGGACAACTGTACCAGTGCGCTAAGCGTTTACTGCAGTCCCAGCTCGGGCGCCACTATGCCCCAAACGACTACTTTTCTAACCACATGCTCCCCAGCCTACTGGGAAAATTTACTCTCAGCAACCAGTACAGCAAACGCCACCACCACCACACCTGGCGGCCCACCCGGCCCGGCACAGACCGGCGTCGCGGCCAACTGCGACGCTTGGTACGTGGTACAAGCCAACGACAACTGTCAAGCCATTGTGGCCAAGTTCGGCAACTTCACGCTTGTGCAGTTCTACAGGTGAGACACCCTTTTTCTCGTGAAAGCCCTGGCCATTGCCAGCTGGGTGTTGTAGCTGACATCTCCCAGTTGGAACCCGGCCGTCGGCTCCAGCTGCTCATATCTCATTCCTACGGATGCAGTCTGCATTGGTGTATCCGGCGGATCTGCCACGTCGTCATCCCACTCAAGTTCAAGTTCGAGTCACATGACCACCACAACGGCGCCCTCGCCTCTCCTGCCGAGCACGGATCCGTCATTCACGAGCTACTACTACGTCATGCCCGGCGACAACTGCGACAATATCGAGCAGACCTATAAGATCTCCGCCGATGAAGTAGGCTCGCTCAGATTATTCCTGCTGGCCTCGCCCTGTTCCGATTCTGCGATCAACTAACAAGAATTCCTCTCGCAGTTCAACGCATGAAATCCTTTCGTCGGCTCCAGCTGCGCCAACCTCTGGGCTAGCGAGTACATCTGCGTTGGCGCTCCGTACACAAGCAGCAGCGCCAAGCCCTCGAGCACTACGCACACTACCTCGGCATCCCCGACGGTTCCGTCGCCGCTCGAGCCCAGCACCGACCCCCAGTGCACAACTTATCACTATGTTGTGACGGGAGATACGTGTGCTGCGCTGGAATCAACGTACGAGATCACGGCTGCTCAGGTAAGCGCTCCATTTACTGTCATATACCTCATGATCTCACTTCGACGAACGCACAATGGATGATATTACGCTAACCATGGCTCCCCATGACTGTATCGGGGGTCAGTTCAATCGCTGGAACCCGTTCGTCGGCACCGGCTGTGCAAATTTGTGGCTTAACTCGTATGTTTGTGTCGGAGCACCGAATTAGTAGCCGGATCAAGACCCAGAATGCCCGGCTTTTGTCATGCAGGGGGATTGTGATACTGAAGGAAGCCGGTGTTGGACCACGGGAAACCGGATCCATAATTACTACTTAACCTTTGAGAACGCTGCTGGACTATACTTTTCGATTTCTCTTCATACGTGGACCACATAGGCAATAACAAGAACAGCAAATGACAACACAGCACGAAGCCGGCCGAGACCATGGTAACCATGACTGAATGTCGCCCTAAAGTGCAAGGGAAATAGGCGGGGGGTCGATACCTAGCATAACCAAGGCGTGTTGTGTTTCATAGGAGAACATGGGGAAATAAGAGCAAATCTCGTCGATACTTAGGGAGGTACTAGAATAGGTAACAAGTTGGATGGTAGAGAATGAAGTATCAGCAGGATATGTACAGGCACTACTAGCCCTCACCCTCATCCTCGTCTTTTCCAGTGTATTAGGTAGGCCTGGAGGACTGTGTCGCTCGTCATTACAGCCACAGCGTCAAATTCCGCGTCATCCATGCCGTTATCGTCATTCACGGCCTCGTCGTTGCGCAGTAGCTATCTGGTGGCGCCGTTCTCGGCCATGAGCGCGCGCCGTCGTCTCGCGCGCCATGACCGTTGTCGCGGTGCCGCCAATTAGGAATTGCTCAGTGCGATTTCTCGCCAAGACAGAACTGAGCATACTGAGCGCCAGGAGATCCACTGAGCGTGCAAGGAAAGAACGGTAATTGGCTATTCATAGCTCTATATAGTAGGAGCTGAAGGCACTCTTGGAGTCGCTCTTCAGCTATCAATGCATATGGTTTATCATCGATTAGATCTTAGGAATATTACTTCCCGCAATCTTGTGTACTCTTGATACTCCCTACCCCCGCCTTACCTATATGTAGTTCGCCGCTTCGCATCTCACCCACCCCACCCTCACAATCCTAGGCAGGGCCTAGCTCCGTGAGACCCCGAGTCTCAGATTGTAACACCTTCTCCTTCTAGTAAGGTACTCGGAAAAGGGTTTTCCACCTACGAACTTAGGGGTCCTAGAATAACGGGGGCCCAGACAGGCGTAGGAGCGAAATGAGTGCGCCAACTCTTGGGGATCTCGGCAGTAGGAAGGTGCGACTGAGTGGGCGACCCCACAGGCTGCAGACAGGCGGAAAGACAGATTTCAAGATAACGACAGTGTCATCTCGGTCTTTTTCGGGGCTTCAAGAGTAGGAAGGAGCGGGTGACGTCGCAAAGTGGCATTAGGAGGTATTGGCAGGCGCGCAAGCAGGCAGACAAATAATGAGGGATCAAGTCTGCGATCGCTTCTTCTTGATCGTCTACACGGCTTCAATAGTGAAAGCTTGCAAGCGACTAGAATACCTAGGCAGTTTGGCGGTGGCACGCACGCGAGCAAGCAGACAGATGTCAAGTTGGCGGCATTTCGCCATTTCCTTCTCCAATATCCCAATGACTTCAACAGCAGGCTCGCGCGCAAAGCAAAGGCAGGCAGGCACACACAGACTTCAAAATTAATTGTAGAAAACGGCTTCTTCTCTATGAAACTACTTCGTGAGCGGCGATCATAGTGAAAAAGATTTAGAATAGGAAGGCTATCAAAAATTGCGGCCCTAACGGCCCCGAAGGACAATCGCTAGTAGAGCGCAACCGCGGTGTGAAATGCAGGCTCTCTACGGAGCAAGGGAATCTTGATCTCCCTGCCTCGAACTAAGGTAAGTATGAGGGAAAAAAAGAGAAAGGAAGAGGAAGAGAGGGAGGGAGCGATTGGTTTTATAAAGATTCGAGTTGGTCCGTGCACGACTGAAAAAATTGAGGGCTCTACTTCTGGCGAGGCGGGCACTACCCGCCTTTCGCTTCCTTTACCTATCACCGCCTGCCAGTGACTGGCTCTTACGACAGCGAACAAGTTCAGATGAAATTGGAAGGTACCTGCTGCGGAAGCACGGATGCTAGCTGGGCGCCTTCTTGTCATCAGCTGCACTGCCTGACGTCGAGCGTCTTGAGACGAACCTCCAAGGCCACCGCAACGGCTGGCTAAGCTCCACTTCTTGTCGACGGCCTTGCCATTCACTCACTGGCGATGCACAGCTCGCGATGCAGAGGGTGCCAACCGGCCCGCAGCAATTGACTGCATCTCTATCAAACTCGTCCCATCTCCCGCTTCCAAGTGAGCTTCTGGGGGGCGCCCATCTTCAATGTCATGGCTGCGAATTCGGTGCTGAAAGCTTTCAGTTCTCCTCAACGGTTCAACCTTCTTTCTTTTCGGAAATTGGCTGCCGCCGACACAAACAAACACGCATGCGCTCACATTCACGCACTTACACACGTATTCACATACCCACATTCAGACATAGAGAGGGCAAGAGTGACAGACACAGAAAGAGCAAGAGTGACAGACACAGAGAGCAAGAGTGACAGACACAGAGAGAGCAAGAGCAACAGACATCAAATAGTAACAATACTTCGGCCGTGGTAATTCGTCAACAATCCTCGCTAATAGATCTCCCAGGGTTTCCGCCACTTTTTCTCCTAGAAACCCCGACACTCACACAAGACAACCTCAAAGCCTGCCTGCGAGGCGGTTCTCGCCCGGGGCGTGGTAGTCGGGCACCTTCATGTCGAGCGCGGCACCCGAGTATCCCAGGTCCTCGGCCACGAGCACGGCGGCCTTCTCGCCAATGAGCAGGGCCGTCGAGTATCTGCGCAGGGAAATATAATTGTTAGTCATGATGTTTGTGCAACCATTGAAGCAATTTTACGGGGAGACTCACGTGTTGCAGCCGACGTTGTCCGGGCAGATGCTGAGATCGGCCACCTTGAGCCCCTCGACGCCGTACACGTTGAGGCGCTCGTCCAGCACGCCGTGCTTGACGATGCTGTTGCCCTCGCGGGGCGCCATGGAGCACGTCTATCGATTCGCCACAGTCAGCCTCGCGCCTTCGCGACGGTTCTAACAGGTCAACTACTTACGCCAAGGCAGTGCCAGGTGGTCTCGACGTGGCGCTTGACCCAGTCCTCGATGGCCGAAATGTCCTTGTTGGAGTATTGCAGCTCCTTGCGCTTGGCCTTTTGGTTGCTAGTGACGAGGCTGCCGTTGGGCCGCTCGTCGGGCTCGGGCACGGGCACCGTCCACGAGCCGTGCTGGATGCCCGCCGTGATGTTGCCCGGCAGCGCGTACTTGTTGGTGTCGGCCAGGTCGAGGTCGTACGCCCGCGCCTTGGAGTCGAAGTCGTACACGGGGTGCATGTTTTGTACCTCACCCGCGTACGCGTCCATGCGCCGCGCCGTCTCGCGCGACTTGATGTACCCCCACACCATCGGCACCATGTCGCGCTCGTCGTTCTATGCTGAGAGTTAGTAACGCCGTCGACGGGGGGGCTAGTGAGCCTGATATGAGGGGGACATGCCATGAAGCCGGCGTCAAAGTCGGGCACCGCGTACGGGTCCGGCGACGTGATGTGCGTTTTGCCGCGCGAGAAGGGATACTCGAGGAAATGAAACATGGTGAAGAAGTTGCCAGGAGGCCTGTTCATCGCAAAACCGTCAGCATTGCCGCCCGCACGATATATGGCAGATAGATGACACAGATTTCAAACTCACATCAGCATGTGGTCGCCAAACCAGCCGGCAATCACTTGAGAGGTTAGTCAGCAGGTATTCAGTCATTCACAGTCACAGACGAAACGTTCGAGCACCTACCAGAGTAGTGCATTACGGGCTTGTCGGGCTTTTCCTTGAAGTACGACTTCCAGCCGTCCTTGAAGTGCGGGGTGGGCCAGGACTCAAACTCGCGCAGCTCCTTCTCGGTCGGACGGACCTTGACGCCCGCCTCAATGCCGTTGGTGGCCAGAGGACCAGTACCCTTGATGTTCCACTCGTCGAAGACGCCTGAGCGACGGATGTATGGTTAGCACATTGAACCACATGGCAATTCCCACATGGCAATTTGATTAAGTTGGGACTTCATACGCTTCTGCACCTCGGGCTCGCCGCGGGCAAAGTCGTCAAACGAGTCGGTGCCGGGCTTGGCGCGGTACACGGAGAAGGTCAGGTAATGGTCCTGGAAGTTGAGGCCGACGCCGGGGAGGTCGACGATGGGCTTGACTCCAGCACGGCGGAGCTTGCCGGCATCACCTGAAAAAAGGTCAGCTTTTTCAACTCAGGCCATGGTATGTGTTCGGGGCGAACATACCGATGCCCGAGCGCTGAAGAATGAGGGGCGAGGACATGGTTCCGCCGGACACGACAATCTGCTTGCGTGCCCTGAAGATGCGGGATCCGCGGTTCTGCAGCCAGTCAGTCAGCCAGCCAGTCAGCCAGTCAGTCAGCCAGTCAGCCAGCCATTACGAGTATAGTCTCGAGTGGGTATCGTGACCCTGGCTTGTCAGGGGTGCTTGAAAACGTACTTCGCCCATTGGCTTGGTCGGCCTGTCTCGGACGTCAGCTGTCGTGTACGGTTTGAAGAATCATTGCCGTCGCACCTGGATAAATACGACTTACACAGTCAGGACACCGACGGCCCTGCCGTTCTCGATGATGACCTTGTCGACCTTGGTGTTGGTGGCAAGATACAAATTCGAATGCACGGAGCGGGTCGAGTGGATGTACGCGTGGGCGCTGTCACTTCGCCGGCCAGTCTGGAACCTTGTCGTTAGCAGCCGCACCCAAACGTACGACGACCTGGTAAAGCACGCATGCTTACGTCGCGGTTGATCCACTTCAGCCACTGCTCAGCGCCGTGGCCCGTCTTGAGATCCTGCAGATCGTCGACGACCGGGATGCCCTGGGACTCGGCAGCACGGAGAAAGTCATCCTTGATGGGGTACACGCTGTTGAGCAAAAGTCAGTGGCCGGCCAACTATCATCAGAGATGAGCCTGCTGTTGCGTACTGATTTCCGAACGAGACCTTGATGGGGCCCTCGAAACCGTGCGTGTCCCGGTTGTGGGAGGCGCGCTGGTACGTCTCGTGCTTCTTCATCAGTGGGATCAGCTCCTCGGTCGTCCAGCCCTTGGCCTGAAAGTCGTCATAATCGGAAGCTGAGGCCCGCGTGTACATCTGTTAGAGTTAGCATGTTTGACGGTCGGCCTCGGTATCCAGGACCAGTGGCCATACCATGAAGTTGATGGACGAGCCACCGCCCAGGATATGGGCTGCCGGCACAATAGCTCGGCGGCCATTGAGGTGCTCCGACGGGGAGGACTCGTAGAAGGAGGCCGTCTTAGAGTCCAGCTTCATGTTCCGCGGGAAGATGCCCGGGCGGAACACCCACGGGTTGTTGAGGTTGCTCTCGCCAGCCTCAATGAGCAGCACCTTGAGGTTGTGATCCAGGTTGGCCAGTCTACCCGCCACCACGCAACCGCAGCTGCCCCCGCCGCACACGATGATATCGAACTCCTCTGGGAGCGGCGACATGTTGGACGTTGTCTCTGTCAGGTTGCCCTGAGATGGACTGTGAGGTGAGACAGGAGAAGAAAAAGATGGCCAGGCGGATGCCGGGTTCTTATACCTCGAGCTGCTGCTCATCCTCTGGACATGTCCAGTACCTCTTCAAGACTTGACCAGTGCTCTCCGAATGATCCCCGGGACCGGCATGACCCCTCTCGAGACCTGGAAGGGTCCAGCACGAACGTGCATCAGCCATCTCCCCATGGCAGTGTTCCCCATCCAATACCAATGCTTGAAGGTGTTCAGGCGCCCTGGTTCAAGGTTGAAGGGTGGGCCCTGCAGGATCCTCTTTTACCACCTTAGCCCGAGAGGGAGAGATGCTGCTGATCTCAAAACTTACGACGCGTGCTTGGGAACCCCTCTTCCTGAACCATGCTGTGCCACGGCGGTTTGCACGGCTCACTCGGGATGAAATGGTGACGGCAGTATCGAGAGAGGTGGAATCGAGGCTTGCTATTGGGGCCCGCTTCTGGCACCGCTAGTGGGTAGGCCAATTTTAGCAGGTCCGTCCCCAAGCAGTAGTCAACCATCGACTTACTATGGGAATTGGGGACCACGAGTGAGGGGGTAGTAGCAGAGCGCTGCAGCATCATCAACAGCAACCCCATTCCCCCCGTGCGCTGTGGGCAGCTCGCACTCTGGTGCTTCTCCGATCTACGATGCACCTTAATTATGTGCGTACTTGTGGTGGCGATGCCATTGCTTGCTTCGCTCCTGTCTCCTCTGGATGAGACCCAGGCCCGGCTTAATATGCGACGGTTTGATGCTGGCCATACGGCTTGCTCTTTCCCGCCTGCACTGGCCAGCCAGCCCGTGCCGGCCACCACTCACCTCGTGTTGTACGACCTCATCGGCACTTACTAGTAGCCACCGTCTTGCTGGATGAAAAGCCGTCGAGCAGCAAGCAGTGCAACTCGAAACGTGCAGGTCTTGCATGACAATAACTGGGCGAGTCTAAATGTTCCCCTTCACCGAATGCGAGCTTCCCGCCGGTCAATCGTCCCGGGGCTCCTGACGCTGGGCTGCCGCCGAGATGGACATTTGGAGAGAGGGGGTCGTTCGGTGCTGCTCCTCCCTGCAGGGCCAACGACGCGTGGTCGGTCGACCCATGGACCATCCCCATTCCACATCCAGCTCCACATTCCCTGCAGAATACGGGGAAATGGTCCGGCGTCGTCCTCCGAAGGATGGCAGCAGAGCCGCAGCGGGCATTAGTGCGATGCAAGCGTGGTCGAGCGAGGAAAAGCCACACCCGACATTGGACACGGACAAGAGGGGGGGGCTAGTTCAAGTCGCAGCCAGTCAAGACGTGAAGAAGGCCAAGCCACCATCATCGTAATACCCACTCGATCGACCAGATGAGGGGGGCGAAAGGAAAAGGGGGGCCAGATGGACGTTCTTGGGGGCAGGGGTGTTTGGGGCAGCGAGCCATGCATAGCCAAACCGGGGGGCAATCAAAGCGCGCGACTGCACGGCACATCAATGGGGGGCGCGCCGCTGTTTCTTGGCCCCCCTCTTCCCCACTTTTTGCTTGTGCTCGCATGCGGGGGGAAGTGACAGGTAATAACGCGGGGTTGGCGTGTTTGGGGGTGGATGAAGGTATCCGCACTCGACTACGGACTGAACAGGTCCACACAGCATTTTTGAAAGGAATTGAGCTCTGCTCGCCTACCTAACCAGACGTAGCTTGGCAGCCACGGCGGTCCCGATTCGAGTGAGGTGCGGAGACGTCGATTTAGATAGGCATTGGCAGACCCGCAGCAACCCCGTCTTATACCCATCACAGCCAAGGACCGGATCAAACATGGCGGGTAAGCAAGCATCACCATGCTATGTACGAAAAGGGGCAGTGCTTACGGCCCGTCTCCTCTCTCTCCTCGCTCCTCTCTCGACTCGAGCCGGCGTAGTACTAGCCCGCAGAGGATGGAGGATTGAGGACGAACACGGGATTGTAAGGCAGCTTTTGTCTACCAACCTCTTTTCCGGACTTGCTAGGAAGCTCCAAACAGGATGTCGTGCTTGCTTTCTTGGCATGTGCTCCCATCGCCAGAGACGTAAATCCAATGGGATTCAAAGCACGCCAATTGGATCTTTCCAAGTTCGGATTCGGAAAACTCGGGGTGTTAGACACAAATGTCCACCAATCCCTAGTCTCTCTCCCCCCTTTTCCCCTCTTCTCCCATCTGCCCGCCTGCCGGTCTTGGATACTTCCTCAGTACTATCGCCAGCAGAAGGACGTCCGCGAATTTAGCCCAGCTGCTTGCTGGCAGCTTTGGTAATACTGGTAACAGCAGCAACGAGTCATCCCATTCGCCAATGGCCCCCGCCAAAACTTGGACGCGCACCCATCCGCCCCAAAGCAGCGACGCTAGCCGCTGCGCCAGGCAGGCAATAACAGCCCCTTACCTTCCTAAACCCGCGAGTAACCTGGTTAGTAGAAGCCGGCGTGTGCCACGAGTTGTCCAACCCCGAGGTAGGTCCGAGGCGGGCAGGCCACGTGTGAGCGTGTATACGTCGCCAAGTCTCTGGGCCTTGATCTCATTCTCCCTTCCTTTTGCATCGCATGGCGCACGCATGCCGGTAAGAGTTAATATCACCTACCTACCTCTGCATATGGAGAGCAGCTTGTTCGAACTCGGGCCACAAGGCCGACGCGGAGATTTTGGGGGGCGGTCATGGGACCTCGTTGGCCGGGATGCTCGGAGACGGGTTGGACAGGCCTGTCTGTCTGTCTGTTGACATGGGATGGTGCAGAGCTACGTGACGAGCTGGCCAGTTACTGGATGCTTGTTGTTATTGGTGGTTGTGGGGGGAAGAGAGGGGCACAATAAGGTGGTGATGATGATGATGATGATGATCATGGTGTGGGTTGTTCCACGTGCTTGAATCCTTCACCTTGGCGTACTAATAGTTACTTACTTGTAGTTGATTGAGTACAGCGTACAAGTTTCTGTCCGCTAACGAGCCGAACTGTCCCATGTGGTCCATCCTGGATATCTTACCCGAGGGGGAAGCTATGAAGACATTGACTTTTTGTCTGATCCTAGAAAGTGAGGAATGCCAGGCTTCAACTAATTACTACTCACCCCATATAGTCTCGTCCGAATCATAGTGGGTCGATTTCTCCCTGATGGCGTCTGGGACTTTGGGACCCATGCTCTCGACTAGTTTCTTGGCTAGGCTAACGCTGCTTGCCTAGCGTTGTTTCTAGATCTATGTCGGAACTAGTTTTACTAACGTAGGTTTTGACGGGCCTTTGCTAGGGCTGAGCTCGAGTGGATTTTCTTTAGCTCGCTTGCGCGTGATGATTTCGCGCAATTTAGTGTGACATTTCCATGAGCCACCCTCTTGAAGTGCGACCTCTTACTCTCACCTCCCCGGACGCACCTTGCGTTGGAGTTATCTAGGCTCACATCAGTAGATTATAGGCTCAAGAAACCTTTGACCGCCTCCTTAATCATTTAATGAGCTACTTGGGCTTTTGAGAAGCCTAGGTACTTAACCTTGTTACACACCAACGTCATCTGTCTTGATTCTATTGATATTTCTATGTGGATGCTTGACCTGTCTAACCACCTGGTCTAGAAATTTCAATATATACGTAGATCGTCTATTGGGGGTATTTGGGCGTCTTTGACGGCCGCCGTCTTGTCCTCCATAGATCAAATATGGACTTGTGTTTTCTAGGTCTCGGAATCTTATCTCCTAGCTTCTCCCTGTGATAGACTATTAGAATCCCGCCAAAGGGCAGCTCTCCCTGACACTTCTTGGTGTCAAGAGGCAGAGGCAATAACCGGAACTTGCACTTGTGGAACTTCTCCGAGTCGCATTATCGTGTGAGTCGCCCAAACAATGTATTATCGACGATGGACTCGATACGGGACAGCGCTGAGATGTAGCGCAGAAGCAAGAAGACGGGAAGATACTGCCTCGCGATGGATTCGGCAGTGATGTCTTTACGCTAGAACGGCACCCGACTCAGCACTTTGTTAATCCTGTTGGATTTCCAGTACTTTGCCAAGATCTGCTCGCATAAAATTGGGGATGATCCTCGCTGCCACTGACGCAGGTGTGATCAGACCGTCTTAAACGTTCGTCGATGAATCCTCGAAATCATTGGCCTCAGATTCCAGGTTGGGAGTAGTTGGACGCCCAATACTAGCATGCAGATCCATGGCTTATATGTCAAGAGTCGTGCTATGGGCGGATGGGAAGAGGAGAGAGGGAAGGGAGGAAAAAGTACAAATTGTTCTCCTCGCTGCAATTGATGATGGAAAGCTGTTAAATCTCAAGATCAGATGAAATTGACCATGTCTCCTTGAACTGACCATCCGACATACCGAGACACACGGAAGGCAAGCCAATCGCGAGTCTAAATATCATCTAGTCCTTTGTTTGTAAATAGAGTCACCAGTAACATGGATGCGTCGTATCATATCTAATTATTTGGCTTTAGGTTGTGCTTGCCCAATTCCCAAATTTTGGACTTGGTTATCTCCAACAGTCAAAGAGTGGTGCGATGAAAAGGAAGAGCCCGTGCGGTCTGTTTAAAATTAGGAGAGAATAACGAAAGAAGCACAACCCCCTGAGATCAGATGGGTAGATCAGCTACCTTATATCAGAGATGTCAAACGAGCTAGTAGTCCCTAGACTTCGGACCTAAGCTCGCCTACACTGGTGCCTGACTTGTGATGAACCGCCAATGTCACGGGCCCGCCCACGGCATTCATGTACGGAACCTCAACACCGTGCTAAGAATGTGGTGCCGGTAACTCTCTGCCCATGCCGTAGCTGTTCGTCCTTCGGTAATAGACGCCGTGAAACATGACACTGTCTATACCGGTATTGTTTCTCCGGCTACATCCGGGTCATCCTCTCCATCCGCCAACCACCGCCGCCGCGGTGACAGCTCCTGATTTACCTTCGGAGATTACCTTAGGCGAACTGGGAATTGCCAATATCGCCTTTCCTCTCAGTTGAGCATCGCTCATACACTTTTTACCAAGTGTTCAGCCACGACGGGAGTCCTGCTGGTGTATTAAGCAAGCTTATAATATAATGACGAGGCTTGCATCCTTCTTCTACCTATGGTACTCGGCTGCAATGGTAACACGCAATTACATCTCTACGTACTCGGAAAATGTGACACAGAATATCCTTGTTGCTCTGTGGAGCTTACTAGGGCCCTGCGGGCCCCCTTACCGAGCTCGCTGCCACTCGCTCTGCTCGTATATATAGGCCTCCTCTGCTCCTTCTTTTATATAGAAAACAACGCTCTTTCAACCTCTTCCACAACACCCTAGAGGGTGCCTTTTCACCGCGTCACAGAAAAAGCACAATAAGAAAAAGATTTTGAAGAGGTAGTGTCCGTACTAATATGTCAGCTGAAATCTGAGTGGCGAAAGAAAACACCACCCCGGGCCAAGTTCATTCATGGCAATTACCCTGCCCTGCCGGCACGCTCTGGCCAGAGAACCATCTCAATGCACGACGCTCTATCCCAGAAGAAAAACAGACAGGAAAGCTGGACAAGGACGCTCGCAAGAGCACACGGTCCGTACGCGAGGTGTCTTGACAGGTTTGTAAAAGTACCACAGTAATTGCTATCCACCTCTATTTGACTCTTTCTATTGCCCCCTGATGGCCGTAATTTTGCTGATGCTGCTCCAAAACGTATGAGGCATAGAAAAATGTCATGTTGTGGTGCTATTGCCACTGCTGGCGGCGCTCCCGCCGTCACTGCTGCTGCTGCTGTGCTGGGCTGAGAGTTGGCAGGTTTCCGGCACAGGCAAAGCCCACAAGCGGCTGGAAAAAGGGGCCATGACCAAACAACAAAACTGCCTACCTGCCTTGTCTGTCCCGTCATCGTCGCCTTCTTTTTCTTTTTATTTCCTTCACGCCGCCTCTGCGAAGATCCCCCGGCCCCCTGAATCATCACGATGCCACCGGGCCCCGCCCTGATGAGGGTGTCGTTGACGTCCTTTCTTGCGCTGGAAAACATGTTGCCACGACACGCAGACCTTTTTTGCAATTTTGATTGTCACGCAATAGTCGGAAACAAAGGTTTGCATGTGTTGAGGATCCAGTATGGTCATTGGTTAGATGGTAGGAGTCTGGGAGGAAGCGAGAATGGTCGAGTGAAGCTGAGTAATTAACGTATGGGAAATGGTTGTGTGGTCGACAGAGCAGAGCCCACACGGAGTTACCCAGGATGTGATAAATGAGGAGAGTTTAACCAGGCTTCGGTTTTGTACCACTATTTTCCTCGCTATCAACTACCTTACTTAAGAACCCCGAGGGACACGCCAAATAGGCACCCAGAGTAACAGCACAAATGATCAATTGCAAAAAGTCAGCTCACATTTCGATCGACTCGTAGCTCAGGAGGTAGACCTGCCTTCTCCTTCTGCTTTTGTCTATCTTTGCAAGTCTAGGACGTCAAACCGAAACGAAAGAATGCCCGCAGACGACAGCAAGGTTAAGCTCCCCACCCCGGCGGAAGGGGCCCTGATGGAGAAATCGGCCGAGTCTCGCAACAAACCCGAGATGTCGTCAAGGCTGGCAAGGGCGCGGGCGAGATTATGAAGAGGGCGGGCGAGGCGGCGCAGGCGAGCAGGAATGTTGATGGCGGAAAGGAGTCAGCTTCGAAGTAAAAATTGTGCGTGTAATGGGTGAAGTGAGTGACCGAGTGTAGTGAGAACAAGGTTGAAGGACATACCGCAAGTTGGGGCAATGTAATTTACTTTATCACACCCACTAACACGCTACGTATTGGGACTTGTTGTGTTTTATTTCCGAAATAAAGTAAAAATAAAATTAACACGGTAAAATATCAAAACATTTGATGCAAATAAGTGTACATGGGGCTCTTGAATGGCCCCAGATCCTCCGTCCATCACGGCTTTTGGGGTCATACCTATGCAGGAAAGATACTCAATCTCACCGTATAGCAGAAATTCGCTCTTCTGCGTTCTACCTGCTCATATGCCATATCCCATTCTATCTGGGATGTGCAGTGAAGATTATGCCAAGTCCCGCGAGGACCTCTATGTCTCTGTCATGTTGTCAACCACACACACATACCTAACAAGCGGCTTGTAGACCCTTAAATACACCTAGCCTCAGGGGCCGGTGCTAAAGTAGTAGTTCTCCCATAGGTACTCGTAGTCCTCGAGGATGCCGCCGACGAGGCTGGGCATACGGCGGCGCACGCCAGCAACGACACCCTTGGTGACGTTCTCGTAGAAGGCGCCGCGCATGGCCCACCAGCCCATGGCCCAGCCGCGGCGGCTCCACTCGTCGCGCTCTAGCGGAGTGGTGCGTAGGCCGCGGTCGCGTAGCTGCCGCGCCGCCAGTTCGACGCCCAGCCCTAGCAGCCACGGCGACCACGCACGGCGCTTGTCACGGCTGCGCGCCATGGCCACGGCGTATATGACCGGGGTCAGGATGTGCAGCACCTCGGCCACGTGCGCCGACCCCTGCAGCTGGTTGAGCAGATTGGTCGCCGGCTTGATGTCGTCGGCCGTCAGCACCCGCGACAGCAGGTACCCGCTGATGTCGCCCGGCGCGGGGAGGGTCGGGAGGGACATGCCGGTCCGCGGCATGACCCACTCGCCGTTGGGTCCCTTTTGTGGTATCTGCTGTCGGCAATCGTTGTGATGTGCGGAGCCGTTGGAGGCACGCAGCCCGTTCCGATCCACGTCGTCCTCCTCGAGGGCGGCGCGCAACTCGGCTTCATCCTGGGCATCCTCGGATGGCTCCTCGGGGACGGGCTCGCGCTCGGGGAGCATAGGCGACACCAGCGGGCGCGACTTGGTTATGCGCAGCAGCAGTAGGCGGCACACGGCCTTGATGGCCTCGAGTAGGATGACGACGCGCCACCGGGTGCGCTCGCCGCGGCGCTTGGCCGCCATCTCGCACAGCAGCTCGACATAGTTGACGATCTGCAGCAGGTAGGCGACGCGCCGGTAGAGAGTGCTCTTGAGCGTCCAGAAGCGCGTGTAGCGGCTGTGCGGGGAGGGGATCTGGGCAACCGGGACCGTGGGCAGCTTCGAAAGCGCGAGCACGCGCCGGAGGAGGGTATCGTGGTAGAGGGAGAGCAGCTGGACGCCACTATGAATTGACTCGGAAGCGATTTCGGCATCACGGAAGCGGCCTGCTCGACCAAGGGAGGTTAGCTCTCGGCGGCAGATGGCAGCATGGGCAGGGCGTGTCAATCACGGATGGAACGCCTGGGTCTGCATACCGGGAATGATGTATGTCAGCGACCGCAGGGCCGACTCTATTTGCGAGACTTGGTGGGCGTTCTTGGCGATGAAGTCGTCGTAGATGTGCAGCCATCGCGGCGGCAGGGATAGCGCACTTCGGATTCCCGCGTCGGGTGGGCTCGGCTTCGACATTGCCAAAGCAAACAGTTCAAAGCGGAATGCGCGGCATCAGGCATCGACACGAGTTCAGCGTCGGCTGCAGCGGAACGGCGCAAAGGTCGCACTACGCGAGCGACGACCCGAGATGGAGGGAGACTAGCTGTTGGCGGTTGGCGGTTGGCAGTTGGGAACGACAAAATCCCATCGTCGGGCGTTGCGCTGGCGTTGAATGGGGCAAGCTTCCATGGGTACCTGGGCCTCGGCTGTCACCTGTGGCGCCAATTGTGGGGGTGTTTTGGAAAGCCTCAGGCCTTCCAGCTGCCCCGGCACGCGAGACGGATACGGATAACAGATTGCAGGGCCAGGTGTGTCACGTGCGCGCTTCTATGCAATTTCAAGATTTATGGCAAATTCCGTCCCCCGTGTTCTGTTAATTCCGTCCGGATTTCGGGCTCCGCCTCTGTACCTTCCGCATCACTTTTAAACCCATCATCGCTGCCCAGTGTTTTGATATCGTGCAATTGAATTGTTTTTTTGCTGTTCTTCATATGTATTTGTCTTTTCTTCATTCAGTACTGGGAAGTCGAAATGCGCACTACAGGCCCGCCCCGACCGCAAACGCCCAAAATGATTTTTATCATTTGGTATTTGGGACTGGGGACAATCGACAGTCCAAATTTCTCCCACTGTGCTCAAGTCGATCTCCAACGACAAGCTCGCAACACCAAGGCGCTCCCACAGCCATCTTCACAGTCTGCTGCTGCTTGCGACATGGCCTGTCTGCAGTCAAGCGGCCGCTGCCTTGAGTTTCTCGATTCTCTTCTTGGTGTGGGTGATGACGTCCTCCTCGTCGTAGATGGAGGTGACGCTTGGGTGCAAAGACACGGCCTGGGCCCAATTGTAGAAGTTGGGCGCCTTCTCCTGGATCTGGTTGATCAGGCTCGGGGGGTAGATGCCGGCCTTGGCTGACGACAGAAGCCGGAGGACGAATGACCCCGAGAGCACCTCGGCCAGCGTGAGCTTATCGCTCCCGCCAAAGTATGGCTTCGTGTCGGCAAGCAGCGGCTCGACCTCCTTGACAAGGTTCGCCACGGCCGCGTCGACGACAGCGCTGGCCTCGGCTTCGGTCTTGGCCGCGCCGAGCTTGAAGAGGGAGCTCTGGAACTTGGAGAAGTACGCATCGACAAACAGAGCGATGCGAGCGCGGCGAAGCGCACCGCCCGGGGCGTCGGAGGCGGGCACAAGGTGCGACGGGAAGGCGTCGGCCAAGAATGCCGCAACAATGCCCGACTCGATGATGATCTCGCCATTGTACGACAGGGCCGGAACCAGGCCGCGCGGGTTGATCTTCAGGTACTCGGGCGTGCGGGGCGTGTCCAAGTCGATGATGACCTCCTCAAACGGCAGCCTGAGCTCCTCGAGCGCAATGTGCGCGCGGTGTGCCCCTGCACGCAGCGTGTCAGCCCGGCCGGCAACGGTACGACTGCCGGTACGACTGCCGGTTGGTGGCCGGTTGGTGGCCGGGGGCGCCTATTACTGGGGTACGGATGGGGACTCACATGGGCAGCGGTGGTTGGTATAGAGGATGAGCTTGGCGTCCTGAGAAGCCATGATGACTTCGTCGCTTTTCTCTACACGGGTCGAACTTTTTTGCTAACGAGTTTGCAGATGCAGCCGGGTCAGAATGGAGAATCAGTCACAGTGCGAAGCTTCAGCAGCAACTAGGTGGCATATATACTGGCTGGGAGCCACAGCACAAACGGTCGGGGCTCTCCACTGCTTTATGGGCGCTGTCGGAGCTCGCGTCATCGATGGCGCGAAGATCGGGGGAATGCGTGTGATTTGGCGATTACTAAGATGGATTGATAAGCGACCCCTGTACTAAAGTTTCCGTCGTGCACACTGACCCCGCGTATTGGTATTTTGGACGCTGCGAGGAGGGGGATTGCGAATCAGTTCGCCGTGCTGTGCCGAGTGGGGTAAGACCGTGGACCGTGGAGCAGCATACAGAGACAGAGCTGCAGAGCGGAGTAACGAGACCCCGACTCACGCGAGGCATGAGAGACACGGTCCGATCTTCCAAGACACCGAGACTAGAATCGGACTCCTACCGACTCGGTGGAGGTCACGGCCAAGCCTGCCAGCAGCGACCCGAGCCGTTGGGTCCTCCGTCTTGGCGTTGCGCTGCTGCGACATGCCACTGCCACTGCCACTGCCACTGCCACTGCCACTGTCCCTGTTACGGTGCCTGTCACGGTGGGACCGAAACACGTTGCCTGCCTTGCTTGCTCGCGACTTGCCGAGCTTTAATTGCGGGTTAGCAGTATAGACAGGACCACGAAGCCGGAAACATCAGATGCCGGCCTATATCTATATACCTAGCCAAGACTTTTATTAGGGGCGCAGATTACTCCATCGGGCTTCGGCCTGCCGCTGGATTTGTCTAGTAGTCTCTCGGCTAAAGCGGCCACCCACTAACGACAGGCATGCCACATCCGCACACGGCTCGATACAGTGAGGCTTTTGGGATTAGATGAATGCTCGTCCGTGGTATTTCCCGGGAGCGTTTGTAGCTGTGACCCCGGCATCTCTAGCGACCGGAAGCATGATAAATAGGTAGCGAGCGGCATATCGGGTCCCTTCTTGAGCCTGGTTCGGTGTTGTACTTGGAGTTTACGAAGTTTTTTTGAATCCAGCCCTATTATGAAGATGAGATCCCGCGGGTTATTCAGTGCTTGTGCTGTTGCTGTATCCGGCATCGAGGCTGTGACGGCGCACACCTTCATCTGGGTAAGCAGGGAACGCTGGAACAAGCTTCCTGCACAAGAACCGGCACCATAGTTATGCCAACTAACTCCCGTCCAGGGCGTTTTCGTCAACGGCGTTGACCAAGGGACGTACCGAGCGATTCGCACCCCGGCGTACAATAACCCACCGCCGCGCGGGTACGCCAACTCGCCCGTCAAAGACCTCGACTCGATCGACATGCGATGCAACGTCCTCGGCGACAAGCAGGTCCCGTACACCATCAAGGTGGCCCCGGGCGACAACTTGACCTTTGACTGGCACCACAACAACAGGACAGACGCAGACGATGTCATCGCCGACTCGCATCACGGTAATTAACTACAGCCAGCCCCGGTCCGAACGGCGAGCCTGCTGGCTACGGTGAAATCCGACGCCGCTGTTGGAGCGAGAGAGTATGCTGACCGCGGCGCTCGCCATAAAACCGTAGGACCGGCCCTCGTGTACCTGTCGCCCGATCCGCCGACGGACAACTCATTCGTCAAGATCTGGGAGGAGGGCCTGTACGAGCAGGGCACGACGCCCTTCACGCCGGGCAAATGGGCCACGACGGCCGACATAGCCGCGAACCACGGACACATGAACGTCCGCATCCCCGCGGGGCTGAAGGCTGGCCAGTACGTGTATTCCAGACTACCCACCTACTGTCACGATCCTGGCGGACAGGGGCCGGCGGGGAGAGAGAGAGAGACACCCCTGTTTTTTGCTGGTTGGTTGTTGGTTTGTCTTTTTTGTTGTCTGACACGCGTAATCTTTTTTAGCTACCTCATCCGCGCAGAGATGATTGGCCTACACGAGGCCGACGCCAACTACCAGAAGGTGCCGTTCCGCGGAGCCCAGTTCTACCCCAACTGTGTGCAGATCGAGGTGGTCGGAGACGGCGCCGTCGAGCTGCCCGAGGGCGTCTCGTTCCCAGGCGCCTACAAGTACAGCGACCCTGGCGTCGTGTACGACGTACGTTGATTTTACGCCGACTAATGCTCGTGGCGCAGAAAAAGACATGGAATACATGGAATCAACCTGACTAACTGTCGTCTACCAGATTTACTGCTCGACCAAGACCACGCTCACCACCCCCTGCGCCACCACCACGTACCAGATTCCAGGTAAGTCCACTCCGCCTGAGCAGCGAAACGAGGCCCATACCCCGGCCTGACTAACAACGCCAGGCCCAACAGTCTGGTCCGGCGCGTGGGCCGAGACCACGGCCGTCCCTCTCGGGCCCATCTCGGGCGTTAGCACGGCGACGTTGTGGAGCAGCTGGATCGTCAAGTCGGTGGTCACGTCGGCCACGTACGTCGGCAACGTGCCGCACGTAGTCGCCACATCCACGTACGAGGCGTCGTGGTCGGCGCACTACGTGGCGCCCACCGCAGTCGCTGTTTGAATGTGAAAATGAGGCTGTCGGTGTGGATGGGGTGTTGTCGTGATGCCCTGAGCAGGGAGTCAAGGGGAGGTTATCAGAGTGTCAAGTTGGGTCTTCTGGGAGGAGGGAGAATTTATGAAGGAGAACCTCTGCTTTGATCGAGGCGATTTATTAGTCTAGCTACTTAGGAATGAGAACGATATAGACTCGGATTAACGGCGCATACGTTCGGTGCGCTGACAAGCTGGACTGTAAATCTATCGTCGGTGTGTCCACGTTTTGGCAAACAGCAATCATTGTTTTCATTTACTTGCACCGAATTACTGTTGTGAATATATCACCTGCTGAAAACGAGGGAAGGGAAGTCGTTCGCAGTCACAGAAGCCAATACATGTTGGTTAGCCCCTGTATGAAACGGAAGCTGGGTAGCAGTACGCCGAACACACGGCACGGAATTGCCCTTCAACGAATCTTGCAAGGCTCTCTGACAACCAGAGCAGTGCTACCTGCATAGCATATATGAAGGCGATGTCGTTGTCCAAGTTGTTGGCATAGACTGGCAGGCGTATTACGTCACAGGGGAGGGAAAGCAGCAGATCTGGATGTTGATAAGATAAATGACCGATAATAAAAACTATAGTACAATAATAATATGATTATATGAATATAGAAGAGTAACAGAATCTACCACTCCGAATAGATCCGTAACTTCGGGAGAAGAATTGATTCCACTCCAACCTAGCCACTTCCCGATCTCCTCTACAATGCAAACAACCACCCTCTTCTACCACCCCTGCCGCTCCAGGTTGGTTCCTCAACGCCTCGAACTCGTATAGTTTGCTCCACCTGTACGGGTCAACAGGCTCGGGCCAACATGTCTTTGGCGGAGGGAGCCCCTTTCCCCGACTCGCCCTACGGTGCCCGGTCTTGGCTCTGGGGCGGAATCAGGCTCCACGACGAGCGCCGCAAGTTATGACTGTGTTTTCATAACCTCTTTCTCCAGCTCTTGTTGGTACTCGGCCGAGCTCTTGAATGCAGTATCCATTGCTGGGGGGCGGGAGGGCGTCCTAGGACTGCCCACGGGGTGATGGGTGAAGCCAGAGTAGAGTCCGCCACCAGATGCTGTGGCATCCTCCCCCTTGCCCACCCACCCTCCCTCTCCCCCGGCGATGTTGTCCATGTCGCCGTCGAACCCAAATTCACCCCGGCCTCGCGCTCCTCCCGAAAGGAAACATATGTTTCCGCCTTTGGCGGATGTTGCTGGCTGCTGCTAGGTTGTGTCAGAAGAAGCCGCGTCACGTAATCCGGCTGACCATTTCCGGCCACTCAACGAACAAAGACTTCTTTTTCCTTATATAGAAGGGCACCTGCCCTTTCTTCCTTAATTCACTTCTTCCGAATGTAAGTACTCTTTTGCCTTCAATCAATGTAGTGTTGTATGTGACAGGTTGCTGCTGGGCGTCGCCTAGGCTCTGTAGCCGTCATCGGCGACACCCAAGTCCTTAGACATAGTCTGGCAGCCGACTTAATAGTAGTCGAAGTCCGGATATGCAGCCCCCCGGCTTTCTTTTCTTTTTTCTTTCTTTTTTTTTCCTTTTCTTTCTTTTGGTGTGGCATTGGGTGGGTGGTGACGCATGGCCGTTCTCAGTTGGTGGAGTGATTTGCCTGGGTGGTTTCGGCGACGACTTGTGACGAGGCCCAAATGGAGTGACGTGATTGACAGGAGTCGGCTGACCTGGCCGTTGTATTAAGGTGATAAGATTCGGGAGTCTGCGATAGTCCTTGCGCCACTGAAAGGTATGGCTGCGACGTTTGGATTGCTAGAGACCGGGTCGGCAGTTACCCAAGCAGCATTCAAAGTATGCTCTCAACAGAGGTCAAGCCACGAGTCGTGTTCAATCTCCAGCGTATCCATGGCCCAAACATCTTTGGTCTGGCGATTCCAGTCATCGGCGCGCCAGAGAGCCGCCTTCCAGCTGCCGGGCCAGTGTCGTATTTCGTCGACGACATCGCGGCGTAGCCAGAAGCGCACTGTTCCAGTTGCAGTGTCAAACCAGAAAGCAGAGATGACGTGGACGCATGTTTTCCGCAACGCAGTAGCCTCGCGGCTGTAGCTGGTCAAATTCCATTGCCAGCGGCGGTTGGATTGCCACCCAGACGTTATAGCCCGCTCTATAGCCGTCGAAACCGGGGATCTGGTTGTGTTTTGGCGAGTACAGCACTGTCTGCCAGGGATCGTGTCGGAGCTGGAAGTGCGAACCGATCAACGAACTAGAAGAGATCAGGACCGCGTCGATTTCGAAATCCTCGTGGGTCCGGAACCAAGAAAAGCTGAGTTGGTTACTGAACCGGACGCTTGACGGCTGAGTCAGCGCTGTTGCTCCTTCCAGGGCCACTCTGGGCTTCAGCAATGGTCGAGCATAGACAAGAGGTACGAAAAGACCGCCGGTAACGCCCCTGCCAGGAAACTAAAGTTAGCCGTCTTGCTCCTATCCAGCATCCCAGGAGAGAAACTAAAGGCAGGAAACACCGGAGAGGTAAACTCACGGGATGCTGCTCAAGTCTATGCGGTCATAGTCGTGCGGTAACTGCGGCGGGCGAGACTCGAAGCAGCGAAACTGCAACTTCTCCATCACCGATGCCATCTCTCCGTGGACGAGCTCGATCACGAAATTTGCGCTGTCGGCAATCTCTGCAAACGAATCGGCAAGGTAGGCAAAGAAGTCTCCGAGGCGGTCGATGAGACTCAAGCTGCCCTCGTGGCCGCAAGGCGGTAGGCTGCTTGGGCTAGTGACGAGGCCGAAATTTTAGCACCGTGGCCGTGATTTGAAATCAACATCAATGGCAGAGCGTCGTTACATACCTTCTGGCAGCTTGCCCTCCCCGTGAAGAGCCTTTCCGTACTGTCGTGGCGTCGACATCTTTACCGCGGCACAAAACGTGTTTCTGTTGTTTTCTGCGTTCTGTTGGTGCAGAAAAGAAGCGGTATGTCGAGGCTTGTGCTGAGGGGCATCTAGAGAGGTTTTAGGAAGTGAGAGCGGATTGGTGAATCAGTCAAGAGCGTAAACTGAGGGCCCGAGGCTTTGGGCAATCGAGCTGAAAAGGAAGAATCTTCCCAACGCAGTGCCGAGTTTCTCAAATGCAGTGATTGGCGTGCTTGTGCAAGAGAAGATGTTGATCTGGAATTCTGAGGTCGGCTGGGAGAGAAAAATGTGCTGGAGGGTGGAAGGGTTTGGAGACAAGTCCAAGTACCTGCCCTACCCAAAATAGGATGGGAAAGTGTGCAGGGGCTAGATACTAGACGACGGAGACCTTCCATATCCGACAGAGCTCGCCTGGCCAGATCTCTGGCAGCGGGGCTGTGGTCTGAGGGCAAGCTGAGGTTAGCGGAGGCGAGACGAGGGAGCCATTTCTCTGTGCAGGCCGCTTTCTCAAAGATGCAGAGAAGTCAGCTGCCTTGACTATTAGGTAACTTCCCAGCAGCCAGGTAGTCGCCATAGTGATAGCTTCCAATAATCGCGCCCTTAGCAACCCCGTAATCTCCTTTCCGCGCACTTTTATAGCCTGTCTACAACAACCAAGCAGGTAAGCGTCTCTCTTGCCGCAAGGCCCCTTCTACAATACTGATGCCGGCCCACGTCATTACATACACGAAGCGCAATACTAGCCATCTTTGTCCATTACCGCCCTGTTCCAACCGCGAGATTTTGTGGGTCTAAGCTGTCCATGTGCGGATAACCCAGGCAACCGAAACAGTACACGGCTGTCTTCAGATAAAAGAACAGCCAGGCTCGTGTCGTTGTTTATAGAAATAAAACGACCAGGTGAAGTAACTAATGTACGCTACTAGAATAGAAGAGAATCTTTCAGACCTCCTAGAGGCTTCAAGTAACCAGGAATAAGAGGTCCGCCGTACGAAACCAAGGACGTACCGGACGTCTTATAAAGTGTGAGGTCATTTTGGTCTGCCTATAGAACACACATGTAGTTTCAGCCAAGAGAGTGTTATCATGGGCTTGTTTTCTTTCTTACTAGGATCGATTGATTGTATACTTCACGAAGAAGACATGAGCTTGCGCAGGTTTGTCTCCCCCATCCAAACCTGCAATTTTTCCGCCTTCCGGCCAGCAGGCCCCCGCCGCTGCTCTACTGCTGTTGATTTCAAACAACCGACAACAACCAATCAAGCAAAGCGTGATCCGGCTGGTTTGCTGCTGTTGGCGCTCTGATTCTTAGACAGGATGGATCTGAGTCTGTTCGATGGAGCACCCTGTAGTGCTGAAGGCGCCAGCTCGATGCAACTGATGATGCCGTGACTGCAAATTACAGGAATGTCCAGGCCAATAAGGCGAGTCCCTTGCAGATAGCGGCGTTTTTCGATTACAGAATATGCCTGCGGTGTTTGCAGTTACAAAAGAAGGTGCACACGGCGATACACAGGGTAGCTTCCTTCCTCGACATTCTCTCAAGTGTCAACATTCTCTGAAGTGTTATGAGAGACACAAAGAGTTTCAACCCCCACGGCTGCCCCAAGTGAACGCTGGCAGTCGCTGAGTGGGGCCATGCATCTCTCCCGCCTCCGCACAAGCTCATTCGTCTGGGGCTAGAATGTGCAACCAGGGAAGTAAGCGAATCATTAGACCCGGACATTGAGATTGAGGTCAATGTTAAGCCAGCTAAGAGGGTGAGAGACACAAGGTGGTGGGAGTGAACCGAATCCAATGGTGGCTCCTTGTATTGAGACCAATTTTGGATTTTTCACAACCCGGCCCTTTCGGAGTTGGCGGTGCTGGACCAACAGCAGTAAACAGCCGTGATCCAAAGTAGGTCGTGATCCAAAGTAGGTCGTGATCCAAAGTAGGTCGTGATCCAAAGTAGGTTTAATCGCAGGCTCTCTCGTCTATAATTAATGCCGATCCCATCAATGTAGCAATCTGGAGCTTGTACCTATTAGGCACCTACTAGCGGAATCAACCTGCAGTTGCGAACTGAAGGTCAGTGTCAGGAGCGGGGACATTAGATAGGCACCCTTCCGCAATGCTAAATTAGGTAGGCTCTAGCTGCCTGCCCCGAGCCAAAGCGGTGCCTCAACAGGACAGCCCGCTATCCTTCCAGATAAAGCTTCCGCCTCGAGGTAAGGTAGGTATCAGCCAGAAAGTAGAGATAAAAGAGACAGAGATACTGACCTGGAGATAGCCTCGGGAAGCCAGGACGCTTGGGCCAAAGATAGCTCGCGTCAAATTGCTCCCGTCTGTCAGGCTTGACAGTGCAGCCTTCAACCAAACTCCGGAGCTCGACCGACCTGCAAGCCTTGGCTGGCACCACCAAAAATCGTCGACAGAACGGTCATTTCAGAGGCAGAGAAGATGGAGAAAGCGAGACGGCACGCCATGTTGGTAAAACCCCTCAACCGAAACGACAAACAAGTGCGCCCCGTATTCCGATATCTGGCATTCGCGATCCTGTTTACAGCTGCCTGCTGCGACTTTCTCACGCGACCGCTTCGTCGCGAGTGGGCCGGCCTGTCGGCACAAAAAGGTTGGTTTAAGCCATGTCACATTAACCAATGCATTCTTGCTGACGAGCACGATGTGCAAAGAGCAAACCATGCCAGCTCGCTAGAACGAGAAATTCAGCGGCGGATCAAGTGCTGCAGATCAAGTGCTGCGCAAAAGACAGCCATGGGACCTCTGTTCTGTGGCAGTAGGTAGTCGGTCGGTCGGTCGGGTCCAAGGGCGGCACCGGGAACAACCTTGATGACGGCACGAGTGGAGATTGGGCAAGAGAGTACGGCAAACCTTTGGAGGATCGCACCCTAATTACGGATACTGCTCTTGGAATAGACATAGACGGATTGAGTTCACGGATAGAGCGCCTAGACATTAATTATTATTAATAAACGCCTTTCACTGCCGCTGCGGGTTGATGTCTTCATTCCGGGCCGGCACCGGCTCACCGCGCGCCCGCTATACCATTGGCTCCTTCACCTCCACTGGGCTTATGCGCGCGGGTAGCGGTTCCCAGGCCTAGACCTACCTGCCTTAGCGGGGTCGGTCGCCGCTTCCCTGCCCGCGGCGCTGCGGACCTACACAGTCGCTCCTTACTAAGTAGGCGCGTCCCACTTGGTGTCAAGCACGCAATGTGCCTGGCATTAGGTACCCTGCAGCGGCACACCCTGCTCCAAGTGCCTGCCGTGCTAGGAGTTGGGGGGACAGACAGAGTCTTCGATTTTGGCCTCCGACATCCCGCCGTCCGCCAGTCAGAATATCGAATCCGCCCGTCCAGCTATCCGCCCGACCAGCTATTCGCCCGTCCAGTGCATCCCTCCTTCACGTTTGCCGCTGTTAAGGGAATGAGGATTTCTCTTGCTAGGAATCGAAAATGCTAATGTTTGCCAGAGAGTTAGACCCCCACGACTTTTACGAGAGCGGCGAGCAGTGAGCAGCGAGCCACGCACGGCCGGGATTACCGATTACTCGATTACGCGCAATTGGTCACAACCAAGCATTCGGCTCGCTCGGCGCGCACAGCGGCGTAGCATGGAGCTTACCTGCGTGCTGGGAGAGGGCCCATCTCTCTGGAAGATGGCTCTCGGCCCGAGAAGCTACGAACGCGAGTCCCGCCTGCTGAATCGTGTACGACCGGCCTTGACCTCTAGGCACAGACAGTCCTGTACCTACAGCACACACATGCATGTGTTGCCCTGGACATACATACATACATACATACATACATACATGCAGCGCCCAAACCAACTATAGGCATAGACTGCGCCTCCACAGCAACGAACGTTTCGTCGGGATGTTCTTGACGGGAGATATCCAGGTAAGCCGCTCTTGGACAACCAACCACCCTCCGGCTATCTTATCTTTGTGATTGTCTCCAGGATTGCATATGCTTGTTGACTCTGACGTCGAACTTACGTTGGAGGTCCCCTGTTCCTTGCCCCTGCCCTTGCACCCCACGGGCGACGCACGCTCGCTGCTAGTCATCTCTCTGCTAGCCTCGCCCGTCACTCGGTTCCAGCCCACCATCATGCACGTGAACAGCTGAGCAGCACAAGCTATCGACCCCGCCATTGATTGACGCCGTCTGGGCGCCGGGCTGACCTCGACCCTTCAGCTAAAATACGCCGAGGAAAACGACAGGTCATATACGACCGAGGATTAAGCCGCCATGACACTATAAGAGACACCCTAGACCGCCCGAGGGCAAGCAAGGAAGCAAAGCAAGCAAGCAACCACGGAGGATTGACATGGAGCCCGCTCCCTTAAACTCTCGGCAAACAGCCTGTCTCTTGGGATCCAACCCTGCTCCGACATTACCGGGCTTACCTCGTCGATTCCATTGGACGGACCACACGTTTTGTTGGACCGGCGGCGTGTAACACGCAACCTTGGGTCCCAAGCATACCCCTCTCCTAGGGGGTCCGGCAGTGTCAGACCACCCAGGCTGACCGAGTATTCTATCCCTCTATGACGGGGCCGGTTACGAGTTTCCCCTCGGGGCTTGATTACAAGATGAATTGCTCTCCAGTGAGAGACTCGTTGGCTGACGCTTACGATCCGTTGGCGTTTCCGCATGAATTAGCGGGTGAGCAATGCCGGTGTGTTTGCACGCGCCCCAGCATCGGGTAGAACTCGTCGACTCTATACGCGTAAGTTTGCAACCCAAAGGAACCTCGCTCTGAAGGCCGACTTGATTTCAAACGGCCAACTGCTCGTTATGAGGACGGCATATCGAGGTGGGGGTCGCTTTAGCAGGCGAGACTTTAATCCACACAACTCCATCCTTCCCCCAGTGGAAGGAATGCAGGATTCCGGTGGGGAAAATCAGGACTGCACCCCCTGTCAGCCCTGGCCCAAACGGGCCATCGTCGTGTGGCATAGTTGCGTCCGCACTGCACCACAGCACGCGGCCAAGAGCCTAGCAGGGCAGAGAATGCAGAACATCAGGGTCGTATCGACCACCTTCGGCCCTCTCCTCCAAACCGAAGCCGGCTCCGGGTACCTCATTAGCACCTACCTAGAGGTTCGCCCGTACGTACCACCCCTTCCGAAACTCCCGCCAGTGCGGTCCACGGCGATCATGGCCATATTGGTGACGTTTGCCGTCAGTACAACGGCGCGCACTCACCTCGCACTGTTGGACGTCTCGAAGCAGCACGCCGCGGCAGACGTAGCCGCCGGCTGTCCAACAGCTGATTTCGGACCTGCAGCAAGATCCGAAAACATTCCATGAGGCTTTTTCCGCTCCTGGAAGTCTGAAGCGACTGGCAAGTGTGATATCACTTCTTGGTTCATGTTTGCCGCTCCTGCGACAGCCCATCGGCCCAGTATCCGAAACGGGAGGGAGGGAGGGGGCAGGGGGCCATGGATATCCGTGCCCCGGCCATGCAGGTGGGGAATCCAGACGGAATCTGGGCCACCCGTCTCTTGCGGTTGGATGTGACGGGCTAGAAATGGCACACGGCAGAAGAACCCCCAAGCCCGGTTACCAGTGTGCAAGGACTACAGCCCGTCCCACCAAAAGTCGGCTCAGCGAGGCGCAGAAGACCTCATAGGTGAACAACCCGAAAAGAAGAGAGAAAGATGACAAGAGCTCAAAGTACTAGGTACCAACCCGACAAGAATATAAAACTACCAGCACTCCCACCATGCTTCGCACTAGGTCGAGTCGAGGAGCTCCTCTCGCACTTCCCTCTCTTGGTTCTCGGACCCCTGGATCATCTCGCACATAATCACCTGCAGGAGAGCACACACAACACGCCATAGCTGCATACGCACGGCCTGTTTCGAGCTCGGCAGAATAGAAGAACGATTTTTTGTTTCCTTGCCTTGCCTGACCGCCGGCACCCGCATACACCACAGACCCCATGACGAAAGAAACCTCGCCAGAGTCCAGCCAGGACACAATGGCGGACAAGTACTGCGACCACAATGTCACGCATGGCTGCAACGCGCCTGTGGCCCACGACAAGAGTCTCTGCCAGACGTGCGAAAAGGGCATGTGTTCTTGACCCGGCTGTTCGCTTTCGATGCAGTGGATGGGCTGTGTACTAGCCTACGTACCAATGGACATGTGCTCCGCGGAACACGGAGCGTCGCTCTTCGGGTTTGTCGGAATGACGATGCGTCATCGGTCGCTATCCTGTCATTCACCGCGAACCCTTTCAAACGGAAATTCTGATCGGGGCCGATTTCTCCTTCAAATTTCCCTTTTTGTGCTTTGAGGAGAATCGAGATCACTCTTTCCCGAGGTACACGGCGTCTTTTATTTAGCGAAGTCGAGCATTCTTACGCCTTTCGGCTTTTTACTGGACCGGCCACCGCCCATGCGTCTTCTTTTGTTCGCCAGTAACAAGGTGATTGTTTTGTATTTTTTTTCTTCCACTGGAGCAATAACAAGAGATGTTTGGGCCCAGGCTCACGGAGTTTGACAAGACGGGGGATGCGGCGACCAGGCTGCCTGTGGGTTTCAATTTCATCCGGAAGTAGGAGGATCTTGCGTTGGTTGGGGCTTGGGAGTGGGAAGGTAACTCTTGTGCCAGGACCTTGGGGTATCTTGGGCAACGGGATCTAATATTGCGGAACCAAGAGGCAACAGGCAGATAACTATTTAGTTACTAGAGAAAGAGACTGTCATTATTGCCTTTGTACTGATTGACCGTATTTGAGTGTCTCGCTTGATGTGTCTCGTTGGGTGACAATAATGTTTGAGATTGAGGCATGGGAGGACGTCACAGTGTCTTCTCGTGAGTTCAAGCGATCTGTTACTTGAGAATGTGTTCCATCCTCTAAGATTTCACATTACCGGGTGGAGAATAACATTCACTATTCTATACGACGCCGAAGGTAATCCCCCATTTTCAGGGAGTGAGCTGTAAACTTGGATTATATTCCTATAATTAATTTACCTCCTGCAGCGTCACAGATTTGTGGTGATAACCTCTTCCACTTCAATTGCAGGCCTTATATTCAGGGGATAAATCTAATCAATTATCTTGTGTAGCTAGACTTGAGTGTCTACTCAATACACCTAAAAGGCCAGCATAGACGTATTGGCTTTTAATATACGACGATAATTAGAGCTAAAGGCTGGGCCCCATTGAGGATGAGGAATGGTAATAAGTACAACGGCAAGTATAGCCAAGGTTATACTCATCGTGAAGGTAACCTTTATAGCTTAAAAAAGTACGATCATTAGACTTTGATAACGTACTTGGTGTATTGAGCCGAAACCGTTTTATCATGAGGGGTTAGATGAGAGATATTCATCCACGTGCATATGTAACGTGTATATGTACCAACTTACCTATCTATTTATTACATTTAATCATTTGATACGCCTACCTTAACTAGGTAGGCTTTCTAATGATATGATAGGAGGTTCTCTATAGCTGGGAGATTTGTAGCCTGTTTAGGGTTCATGAGGTTAACAGGAACCCCACTTCGGGCTGGTTAGCTCGTTAATGTAGTTAAATATATTCTCATTTTTGATGGTTCTCCCAGTCATTATCACGAGGGGCCACCGAGTTCAAAGATACACCATGCTAGTATGACTAATTTTTCACACACCCAAGGCACCTACCTGTCTATGCAACCGACTTGTGTTAACACTGCCATGTTTCCACTAAGTACACCTCTTTGCACTTTTATTTTACATGGATAAGAAGCTGAACAGACAATGTCCAAGCACATCTACAAGATAGGTAGGTAGTCAACCCATATCCAGGGAGGCCAGGTAATTAGGGCATTTCTGTGCGCAATCGGAACAGAAAATGGAGATAACTACAAGACATGCAGTCCAAAGAAAAAAGAAAAAAAAAGAGAGAAGCCCTGCCTTAAACTTGGACCACACAACAGAACCAGATTGGGGCCAATATACACGAAATACCACTACTCTGGAACTGTTATGCCCCATCCCCTCCCCAGGTCTGACTAGGCTCTAGAACGAGTCGAGCTCCCCAACGCTGACCGGGTGGCGGTTGATGCGGCCGTAGCGGGGGAACGCGTCGTCCGAGGCTGGCGGCGTAAAGTCGCGGTCCTGGATCTCGATGACTAGACTGCGCACCGAGGCGGCGGGGACTTGAGTGCCGTTGTTCTAGTTTTAGATGCATGTTAGTTCAGCACGTCCAAGGTACCCAGCCACGGAGACAGAAACTTGAAGGGGAGCACACGTACCGACTTGACCACGACGCGCAGCTTGAGCCTGAGCTCGGCGACCAGCTCGTCGGCGTCGTCGAGCGGCGCATCGAGGTCCTCGAGGGTGCGGCGCAGGGGCACGGTCGACTGCGCGACGCCGGCGGTCGGCATGGCCAGCAGCGCCAGCTCGCCGGCCTTGCGGCCGGCGACGAACAGCTCGACGGTGGCGGGCAGGAGGTCGGCCAGGTAGACGCGCTCGACGCTGATAGCCGCCGCGTAGTCCTTGAGCACGGGCAGCGCGGCCTGCCGCAGCGCGTAGCGGACCTGCCGCTTCCTGATTTTTGACGCGGGGGCCGACGCGGGGGCCGTCTTGAGCTCCCGCCCGTACAGCGTATTGACACGTGCCGTCACTTGCCGTGCCAGCTCCGGCTTGCTCACGCCCCAGTCCTCCAGCCCCGGGTACGTGTAGCCGAAGGCGCGGGTCGAAGCTACGCGGTTAGATGTGTAGAAGGCCCCCGACTCGTCCGTGAACGGCTTCAGCGGGCTGTCGGCAGTTATGTCGCCGGCCGCGGTGCCGAACAGCGCCCACCCCGGCTGCGTCGACGTGAACATGGTGCTGTTGAAGTAGATGGCCTGCCACATGGCCACCAGCCGGTCGACGTTGGTGTGGTGCAGGAAGCTAGGGTTCGGGGTGGTTAACGAGTGACGCGTGTAAGAAGACGTTTACGTTGTGCTGGGGGCTCTTACAAGATGGGGTCAAAGGCAGCAACCGACACAAACTGCATGTGGCCAATGTTCATAAAGTTCAGTCCGCTAAAGTCGGAGTGCACGCTATTGTGGGGCGCCTCGAAGCTGGGCCCCTGGCTCTGCGTCGACGACATCAGCTCAAACTGCGTGCTTTGCGTGAAGACGGAGTACTATTGGAGGCGAGGAAGTGAGTCAGCCGCCAGTTCATCGTCCGTAGTAAATCTGGTTTCAAATAGCTAGACAGAAGAAATGTTGCAGGGTAAGAGTTACCACATAGTCCCGCAGCCACGGCTGGTTCATCTCCAAGATGGCGCTCGTAGACGCCTGGTCGCTGACGGCCGAGCTGCTCCCGTTGTAGGGGACGGCCCTCTTGGTCTCGCTGAACTTGCTGAAGGTGTTGCTCTGAAAGTCTGGGTCTAGAAACGGGAAGGTCTGGAATCTGTAGCTGTAGAGGGGGTTCGGCAGGGTGACGGGCCCGGCGGGACTGGTGATGTCTAGTGTTTGTGTGGTTGTCGATGGCGGCAGGTCTGCAGATGAGGCCCAGTCCCAGTACGGGAACCGGAGTGTCTTCGCCGCGGCCTGGTATGCTGCTGCCGACGACCCTGTGTACTGGTCTGCGATGGTCTGCGCGTGGCTCTGCAGGATTTGCTGCGGTGGTCGTTAGTGTCTCTCCTACACAGTGTACAGGTAGAGGCTCCTACACAGTGTACAGGAGAGGCTCTGGGTTGGGCTTACCTCGAGGAGGGCTATGTAGGGCCGATGCCAGGTGCTGAAGGTGACTTGCTGCCGATTTTCAATATGGATCCAGAGATGCCAGAGCCATGTATACCGCTTACCCCATGGGGACAGTAGCCGGAATAGTCGGAACCGCCCGGCACCTGTTCAACTCCATTGTATGCCTTAAGCGGGATGCCGTGGATTCCTGGATCAAAGAAGCGTCAGCGTTGCTAGGTGTCAGCACTGTCGAGTTGCTGTTCCATACCCGCTATCTGATAGTACGAGACCCAGTCACTCTCCGAAGCTGTTTGCATGACAGACAGAGCCTGAATAAAGAGATCCCTAAGGGTTTGTTAACGTTAGTACAGCCTGATTATGGCTCAACAAGAGGTAGTATGGGGCTTGTTGAAGGGAAGGTCTCACCACGCGGGACCACCCTGTGCGTGCAGAGCATTGATATCCAATCTTGACGGGCGCTCACCGGTGACGGGGTCTACGCCGGCCGTGACACCAGTGAGCTGAGCGCCTGCCCAAGGGGCAAGCCCGAGGGCCACGAGACTAGAGAAGCGCATTGTGAAAGACGAGCAGCACAGAGACGGTGGCAGCACAAAAGACTCGGAGCTGTTCGGGAAAGTAGCTCAATTGCAGAGCCATGCAGATGCAGACATGATATATACCTTAGGTAACCAGGCTCGGATGACCAGAGTGATCTGAGTACGAGGCTCTTTCCACGACGCACGCCGGACTCTTCCGAAGGCACCTTGCCGCAGCTCGAACCAGACTTACATGGCTCATTATGAATCCACCTTGCACGCCTGGAAATCCCACGAGTATAGCTTTTCGTCATATCGCCGTCCGGCTCGGTAGCAGTGCATGAGTTCCCCTGGGGGCTGTTTTTTTGTTCCCCAGCCACCAGCGGCACATATAAGCAATGCCAAGACTGGCTGCACCGCGCCATCAAAGACAAGAATCCGGGAACGCGACACCGGCTTATCGAACACGAGGTTGTAATATTAGGACCAGCTGTCGTTCCAGAGAAGGCAAGTGGTTTCGGCAGCTCTTGGCGGAGCTGCGCCGCTCGCCGGGGAAGCTTTAATCGCCTGGGGGCAGACGATGGCAATTGCCAATCAATGCTCTCAGTCGGATGTGATGTGGTAAGTAACCCCCCTGGCAAGCAGAAACAAAGCTCTTGTTGCGTTGCGCGACATGAACAGCAACCCCCCTGCCAAAAACTAGCACGCGCCGCGCGGGAGGAGGCTCCCGTCCTTAGTTGGATTTTAAGATATGTGCGGTATAGATCCGTACATACGCGTTCGGCGGGTGACGCGTCGCCCTCGCCCTGCCCAAACCAGCTCAGCTCAGCAGCACCAGGTCCGCGATGCGGTGCGGCGTGGTGTGCGACGCAGAACCCTTGCCAAGTCCAGTAATTCTACGTGTGCCCCTGACACCCGCCCGATCCCGGACTCGGGACCCTGGGATGACGCGGCCCCAACACGAGCGAGCGAGCCAAGACGCAAAAAAATGGATTGGCTCGTTGGTTCTCCGCAACCCCCGAATACGGGACTCGGGGCTGGGCACCGACGTTCTGCACGTCGCATTCGTCGGTCTTGGACCGTTTCGGCTCGCGCCCTCGGACTCGGGCGGGCCTCGGCCGATAACGACACTCGGCGCTGGACGGTAAAGGCGTCGAGGTTTTTTTTGCCGTCGCTTTGCAACATTAGCGAAGATTGTGGGCAAAGGTCGAGACAAGCAGCGAAAGGGAATAAGTAATAGGGCCCGTTTGAGAATTATTTCATGGCCATCTGAATCTGGGCCGGCCACCCTTGACGCTGTGGACGCCGTTCTGGCGCCGTGCTACATAATTACTACACCGGCGAAACTTAAAGGGGGTAGCTAAGGTAGTTAATAGATAGACTTTACAGCACGTAATTAGCTTGCAACTTTGAAACTTTGGCAGCGGGAGTCGGATAGGGAAGGAATGTTAGATCAGTAGTATATCCTAGACCTAACCCACTAAACAATCTTGCCGGAAATCCTGAACAATCCACAGACATGGGGAGCTGCATTCTGATCAACACATATGCATTCTGATCAACACGTAATTGGTACGAAGCAGCATCAATTATCACTTTACTGGTGCCGCACAAGGCTCTTGCTTTTCTGGGCCTCTTCTATGTTCTAATTTCTCTTCAAACTTTCTCGCCCCGCCGCTGGTCCTCCCTCTCTGCCACTTCTGGTGACTCTTGCCACACAGCACATGTGCTTCTTTCCTGCCCCGCACACGGCTTGCCCCAGAAGAAGACGCTTCATCTCAACTCGGGTCAGATAGCAGCTGATAGAGCTGGCTGACAATGACTGTTTCTTCCTTATCTTTCATGCCTGCTAATGAACCATTCTCGCCAGTCACCATCTTGCAACTGCACCTTCTCTTGGAATCTGGCTTTGTTTGGCGTTGTTTGTTTTCCAAATTGGTTGCTTGGTTTTTGAAGGTGGCAGTTCATGTGCTGGCGGCCCAGTTTTAAACCAAAACCATGCTGGCGCCTAGCTACCATGTCATTCTAGGCACGCCATTCACTTTCCCGGTGGCTGCTCTTCCGCCGCAACGGATTGGGGAGATGGAATATAAAGAGGGGGTTGTACGGTTCCTGGCTGATTCGGTGGATGACATCTTACGACATAACCCGTACACAAACTACCGGTGCTCTTTTTATATCATATCAAAACACAATGCCTTTCGGTTGACTCCTTCTTTCTATTCCTCTCGTAGCGGGGTCACTGAGCATTCTCGGGCATGTGGGAGCGAGAAGTGGCCAAAGCCACAACGAGATGAGACGGAAGACTAATAGATTAGACCAGACTCATGTTGTCGTAGTCACATGGTATGGGGCACTAAGCCAGCCCGCTGCTGAAAATATTTCTTGCCCCGACCTTCCAGTGCACCGTTAGCCCAAGAAGTAGCATCTCAATTTTGCAATCTCGATTCGCACACCCTTTCTCAACACCGGCCCCGAGAAGTGGGACAAGTAAGTGGTCCGCGCCTGGATGCCGGCCGTGACCAACAACACCACGGCCACGAAGCTGGCCACGGCCATGACGGAGCGTCGTCACCGGATGGAGCGCCGTCACCGGATGTAGCGCGGCAACCGCGACGCCGGCCTGAAGATGCCGAAGCCGATGAAAATCGAGGACGGAATCCCCGACTACGACGACCAACAAGACATCGAGCTATTATTCCAGTACGTCGATTTCGCGCCGTTTTTGTGTCTGGCCGACGAGTGCGCCGCCTCAAAACCGTCTTCCCCCGCCGCCGAGGCTGGATCAGGCACATGCAGCAGGAGCACTGGTGCGTCTGGGAGTGCCGCTTCGACGCGTGCTCGACGAGGCAGCCGCTACCGCCGACCTTTTCCTCACGCGCCAGCTTCGAGGAGCACCTCCGTGTCGCCCACCCCGTAGTCGCGCGGATCTTTCACCAAAAGCCCGAGCGTGTGGATCGCCATAGCCTTGTCGATCTGGACAAGGTCGTCGGCGCGTGCCCGGCCTGCGGCAGCGGACACACGGTCACCAGCGAGCTCGACTACGCGCGCCACGTCGGCGACCACCTCGAGTACATCGCCTTCACGGGCGTGTTCAACTACCAGTACGAGTTTCGCGAGAAGCCGACGGAGTTGTTTTGTGAGAAGCCGGTGAAGATGGAGAGCAAGGATGTCGTGAGTGTGAACAGGAGAAGCGGCTCTCCTATACAGAGCTGGATATCCATATTTCGAGGGTTGTGTAGAGACGAGGACGAGTCTCGCGAGGAGCCGGTGAATGCGGAGGAGGAGGAGGAGAAGCCGGTGAAGGTAAAGGTGGAGGATGAGTAGGATGTCGTGTGCTCGGAGGAGAAGAGGGGCGGGAATGATATGATAAGCTGGGTATGGGTATTTGAGGAGGGCAATAGCATTCTGAGCTCGGGATATGAGACTTCAGGGTGAAAGCAACAGAGACACGAGGGAATCACGCTAGACATAGCGGTTAATTACCGAGCACGTTCTGCGGATATCAAGGGGCCCAGGTTTATCAGGCATTGATGTGGCTTCTCACTATTCCGATTATTGTATTTTATTATAGTTTGCAGATACGTCATGTAAGGTGCTTTGACATCCAACCAGGACACTCCCTATCTTCGCAGCTATCTTGACAGCTCTTTCTAGCGTACCCGAAGTAACTGTGCCGCGAGTGTGCCAACATCAAGGATCTAAGTGGCGAGACGTACTCGCAACGACGCCCCTCACTACCGTACATACCTCTCCAAGAGTACCTAGACAGCCGCAGCCGCAATCCTCGGTCTATTATATCATGCAGTCTTTTAGATGGGTACTATCTTTAGGGCTAAGCGTGTTTCCATATCCTCGAACCCTGGCCTCCTTGAGGTTCTTACAAGCTCGGTTTAAATTTCTGAAAGCCTACGCTACCCGTTTGGATATTTACTTGAGCTTTTGAAACACACACCTCAAGCTTTAGATGTTTACTTTAGATATCTAAAGAATCGTATTAGCCATTCAAGTGTATTATTGGGCTTATGAAACGCCCGTTTGAACCGTCCAACTCCCTTGTTGCAGGTGATATCGACTAGGAGGGCCAAGATTAGTACTAGAAGCCAAACGGTCCGTCCACAACCAAGAGTAGGGCTGGTGAAAGGTCCGACCGGGTAACGAAAGTCGTCAAGCGAGTTACGCCCACACTTGCCCATCGCAATAAATTCTATTTCCGCTTAGAGACGGAGAATATTTCGATGATGCCCGTGTGATCAAAGCCGAACCAGAGAACCTCAGCAATATAGGGGATGTCCTAATGGCCCTATGATAGGGGATAGTTAGGGAGGTTGATAAAAGGATGACTACCAAATAATTCCGCCTAACTGCTAAAATCAACGGCGACGACAAGTATAGAATCCACGGCATCAACCAGCACACGATATTATATGCAACCTGTACGATATAAACGGCTGCTTTGCGGGGCGGGCTTTGGTTAAGAGCACACGCTAATCATGGTTATTCACGACGACATAAGCATATGTTGTCATAAGAAGACGACTAATTGTAGTATAGCCTGCGAATTGAATGGCCGAAGGCCGAGCTAACACGAAACGAAAAGCCACGTGATACGTAGACAAATTGCTAAAGCATCCCTTTCCTTCAACAACAATAACGACCAAAAAGGCACTAGACTTTCGAACCAAGAATGAAGTATTCAATGACGTTCATAACCGTCCGCCTTCATACGCTGGGCTCCATGGATCCAGGTACGAGAACGATGGGCAAGGAAATCGACAAGGAAAAGTAAATCGACAAGGAAAGGTAAATCGACAAGGAAAAGTAAACCAAAAAGGAAAAGTAAATCGTACACAAACTTGAACATAAAAAGGTTTCCTTCCAAAATTTCGTGGGTGTATATTCCAATGTACCCTCTGTGTCGTCGACAATCACAATCTTGAGAGGCGCTTAAAGGAGAACAAGAGAAGTGGACCAACCATGAAGGAAGATTTAGAGGAGATATGAAAGGAGAAAGAAAAAGAGGAGGAATGAGGAAGGGCTCTGAGAAGTTGAATAATGTCATAGGCAGACAATACGCAAGCAACTGCCGGAAGCCACATGATCTTTGTCGCGATACCCCCCAAGATTTGGAAGAGGGGGTAATTGCCACCATCGAATGGAGATCATTCGAAGAGAGCAACAACCCCTCCAAGAAATCTTCGAGGGTCCCGCGACAAAGATCATAGCATGACGTTTTGTTGCGGCGGTTGCGGCACTTCATACTGGCGGATCCTTTTGTTGCTGGGTGAGAAGAGCCTGCATGGTGGCCGTGGTGTCTTCCAGCGACTTGCGGCGCGAGCGCAGGTCTCCCCACTTGTTGGTCACCAGCCACCCGATCAGCGCCGCGGCGGTGAAGGGCACGCAGATGGCCATGAAGAGCCTGAAGGCGTCGGCGCGGAAGCCGATGCTGGCGGCGTCGTCCCAGTCGATGATGCCGCTTTGGAAGAAGGACTGTGATGCGAACTTTTAGTTTGATTTCTTTTTCCTTGAGGATTACGGACAAGTACGGAAACGTACCGAGAGGAACGTGGCTGGAAGAAACAATAGCGTGATGACAGTGATGACGCGGACCGTCACCGTCTCCTGTTCGGTCCGGTAGGCAATGTTCTGCATGACGAGCGCCGACTTGTGACCGTGCTCGGCAAAGATGCGGCCGACTTCCAAGCCGCGGTACTGAAGCAGGCTCTCAAACTAATGGTTCGCGTAGTGTTAGACAGTTTCGGCTCGCTCCGGTTTTCGTTAGTGCAGCGGATTCACATACCAGAGCCTTGCCCTCCTCGAGCCTCTTCCGCAGCGACAGCAGCTGCATCTGTCTAGTTTCAAGGTTCTCGATGATGCCACGTGTCTTGACCTGGAACTGGGCGATGGACTTTACAAAGCGTTGCTTGATCTCCTTTCCGATGTCCTCAGAGTCCGCGAGACGCTGGTAGTACTCGCAGGCGTTCTGCAATACCCTTAGGTTCAGGTTGATGATCAAGAGGCTCTCCTCGAGCCTTTCGCCCAGGCTGATGAGTTTCTGCAGGTCCTTGTAGCTGAAGATCTTCAGCACGAGAGTGTCGTCGGGCATCTCTCTCCTGGCCTGCCCAGCGGGCTGGCCGTGTCCTGGTGGCGGCGGCGGTGGTGGGGGTGGAACATCGAAACCGCTGGGGGTGTGCCACGACGGCCGTGATAGTCGTCTAAACGAGCTAAATATATCTCGCTTTTCGGGTATTTTCTCTGGATAATTCCACGGGTTGTGGCTGCTTTTCGAAGATGTTGTCAAGCCGGTGTTCATCTTTTGAGGGACGTTTGTGAAGTATGGCTTCTCGTCAATAGGGACGGTTTTGGCCTTTCTTAGTTCCTGGCGGATGTGATCCTCGATATCGCGGACAAACCATCGCCAGTTTTCTTCGCACCAGGCGAAGTATATGAGGAGGGTGCCAAGCGCTGCCTCGAAGGAGGCGGCAACATCTCTCCCAGCGGAAGCCCTTAGCGCGGGTAGGTCTGCAGTGTCGTCCATTATCCTCCTTTGCATGAGGTCGTTGCCTTTGGCGGTAATCCAGATTGTCCGGCCGTTGCCGACGTCAAAGGAGTGGTAAGCAGCCAGTTGCCGGACCGACCAAGGCCAGCTCGTGGCCTCTGGGACTCTTTCCACCGACCTCAGCAGGAAAGAATGGCGTATTTCCTTACCAGACCGACCGAGTTGGGGAATGAAGGGCAGCCGCTCGTGGATTGCCAAGGCGTCGTGGGACTGGAACTGCGACAAACATGCATCCTGGGGCTCTTCTTGGTCTCCAAAAGTAAAGATGTAGTCCAAGAAAGAGGGATCAACTTGGTGAAAGGTCAAAACTAGCTTTAGCATAGGTGCAGAACAGTTGAGGGGGGCCCGTGAGTGTTCCGACTCGATGAAGCTGTTGTCGCCGACGTTAGCAAGGTCTTGATTCGTTCTCACCACAGCGGTGGACGGATCGCGGGTCAGCGTACAAATGCCGATATCTAGGGTCTGGTTCATGGCCAGGACGGACGAGGTGCTTGGTCAGGGCGTCCAGGTCTTTGACCTCGGTTGGCTCGAATTCTTTGGTCGTTGTCAGCAAACACGAGTCTTGGGGGTTCATAGCGGTGGTGGGGAATTCCGAGTGCCTACTGTTCTCCCCGCTCCAGGCCTCCCAGAGCAGGATGCGCGCCCTGTATTCGTCAAAGAGGTCGGCTTCATTTCTGGCGAGGTAGGCCTGATATCGGTCGAGAATGTTCTTCGGGAGCCTCTTCAACAGAGTGTTTGGGTAGGTGAGGTAATTCCTGCACACGTCCAGAAGACGATCGTGGGGATCAAAGTCCATGTTCAATGGCGGCAGCTGCTGATGTACAGCGCGCTGATGGGCGCATCAGCAGGGGCGGAGAGAAACCCGGTGGCATTATACCATTCAGCGTCCCAGTGTCTTTTCTATACTTGAGATCAAGCTGCCTCGCGATGCGCCATTTGCGCCCGGCAGATTCGAGCCTCATCCAGTCTACTCGAGCTTGGAGGGCTGCGCTTTCCGGTCAGCTCGATTCTGAAAAAGGGGGTGCTTGTAAATTAGGTGCGCAAACGGAAAATTACATTGAGAATTCTGTGTGATTGCGAGGTTGGGAAAGTGTGCCTACCTGTACGAAACACGCCGACTCAGATTTAGCTAAGGCTGCCTGCCTAGCTAGCGCTCCGAGACACTCGCTGGACGCTGGACGACTTGGCGCTGCACTTGAAATGGTGACTGTACTACTATGGAGCGTAACCCCCACAAATCTGCTAATAACGAGGATCATCCATTTCTTCGCCGGAAAGTGCCCGACAGGACCTATGTGGCGCAAAGGCGGCGTCCAACTATATGATCTATCGTGCCAAACCGATGTGGGGGCCTATCCCGGGCGTATGTTCCATTTTTAACGCTGTGCAATGGTCAAAAAACCTTCCTCATTGGAAGCGGCCGCCCAGTGCCTCGCGGCCCTCACTTTGCCATGCATGCAGATGAAGACGCCACAATTATGGAAGACATACAAAAAAGGAAATGCGGTCAAGCGGCTCAACCGTTTCGCCCCTTCACACCCTCTTACCCCCGCACCCATTTCGTCAAATGCCAATTAGCTCCACGTCCATCCATCCCCCGATAACAATGCATTCTTGGCATTTTATCGCTTGGTTTGACGAGGCTCTGGAGCCCTCCAGTCAGTACTGCTGATGCTGCACCGGAGGTCGAAATGCCACAATGTTTCGCAGTCTCCTCAACTCCAGCTTTTCGTCCTGCAGTTCTTGTGTGTCAGGTCACTTCCGCTCTTCGGGGCCGAACTCTAAAGGAATGCCTACAGGTGTCAATGGCCTGGTCAGCCAGAAGCCATAGCACTCTACGGTTCGCTGCACGTAAAAATTCAGCGAGGCTTTCTCGACCTGTCACCAGCAATTCGGCCACGATTGGTGCGACACTCACATGGACCTGGATCTGGTTGTCGTTGAACTTCCAGCGCAGCCACGCCGACAGGACATCTTGACGGATGTGATAGTCAGAATAAGTCTCCCAGCTAATGTACGGATTGTAATACGTCGACATTGCAAGGTGGTGGTTCTTCGGTGCAGTAAGTAGCTGTGATTCAGTGCCAGGAGAGGATAGCGAGGGATCTGTTTGATGGAGTGATGCTACAGGCATAGCGACAGACATCAACATGAGGATTTTCACCCTCATTTATACTTCAATTGAGGCTCTGTTGACAGTCTTGCTCATGATTACGGTTTGGCCAGGTCAGCGTTGCGCTGGGCGTTTGGCCAACTTCCGCACCGCAGCGGACCAGGCAAAGAATCAACTACCGCTCCGTACGGTGTGCTCCGAGATGCTTCTCGGAGGGTTGACACTGGAGCCAAGAGGAATGAGCGTGCATGCGTCGACCCGTGATGGTTGCGCAGCTCTGAATTTCAAAGTGCACTTCAACAGGGAAAGAGAAGAAAGAGAAGGCTCTGTGTCGACGATCCGGTCTAGGATATGTACTGTAGGACAAGAAACGTGGGGGGTAGCACCATTGAATCAACATTGGCGCTCGCAGTCCGAGGCTTGCATGCGGCTGGCATTGCGGCCGATTGTCGGCCAGGCTGGCTCTATTCCTATCATCCTCGCATACCGCCGCTCTTGTCTTGGGCAAAGCCACAAGCGGGGAAAGAGGAAGCGGCTCAAAATCGTGGTTATCATTGGCGCCGGTTGGGCGCTGACGAGGAAATCAGGCATTTTACGACATCTGGCCACGGCATATTATCCAAGACACCCTTCGCCCACGTGTTTCCAAGGAGGGCGTTCCGTTCACCATCCAATGGCGGTCGACATGCTTATCGAATCAGAAGAGGTCGTGTGATGCCGCTTTCTGCATGGGACATCGACGACGGGAGGGGCCAACCGGTAGACACCGATGGCGGGAGACAGTGGTATCAAACCCAACCCACTTGCTCTGGGACGTGGATACGCGCTCATCGGGCTCGATAGCTAATAACGGCCGACCAAGGTGTGTTGAGTATCGGAAGTTGTCTAACGATTGGTTTGGGGTGGACGTGAGCACATAACCCTTTCCCTTCTGTTCGAGTAACAGAACTACTTCGGAAATGTCCACAATATGCCTATTAGCTGATACGGGGTTGCACAAGATTAATGGCGATAGATTCAAAATTCAGTTGGTCGTTTTACGGGACGTAAAAAGCTCCTTGGACAAAGTCAACCCGCGCCAATGGGTCTTTATCTATTTATCACCGTCGTACTAAACCTCCCAGAAGAATTAGAATCCGTCGAGCGAACCAAACCACCGACGTGGCAGCCGTGTGGTTCGTAAGTCGGCTTGTAATTGTGACTCCATCGGTGCCGTTCGACTGCTTGAGTTTCTGCCGTAACTACCACGGTCAATGCAAAAAAATGCGTTTAGTTTGAGATTCATCCAGTAAATGGCATGTACCATTTCAGTGTGGTAATAGATCCAACTCTGGACGTCGCTGCTAGAGTAGACGAAAAAAAGAGCCTAGAAATTTGGTTATAAGACAAAAAGTTACTCGACATCGGGAGGAAATTAATATATATTCCACATCTAAGCGTCTCTAAAATATACCCGCTGTGGCTATTGTTTAATAGATTGGTCGTGGTATTAGTTACGGGTAATTTAACTTCGAGTTCAACATTGGTGGACCTAAGAGGAATAAATAATATATGAGAACGATAATCCTCTCGCATTATAATCTAGATCTTACGGGAACTGCCAGGTGGCTCTCTTTCTAGGTGGGTAGTTAGAGCATCAATATTGATAAGCGTAAACCCTATGTCCTTTGCGAATCCGAAACGACGATCCTCGGAAGATGATAAGCAATTTCCTTTCCCCCTTGCCAATGACTAGGTGAGTCTTACCTATATGTGATGACTTTCACCCAGTGCGCCTTTTTAGACCGAGGGATTGACTTGATATAGCAAAAGCTAGCATACTTTTAGTCCAAGACAGTAAGATTGCCAAGCCCCGGTATGACTCACACTAAGTGGCCCTTCTGTCATCACCCAAATATCTTCATAAGAGGAAGCAACATTTTGCCTTCCATCCCATTGAAAAGACGGTTATATCCTGGCTTCCGAAAACTTTAGCTTCATTATCAACCATGGGAAAATCTAAAAATGCAAAGCCAAACGGCAAACGGCCAGCATGGTGCATATTGCCGGATCTACTCTATCTTGGCCCGGTGTCGGCAACAGCAAATACGGCCTTCTCAAGAACATCGGCATAACACACATTATATCGATCGGAAGTCCCCAGCCTCTCAGATTGAAGGGCTCACTTACGAGCGGCTGAGCTCGACTGACGACGAAAACTCCGACATTGGCGATGTTGCTACGAAGGCGTCTGCCGCGTCCGCCATTATCGATGTGGCTGCCGCATCTAGCGGCAGAGTCTTGGCACACTACTCCGCGGCCATTTCCCGATTGCCCACCACCGTCGCAGCCTATCTCTAGAGTCTTCAGGGAGTTTGTAACTTAAATGGATGACGCCGCGACCATAATTAGCTCACATTCACAATGATATAACACATCTTTTTGAATGGGAATCAATTTGACGATATCCATATTCTAATTAATTATCTCCTAATAACTCAGCGCCCACCTGGGAATTGCGTTGGTCTAATGCTTCGTCAAAGAGCTAAGAGCACGAATAAAACCTCTTCATGTCGCTCGCGAAGGTAAATTATTATGCTAGATTGGACAACGGCGGCGTACTCCGTAACCGTGCCAGATGTGACGCATGAGCAGCACAACCACTCACTCACCCAGCGGTGCAACGACATTAATTGACCGTGATATATTTCTTCCAACTTTAGCAAAATCATTTATGAATGCTTTTCTACTGATACTAACTTTAAAGTTTAACGATTACCAGCGGAGCTACTTCAACCTAAACTCTTGACTCGTGATTGGCAGTAATTTGGATTCAGCGAGGCGTTCGCCGAGGGTGGGTGGCTGTGACGCAGGTGTGCAGGCGCCTCATGACAAAAAGAGCGCCACCTCAACCTGATAGGGCACAAATGCTTCAATTATTAGGCGCGTGCCGCCTTGCTTCCTAAACCGAACGGAGCTAGAGGGGAAATAGCCACACCCCCAAAGGTGAAGTGTGCCTTTTCTCAGCTCAGGTGCCCACTACCCCCTTGATTTGACGCCTCCACCGACGACTCCACACCCTCGCCCACCACCATCTCGCTCCTGCCTCATTTAAGGCCAATTAGACAAGGAGGACTTTGCTGCGGCCCGTTTACGAATATCGGGAAAGCATGTCTCCTTCGTTCCGAGAGGGCAAAATTGAAGATGAATGCAGCTAAGGACGCAGGCTCTGTGCTCGGGAACGGGCCGTCGACTGCCTAGGCTGCCCGGGCAGATTTCCGCCCCCTTCCATGTCCCCTTTCAATTATGCCTTTCTTCACACCTACCGGTGTAGCCTGAGAGGCGGACCCACTCTGTTGCCTTTTTTCCTGCTCGGTCTAGTGACGCTGAAACTTGTGCCCAATTGTTATTTGGGCTGGACTTTTCCCGTCGCCCTGCCTAATGTTTCCACACATTTCTATGCTTACAGGCTGTGACGAGCAACACAGCGTCCCTTCCAAGGGTCCGCACATTAAACTCTCGTGGCTTCTTAGCGATGAGTTATGAATTCGCCCACCGAGGATGGACCATCAAACGGAACTGTCGACCGCTCACTGGAATCTGCACCCGTCCAACCGGAAATTCGAGGGTTCCAAGAACACATTGATCGCCAACTTGAGCAAATTCGAGAGTTCAAAGATCACATTGATAGCCAACTTGAGCAGCCTGGTCACGACGGCATCGACGGCTATCATAACACTGTCAAATTTGTCTGCAGAAACACCTTGATCAAGTACTGGACTAGCGAGAGGATCAACGACGTCCTACCTCGGGATCAGCGCAATGAGGTCAATGTTGAAGACTTCCGGAAGACGTATCTTCACACATTTTCGATTCTCTGCTACATCTCATCGGCTCATCGGATCAACCATTTCATGAAGAAGGAATACACGGATGCCACCATACCGTTTTCTCTCAGTGGAATGGACAGGGAAGTGCCAGGCGATGCGGAGTTCTGGCAGCGTTTTCACACGATCAAATGGATGTTTTGGCCCCTGACTTTCGATCCCTTGGTGCATCGGAGGGACCTGCTATTGGAACAGATTCTGCCTATCTACGACAGGAAATTTCTGTGGGAATCGAGCTCTGGAGACAGCGTTGTCCACAAGGTTCGAGTTCATCGGTGCTGCGGAGACCTCAAAGTCGACTCAAACGAGATCGTGCTCAAAACCTTACAACCAGAAGCTAAGGATCTGTGGGAGAACGAGTCAAAAATTTACTATCAGCTTTTCGACGAATCTGGCGTTCCCCTTGGGAATTCCGACCCGACAGCCCCTCTCCATGCTGTCATTGTGGGTCCATTCGACTACATAACGAGATATCTAGGGTCCTTCACTCAGCCTCTTGCCCGACGGGACGAACAACAGTCATCTTCGCCAATGGACCCGAATAACTCTCTCGCAGCCGAAAGGGAGGCCGAAAAGATTCGCACAATTGTCCTGGAATACGCCTCAGGCGGTAATCTGGCCCACTTTTGTCAAAGAAACGCCGACGTCATCGCCTCTCGGAGGCGGGTGGACGAGTTGAATCTGTGGCATCATATGTTCGAGCTTACGCAGGGACTGAGTGCTATACATCGCATAGACGGGCAAGTTTCAAGCTCCGCCTCTCGAACAACTGGCTGGGTGACTCAACTAACGACGTTGTTTACAATCTAGAACCCACCAAGACCTCAAGGAATCCAATATTCTCTACACACGAAGACCATTGACGGACCGTGACAACCCGTGCTTTAAGATATCGGATCTTGGAACAGCCAACTCTGGAGACGAAAAGAACAACTCCGGCAATAAGTCGAATAGTACGTGTCAATGGGAAAGATCATCAGACCCCCCACCGAACTAGTTGGTAAGGAGCATCCCATATTGACGCATCTCATAGCGCCCCCCGAATGCTGCTCGATCCACCCCATACAGATCGGCAAGCCCCCTCGATACACCAAAGCTGCCGACATTTGGCAACTGGGGTGCGTATTCAGCGAAATGTTGATACGAGCACGCCTTGGTGAAGACGGATTGAAGAGATATAGGGCACAGCGTCTTCAGGAAAATTTTGAGGAGAACCACTCTCTTAAAGGCAGCGGATATGAGCTGGGCTTTCACAGCGGCTGGAAAAGGCTCAAATGTGTCGACGATTTCCATCGGGAGGCTGTTCAAGATTGCCCGCCAGAGAGCATCCCACGATTCGTCAGCGACTTGATTCTGGAGGCGATGCTCGTGCCTAAAGAAGATCGCGAGACTGAAGTTTTGACCTTGAGAACACGTTGGTTGAATCGACCCAAGGCCGGGGTGCCCGCCGTGTCTCCAGCCGTTGAAAACCCAGTCCCCGCACAAAACCAGCCGCCCCCTCCTCCAGCCTCGAACCACCACGGGCAACCGATGTCCATCTTGCCACAAGGAGTGGAGCAGAATTCCAACTCGGTTGAGGAAATAGCTACTTACCTTCGAAAACATCGGAGGATTGGCCCAAAGGCCTTTCAAGATCTTCAGTATCGATTGAACATCATGGGGCGCAGACGTCATGTACGTTTCGCCTTCAGTCCGACTATTCGTCAACAGCTGTACTCTCACTAACTAAAACCTATTCTACAGCGAATCTTGATTGATGAGTCGAGCAGCATGGCTCAGTTTCAGACTCAAGTGGCACAGACCGCTCGGGTTCTTGCCAAACTGGTGAAGCACCGGATGGTGCGCGGCACTAGAGTTGAAGTGTCTCTTCCAAAGGCACCTTCGAGACCAATGGTCTTCCCAAAAAGCAAGCAGATGGAAAAGTTCCTACAACTTTACAAGTTTAAAGGAGAGAAATGGGAGTTGGGAATCCTGCTCAACGAAACAGCAAGGGATCTATTGGACACCATGTCTCCGCCTCAGCCTCCCATCAACCTCTACATTTTGACAGACGGTATCTTTGGAGAGCCTCCACCCGACTTGGTTCGACCAATCAGGGATCTCATCGATCAGGCGAAGGACCCCCCGCCAGCTGGATCCGACTTCTTGTCCATTACTGTTATTTTATTTGGGGACGACCAAAATGGAGCTTGGAGCTTGGAGCAACTGAGACTCGCAGTTGGGCGAATGGTGAACTTGCCATCAGAGTGAGCCACAACCTTACTTCTAGATGCGCGTCACCCAATATTAACTCCAGTTGACAGGAACCCCATCTACATTTGCCACTGCACAAGTAGCGTTGCGGACATGCTCATCGGGCGGCTGCAGGTTGGGAGTGTCGGGCAGTCCTTGGTTACTCTACCATCCCAAAACGTTGCTCCCCCGCATTTCGCGGTTCCGCGAGGGTAGAGCACTAGGATGGAATCCTTGGACGCTCTAGTCTAGGTCGACTTCTGGAAGGTGAAGTTGCCGTTAAGAGGGTATTTGGACAAGACAAGATATTGGTATCTCGGCTAGTTAATACGCACACGCTGTGACGCTGTGACATCGCCTTAGGGGCCGAATGGACAACAGTCCAGGCATGACAAGGGCTGTGGCAATGTACGGCTGGTTTCCGACAGCAACTGCCAAGGAATGGTGTGAATGAAAGCACGTACCGGGTGCTGGCATGAATCATGGCGCCATCCAGCGCATTTTGCAGTATTCAATCCGACGATCACCCTATAACGGCAGTACACGACCAACGGGTGCTTACTTGGTGCCCGATGTACCCAAACCAGAACCGCCGTCGAACGTGTTGACTCATTCTAGTGCGCGATTTAGTAGTGTTTAGTTTTACCGCTGGCAATCTGCACTGGTAAGCTTAAAGATGAGCTCGTTTTCTGTGCCTCTTCACAGACCCCCTTGAGGCTGAATCCGAGCGGCTTCAGACCTCAGACAGGGGCACAGGCGCAGCAACTTCCTCCTCCTCAGTTTGCCCTCCCGTTGACCAATCACTGCGCATCAGACCCCCATATTCCAGCAAATTCAAGCCTCCCATCAGCAAGAGGCTGCGGGCAACCGACCCTGGCTGGCCAGGCTGGGTGACAAGCCCCCCTGCCCGCCTGCACATAACTGCAGTCATTCCCCCCCCCCCGAGTCACGCTTGCCACCCATTCTAGCGCCCTGCGTCTGCGCACCATGTCACAAAGTCTATTGACCATGGAGTGGATCTCAAACTACAGGCTTCAAAAAGGCATGCTCGAGGACTACCTCAGGGGAATTTTCAAGACCTTACTAGTCCAAGCAGAGGCAAGTACACTTGCACCACGTCCTCAATCGCGTCTCTCTGCACTCCGAACCTCGTGAGGAGGGACGGAATCACCATCACGAATCCCCGATCCTCGATGCAAGATGAAAGACGCACCCACGCCTACCAATGCGCCGTGCTCAACGACACCCGACTCCTCCTTAGCGGCCTTCACTGACCTTTCCTGCGATTGCGCACTTCAGGAAATCGACGACTACTATGTCGTGGAACTGCCACGCGCATTGAGCCCGGTTTGTGTTTTCGCTTTTCTTCTTCTTCTCCAACCTTTTTGCCAACCAACGCACTTCCTCCCCTTTCCTCCCATGCACAAGAGGCCCTCAGGTTCAACCTGGGAACGGACATTGTAATTGGAACTGACTCTCGCTTGCTTGCAAAACAGATTGAAAGAAGCCACATTCGCAGACAGCTGCGCTTGAGGGAGAGGAGGCACTACCGATGATGGCCGGAGGGCAGACAGCCACACCCGCCGCCGCTGCACGACACCGCAGACTTCAACGGTGGCGCTGGTGACGATGGACTAGCAGCATCTAGGGCGACTGGGGGGATGGGATGGGGCGAGGAAGGAAGGGAAGGGAAGGGAAGGGAAGGGAAGGGAAGGGAAGGGAAGGGAAGGGAAGGGAAGGGAAGGGAAGGGAAGGGAAGGGAAGGGAAGGGAAGGGATAGGATAGAAGGGATGTGATGGGAGAGATCGGCTCTCACCATCTACACCGCCTGTAATACGTCTCCTTGGTCTCTTTGACTTGCTCAACGACTTGTATTTCGATTTCCTGTTCTCGGCCACTTGCTCGAGCTTTTCTCTTTTCTTGCTGGCACGGCTTTAACAGTGGAACTGGAGAATGATTAGTTTCGTCGTCCCCTTTTTTCATCAACCTTGCACCAATCGGTGTCAACAGTACCTCTTCTGTTAACCCTTTACGCTTTCCACAAGCACTCTCTTGTACCTACTCGGCTCTCATACCAGGATGGTTTTTGCTCACTGCGTTTTGAGGCCTCGGATGGCCTGCCCAGTGGCCATCGTCACGTTCAATCACACAAGTTGCACTCAAGATTGAATTCCATTCTCGTGTCGCTGATGAGGGTTTTGCGGGATTCGACACTCTTTCGACGATGTTCCCTCTCATGCGACGTATTCTCTCATAGGCCACGCACAGAGGCACCATCCACTTGGCACTAATTTAATCCTGACCGAGAGTCGACTCGCAGTGCCATTCGACTAATAGATCTACCTACCACCACTCTGCTCGAACCGCAAGAACGGGCATCCGTTGATTGCATTTCGCTCGCGATGCCATTCCCAGCGCTCTGAAGCTCCCGGGGGGATTTAACACCCGAAGTAGGGATATTCGCTCACGGTGATTGAGACTGCGCGCCTGGATTTCCCCGCAGAATCACCGCGAAACAATGTCGCCAATCGCCATCTCCAATCCGGGGCGCGCTCATATCGATGCATTAGTCCCTCTCATCTCACATCAATTCGCAAGATGGTCATCAATCAGCAGCTGGCAGGCAGCACTCAGCACAGCGACGGGCTCGCTGCCTCATTTCCTTCCAGGGCTGGTGCTTATTTTTGGCAACTGAGCCTCAGATTCCCGCCGCAGCCACCAACCAACAGCAAAGTCGCTGAAACGGCATCAAGTGGGACCAAGCGATGCTAGTGCCCGCTCCCAGTCGCAAATTGATTGGGCTTGGGTGTTTTGTCTTTCGTTGCCGCTCCCTGGAATGTCTCAGCGTGCAGGCGGGGCTGACAAGTTTGTTTCCAACGGGCCCCAATGCAAGCGCCGGGCCCGGCTCAAATCCTGCACCCAGCCTGCATCTCGACTCACCCGAAATGATTGCCGGCCGGATCAAGACAAGCAGCGCCTCACCCCAGGGCCCGTTGGAAGGACGCGCCCAGCCGAATTAGCCAGACACGCGCCTCTCATCAGGTTGGTACAAGAAGGAAGTGGCCGCTCTGTGCACACAAAAGACGGGGCCCAACGTCATCTTGTCTTTTCCTGCTGCTCTTTCCTAGCCGTCATTTTTCATTGTCCGTTAGCAACAGGGGGGAAAGGGAAAGGGAGAATACCGACCATTTAATCACTAATCACGCCCGACCACCACGGACATGGCCAAATTCGACCTCCTCCTCCTCAGCTTCCTGTCCCTCGGTGCATCCGCCCTCACAACCGGCCTCCTAGGCCCACGGGTCTGCGGCCAGACGGTCGGCCCGTCTTCGATCCTGTCCATCAGCAAAGAAAACCGGGACGAGCCGGCAAAGGCATACGACCCCTACGTCGCGCTGAACCAGCTGGTCGACGGCGCAGGGAACAAGGTCGGTGTGGCCGCCATCCTGCGCTTCACGCCGCCAGCGCCCGGCTCCGGCTCCTCGGCCAGCAGCCCGCCGGCGGCGTGCGAGTTCACCCTGAGCTTCCCGGCGTCGCGCTTCGGCGACGTGCAGCTCGGCCGCGCCGACTGGCAGAAGCCGCCCGAGATCGCCATCTCCAAGATCACCAACCTCGGGGCCCCTGGGGCCCCGCTCCCGTCGTACAACCAGCTCAACGTCGTGCCGGGCCCCTGGGCCACCGCCACCGTGTCGCGCGGCCTGCACGCCGTCGCCGGCGCCGAGCCCTGCGACACCGCCGCCGACTACCTCCTCGAGATCCCGGACTGGATCGCCGTCAACATGGGCGTCTCGTGGCCCAACGACGTGCTGCCTGCTGCTGGGGACGCGGGCGGCGCGGACGTTGACGAGTTTCTCGGCGTCTACTTGCGCCACGTCTGCTGAGTCCGATGAGTCAGATGAAGGGAGTCAGTCTAGCGCAGTCGCCGTAATTAGTTAATTTTTAGTTGTTTCATGAACGCAGCGAGGGGGACGCTGTTGCTAATTGTGCATTTGTGTTGTGTCTGGGTGTTTATTATGGGGTGTTTGGGGCCTGGTGGGGTTTAGGAATTGGGGACTGCATTGCGACGGCGTTTTTGTATTGGGGTGGGCTGCGAAAATGAAACGGAAAATAAGGGACCTGGCGATAATGTCGAATCCAATTAGTAATTGATGCGAGGCGCGCAAACTTCTTGCGTTGCCCATTGCTTCAGATGTCATTTACTTTGCATCTGTTTTTGAGGAAAGAACGGTCGTTGCTCTCACCCTGTTCAAGTGCGCATCCTCCCATCGTGACAAAGTGACATCGGCCCCACCTTCGACTTGGGCGCCGTCATCGACGTAGCGCTCTTTCCACCTTCCCATCGGTTTCCCGCCCGGGATATTTCGCTGCTCTTCGTGAAGCTCGTATCTTTTCTGCTGGCTATTGCAAGCCCAGGCAGGCTCATCCTCTTCTAGCTCGCCTCCGCGCCCCACGATCGAGGGTCAATCGCGCTGTCGACTGTTCGAGCTCACGTGACCCTCTGGTTGGTTGCTGCACTGCCCTACCCTCCGTGGCTGGCAGGGAAGGCGATCGACGCAAATGGCTTTGTTACTCGTTGCCGCATTGCAGGCCGGGCATTTCGGGCTCCAAGTCCGATCTAGCTATGGAATAATTGAAGATTATTCCAACGTCAACTCAGCCGTCTCACGGCCCCACAAACGACCCGAAGGAGGGATGCACCCGCTTCGAAATGGACATCATCGCCGACCGCCCCGCGAACCCACAGCCCCACGGCCCCACTCCAGCGTTGAACAGTGGACTTTGGAGAGAGCTCAGCTCAGGGCACAACACAACATCCACAGGAAGCGAGTAATCCTCCAACCAAGTCAGAACCGGCATGCGACCCTGTCTAAACGGATTTCTGACATGAGCGGATTATTCATTATGCGCAAGCTGCATAGACAGTCGCGTCATGTGGCTGTGGCTCAATGTTTGATGTTTGCCAGGCGCTGACGGCGCTTCATCAAATTCAGAAGGAATCCACGGACACCAAATCCCACCTTCCCACCCGCCCCAGGCTCCGCTTCACACCCACCCGCCTCAGGCTCCACTTCACACCCGCCCGCTTCATGCTCCTCTTCATGCTCTTACGCCCCCACAGGTTTCGGGTACCTCAGCCAAAGCCTGCACTTTGCCAACCCCCAAGGCCCAGCAAAAAGCCCAAGTCAGTGTTCGGAGAATGCACGGGATTGGGGGCTGGCATACAAGGCTAGCAGGCTAGCATACAGAACAGCCCTAGCAGCGTAGCACGCTGTGGTGCCGAGAGCCTCGGCGTGCATGCTGACAAGGGCTCGTTCGTGCTGACATACATACAGAGGCCATGGACTCCAATGCTGCCCAGCCACTTACTGCCCTATTGGCCAACACTAAGAATAAATAGTACTAGGCACCTGCAGGAGCCACCTAGTTGGGTTTCTTGGGTCGCTGTTGAGGTGAGCACTCAGACTCTCGAGGGGCTTAAATCCACGTATCCCCCCTTTTTGCCTCCCTAGATCACATCTTACGGCGTAGCTCGTCCTCTAGCCTCTCCCCACCCTCCTGCAAGCGCCACTAACAGCATACATTCATCCCCAGATCACAAGCCCGAGAACACCATGCCTGCCCCACAGGACCTGATTGGCGATTTTTGGAAGAGTTTCATTACGGAGAAGCCGGGGAAAGTCACTGCCATTTTCCCCAGCAGTCTATACGAGACACTGCTTCCGCTCCCCCAGGCCGCCGACAGCAACAAGTCCCAGAAGAACTGCGGCCTGAGCTATGAGGCAGCCGCGGCCGAGTGTCGTGCAAAGGTCGCGCGCATCGTGCGGGACTGCAAGCGCACCAACAGCAAATGGACCGACCCGTCATTCGACGTCCGGGGCAACGGAATGGACTGCCTTGTCAGCCTAACATGGCGTTCGCCCGCTCCCAGGGCGAATCCTTGGACCGTCGAGGACGCCCTCAGCACCCTCCAGGAGAATCGCGTCATTGGCGAGGGGCCGTTGGGTCTCGACATCACGACTCTCCGCAAGATCCTGACACGCCAGCCCATCTACGACGACGACAATTATGAGGACTTCAACCCGAATCCGCGCTCGGTCCACCGCGTCAGCTGGATCTACGAGAATCCCCAGTTTAGCGTCGATGGCTTCTCCAGCTCTGACATCATGCAGGGCAGCAACTCGGAAGACTGCTGGTGGCTGAGCGCCGTTGCGACTATCTGCCACCGCAAGGACCTCATGGACAAGATTTGCGTGGCCAGAGACGAAGACTGCGGTGTCTACGGCTTCGTCTTTCACCGCGACGGCGCCTGGGTGCCCACCGTCGTTGATGACAACCTTTTCCTCAAGGAGCCCGACTTTTCCGCCCTAGGCGGGAGCATTTGTGATCCCACCAACAGCGTGATGAGCACATACAGAAAGGCAAACCAGACAGGCTCCGAGGCGCTCTACTTTGCCTCTTGCCGGGACGCCAACGAGACCTGGCTCCCGCTCATGGAGAAGGCCTACGCCAAAGCCCATGGCGATTTCCACTCCATCTGGGGAGGCTGGGTTGGCGAGGGCGTCGAAGATCTCACGGGCGGCATCTACTCGGAAATGGTTCTCGAAGATGTTCTGTCCAGAGAGCATCTCTGGAAGGAGCTGCTCAACGAGGACAAGCACTTTGTTTTTGGCCTCGACATCCTCGACCAGAACGCCTCGGGGGACAAGAACGGACTGGCCAATGCCCATGCTTATTCGCTTCTCGAGGCCCGGGAGGAAAAGGGGGAGGACGGGAAGCCCGTGAGGCTCGTCAAAGTCAGGTAGGTCCCAGAACATGAAACTCGAGTCTTGAAGTTTTGGTCTAGATCCTTACAAGCTCCCAGAAACCCATGGGGCCAGCGTGGTGGCGATGGCGCCGGCGAATGGAACGGCCCCTGGAGCGATGGCTCAAAGGAGTGGACGCCCTACTGGGTAAGAAACTAACCGCTGTTACTCTACAGCAAACGTGGCATCATGCTTTCAGACTTCTGACAAGTAGAGCAGCTCATCAAACTTGACTACCGCTTCGAGAACGACGGCGTGTTCTGGATGACATACCAGGACATGCTCCTCACCTTTACCAACCTCTACCGCACCCGCCTCTTTGACGACCAATGGACCGTGACGCAGGAGTGGACGAGTGTCAGTGTGGCATGGTTGACGGGATATCTGCAACAGAAATTTGTTGTCGAAGTCAAGAAGTCTGGCACCGTCGTGTTTGTGTTGCAGCAGGTAAGCAAACTTGCTCTTTGGCTTTCCCGAACTTCTCGAGGCTAACATTCGCGACCCGTCTCTTTCCAGCTTGACACGCGTTATTTCCGCGGCCTTGAAGGCGAGTATAATTACTTGCTGCACTTCATCCTGCAGAAACAAGACGCGGAGCCAGGCGACTACATCTGCCGTGTGCAGCCCAAGGCCGAGAATTTTTGGCAGGCCAGCCGGTCCGTGACCTGCGAGGCCGATCTCGAGCCAGGCGTGTACGAGATCCTGCCCAAGATCACGGCCTTGAAGGACACGTCCCGCGAGCCCGTCGAGGCCGTCGTGCAGGCCAAGGCCGACGTCAAGCCGCAGAAGCTGCGCCAGGTCGGCCTCAGCTTCGATATTGCACACTCCAAGGCGCTCAAATCTGCTACATCTCCGAAGGCGGAGGAGAAAGAGGCCGAGGCCGAGGCTGCTGTTGCAGAGAACAAGGAAGAGGCTACAGATTCTAAGGAAGAGCTTGCCGACGCCAAAGAAACACTTGCTGATGCCAAAGAGGAAGAAAAAAATAAGGAAGAACAAGAAAGCGAGACAGAGGACGAAGATGATGAATCGAGCGAAGAGAGCAGCGAAGAGGGTTCCAAGAAAGGCGAAGCGAAGAAAGAGGGCGGGGAGAAGAAAGACGATAAGAAGGAAAAGAAAACAGAGAAGAAAGATGGAGATGGAGACGACAAGACCGAGGCAGCAACCGCCCCCGAGTCTAAAGAGAGCGCCGCTGCATCCGTCAAGTCGGAGAGGGAGTCAGTAAACAGCGAGGCCGGAGGCGACAAGGACGACGTGTCGAGCCTCGGCGGCGGCGACAACGAGCCCAAGGTCTGGAACGCCGTGTGCGTGATTGGGCTCCGCGTCTACTCGCAGGACGAGGAGATCACCATCCAGCTCGCCGACCCCAAGAATCCCCAGGAGGCGTCGAGTCTTGCGGTGCAGTGAGGGCTGTGCGACGACGCATGTGTCTTGCGGAGAGAGGGCCCCGTGCATGTTAGCAGCAGTATCTTTTCATGCTATTGTTTTCGCTGAGAAGTGGAAGGGCGTTCTTGATTATATGTTGATCTCTACGATTTGTATTAATATCTACAGACAGACAGACAGACAGGCAGGCAGGCAGGCAGGCAAACACTGACCATCGTTTTCTCACTTTGTTACCTCGTTCTAATTCGGGTACCTTAGTCTACAGGAGCGCCGTGAGACAAAAAAAAAAGGAGAAAAGGCTGAGTCTGCCAGGGGCGGCCGACATAAACACTGATAATCATCACTTGCCCTTTGCCCCTCCCCCCTTCTTCCGCTGCTGCTTCCGCTGGCCGCTCCCCGCCGTTCCACCACCACCACCGCCAAAACCGCCGAAACCGCCGAAACCGCTCGGCTTCGGCTTGAGGCCGGAGCCAGAGCCGGAGCCACTATCATAGCTCTCCGACTTGGAGCACGTCACATCGCCGCAATCATATTCGGTTTCGAGCTTTCTAGAGGCCGTGGCCTTGCCCGCGGACATAGTCTAGGCAACCGTGCCGGAAGCGCACCTGTCGTTGGGAAATTTCATCAGTGGGTTAGTTATTCGGCCTCGTGTGTATGTCGCACTTGCCGCCAACGCTGGGGTGGATGGCTTACATGGCTGCGAGTACGGAGCAGTAGTTACTTTTGTACGTGATATGGTTCTTGTTGCAGTGAGTCAGGTAGTGAGTGGGTGATTGACCGGCTGACGAGCGAGATAGATTCCTAGCGTGGTGTTGTGCCTAAAGGAGATGAGAGAGGTAATTAGGTGATGGGTGCTGAGCTTGTGGGTTTAGATGGTGTTTTTTCCCGGGATGGATGCGTTATGGCGGCTGGACTTTATACTTTGGGGGCGAGGGTTGTTTCGTTGTATGGTGCTCTGAAGTGGATATAATCGATTCACCAATCAGCCTCGTTCTCAGCCATGCCGAGTCAGACATGAATCGGACAAGGCCAATGATTGGAATCCGAGAGCAACGCAGAGAACAACCAGGGGCAATGAAACGGGGTTATACGTGATGATTAGTGGAGGAAGAGTGACTGGTTACGCAAGATGGCCACATGGCTCCATATTCTAATATGGTATTTGATATGGGACAGGTAGTCTATCACTTTTCTTTGCTCTCTGAAACTGTGTGTCTATCGCTCTGACTAGCATGACTGGGAATCTGGGGTGAGAAGTCGAACTTTACCAAAACGTGAAACTATCTAGTGTCATAGGCTGTCTAGTTTCAGGGGGAGAGGAGTGACTAACGATCTAAGATAGACACCCAGTAATAAATACCAATATGATATTATATTTCGTAACAAGGCTTGCTTAAGGAACGAACTCCACAGCTAGATTTGTCTCACAACCGAAATGGCCCATACCCATCACCACGCACACATCAAAATACGAATACGATATTTCATAGGTAATCTGTTCTTTTTTCTTTGTCCCGTGAGACTTTGTGTTTCTTGCCACGATTAGCTGGCCCGGACTCTTCAGTGCAAGGTGGAAACTCACCAGAAGCAAAGCCCCTTTGTGTCTTGAGCTGTCCTATTTAAGCTTTCTTTGTTCATTATGATGTATCAGATGCCCCTAGAATTGTCAGAGCCTGGCCCACGGCACGCAGAGAGGCACTTCTATTTCCGGCCACGCCAACGCGGGTCGCTTGCTCCGACTTTGTTCGACACCCACAGTACACCCAAAAGGTAAACTCTCGGCTGACAGCCAAGTAGACCACTTTTTTCCTCTTCATTTATCTCTCTTTCTCTCTCTCTCTCTCTCTACATAGACACAAACACACACACCCCATTCTTTACCAATTCCTCTGCCGCAAATATGTCCAACTCTGACGCTGGAACTGACACTGGGTTTCAACTTAGAAGCAAGGACGAGGTCGAATGCAACGATGTCGTGAAATACGATGACACGGGCACCTTGGCCGGGGCTAAGTACCATCGGTGGGAGCTGGGGTCGGTGCGGGAGGACGACGCGCTGTATATAACCGAGTTGCTGCCGGGCCCGGCGTCGACACACAACATTGAGCAGATCCGCGCCGCGCTCACGCGGGCGCCCAGCGAGAACATCTTCCCCCAGCTGCCCATCCCGTGGTTCTTCGAGCGGACGGGCGTGACGGTGCACGACTCGTACGACACGGAGCCCGACCCGGCCGTCTACTACCTGAAGCGCCCGTGGCTGGCCGGCTACGACGCCGAGCGCGCCGCCGCCGTCAACAGGCCCGACCAGGTCGCCATATGGTTCGCCCACGAGATCAAGGCCCTGGAGCATCTCGCGCGCTGCGACCCGCACCCCAACATCGTGCGCTACCACGGCTGCCGCATGCGTCGCGGCCGCGTCACGGGCATCATGCTCGGCCGCGTGCCCGGCGACACTATCCAGAACCACCTCAAAGCCGGCAAGAAGATTAAGAACCGAAGGGCCTTCTTCAAGGCCCTGACCTCGGCCGTCACCTACCTGCACGACGTCGTCAGCCTCGCCCACAACGACATCCAGCCCACCAACGTCATGGTCAGCCCCGACGGGACTACTCCGACGCTCATCGACTTCAACTCCGCCTTGCCGGATGGCGAAGAGATGATGCTCTGCTCAATGTGCGTTCTTTTCCTTTTCGGTTCACCAAAGAAGAAAGAAAACTAGAACGAAACTTTGGCTAATTCAGGCAACTCATCGTTCAGACACTCGTGTTGGGGCAACGACCCCCTGGACATGGTCCCCGAGACGTACTTCAACGGGCCCATGGGCGCCCATCCGACGTCCAGAAAGTCGCGCGACCTCGCCGCGCTGGATCGGCTGCGCACCCGGATCGACAACCCCGAGTTCGGGCCCCGCAGTTTAGCTATACAAGAAGGTCGGGAATTTTTCGAGGCAGGCCGGAGGCTGGGTAACGAAGCCAGAGAGCGAATAGCCGCAAAGATGCGGGAATCCAATGCCGAGTCCGACTAATTAACGACCAGAGGGTGGTTTGAGGGCAGAGACTGCATCAACCAGCCTACGGAGCCCTGTGAGCAAACGGCGCACAGAAAACGGCGCACAGAAGGGACAAAAGGTCCGGGGAGTTGTTAAACGAGTGGCATGGGTTGCTCAGTGCTGATGATCAGGGGCTCAGGGGGCCAGAGCAACAAGGGGTCTACATACCTACTTCCACCCTGACCCAATTTAATTTAGTTCGATTGCGTTTAGTTTTTCTTCACCAACCTACTCCGTACAAGGCAGTGATCCCGCCCGTCTTCTGGTAAGAGGTCCGGTATCGCACTTGTCGTTCATTTCCTTGACAGGGAGAACAGATCTGACAAGTATATTGAGAAAGGCATGTAGACTGAGAGGCTCCCATCACAAGAATGAAATGGATCATGCGAATCACCTTGCACACATCACCTTGCACCCTGAATGGAACACGTCAAGATATTATGCAGCTTACATGAAATTTCTGCTCTTCAGCTGCTCACCACCACCACGCCAAAACAACGCCGCCGCCAACAGCAACAACAGCAACATGTAAGGGGGTCAAGTTCCTCATCGTTCGAGCAAGGAGGAGCAGGGAGGGATGTGAAATTTAGCGTAGTAGCTTCCATCGCCCTGCCCCAAGTGCCCCCGGGGACCCGGTCTTCAGGCTATCAAAGGTCTGCATAAACCCGGCCGTCTTCAGGATAGACGGATCTCTGCGAGCCCCTCTCCTCTCTCACCCAGACCTCTCGACCATCGTTCTAGGTGGAGGCGATCAGGCTAGCGACGGAAGTGGCCGAGGGAGGAGTGTCAACAAAGGCTACGATGCTGCCGTCCGCGACACGACCAACTTTCAACCACCTCTCTATCGCTACCGCGCATGACCTGATCACTCCACCCAGAACAAATGACCTGAGGGGGGGTTGTCTGGCGAGAGAGGAGAGGTGGCCGTTCCGTAACCGACTCCCGACCACCCACCCTGGCCGGAAAGAGAAGGGCCGTGGCATGTTTTGAGGAATCTCTAGTGCAGTGATGGAAGCACGATGAAGCAATGTCGACACCGGCTTCCGTTTTTCTTCTTATTTTGTTTTTCTTTTTGAACGGAAGTCGAAGCGACCCTGACGGTGGTGTTTTTGAGATGCTTCAGTATAGAGTTCCATCGACCCGGGCGTGAATCTTGAATAGGCTACCGCTACACCGGCAGAAAGAACAGATACCGGTTACCTGCTGCTCTGGGCGACTTGTTTATGGCTGCAACTCGAAAAACAAAGCACTGAACAACCAACCCGCAAAGATCTTTGTCGATGACTACATCCGCAGTGGCCATGTAGGCAGCGTGTTAGCAGCGCTCCGTCAGTGAAGTTGCGACATGAACAACGAAGAGGAGATGATAGCTGAGCTGGCGTGATGACACGGCTGGAACAAGTGATAGAGGGGTCCCAACAACGTGGTACTGATGATGGGGCCCGGAAGGCTGAATGAACTGACAGAGTCCCCGGGGAGAGCAAGGCAAGGGCACCGGGCGTGAGATGGATCGGTGTGCCAAATGACTGGAGGCACTGGGAAACGGAGGTGGAGAGCCAAACGAGGTAACAGAAGATTCACAGCGACGAGATATGGCCAAACCCGGAGGGTCGAGGAGAATTGCAGGAGTCCCAGCCACACAAACGCGATTGCACCGGTTGTGGGATGGGTGGGAGAAATGCGAACTTGATCTCACTCAGACCAGGACTGCCGTCATGATTGTATTGAAGAGGTGGAATTGGGATTCCATTGCTCGGCGAGGAACCGTAGGCTATCTACAACGGGGAATCGATGATGGTCTGTGAAATGGGTCCATCTGCGGCCGCAGGGAAGATGTTGCCAGTAGTCGGCCCGCAAGAAAGTCGCCGAGCTGAAATCCATCACGGGAGGCGGGCAAGGCGTCGAGCGCCATTCTCGCCAACAAATTGACGCCAGATGTTAACATTTCTAGAACAGCTTTTCCACGTCAGCAGTGTCCACGACATTGAGCATGAAAGTGTATGGTTGAGTGAGAAACGATCAGAGAGAAGATTAAAGTCGACACATTTAGGCTCGGAATCCTGCAAAGCCTATTTGGGGCCTGCACCATTCTCCGCCAGTCTTTCCGCCTAAGGATGACAATACGTAGGGTTTTCATCATGTAGTTTGCGTGTGGTGTGTTTTGGGGAAGCGCAATGGTCAACTTACATTCTCGAAGACTTCCACCGTTGCGAAGGGAAGGTTTCTTAGGCCGTCTCGGTGTAGCACGAACCACGACATGGTGTCAAGTTGTACCAAGGTGATGTTGATATAAAATCCACAGACAAAGAACAAATCCGAACAGTTAGAAATGTGAGCTCAAGAATAGGAAGCTGCTGCCGTTTCGGAAGATCTCAGGCGTGATCAAAAACTTGGGCCGTGTTAGCGATGTCGCAATCTAGGCGACGTCTTTCGCCGGGAAACTCACCAAGCGGCAGACCATGGGGTCGGCGAGAATGGGTTGCGAACTAGCGTGACAAAAGCCTACTTACTCGGCGATGTTGCGACAAAAGAAACCAGAGGGCACTGCAGGAAAGTTCGCTTCGGGAGAGTTCAAACCCAAGAGGCCGCGGACGGGAGCACTTCCTCCTTCTTCTTCTCAAACACCCTTGTGATCTTGCCCCGGTCGGCCAGATAGAAGGGATTTGAAGGAGGCGTGAACTCATTCTAGGAGATGTCGCGGCCCATATCGCTTCTTGCCAGGTGTTCTGTAGGTTTGATTACGAGTCAGGACCGGCGTCTCCGAGGGAGACTTGTGGGCAACGCGAAGAGTGGATTGATAGAAGAGGGAGAACATGAATATGAAACACAAACTTACCCGTGAATGAGCGATGCCAAAGGTATTGAAGCCGGCCGTCAGAAGGGAGCGAGATGATTGAGTGTCACGCGCATTTACAGGGCAACGGAAATGAAGCATTTGATGCAGGGAGATAAGGCTTGAATTGTCTGAAAAGGTCTAATCTCTTGTTTCCTTTGGCAGGGCCAAAAGTCTCTCTTTATAGTTATGAATAGTGGCAAAAGCTGGTGGCGAAGAATCACATAGCAGCTTCTAGAACTTTCTTGCTCACTAATCCCAATATTGTGACATGGAGGCTACGACCTGTATTCTGCCTCGTTAGCTTCCCTACGCTAGAAACTTTAGCGCGGTGAATGTTCCTGGAGAAATTCTAAGCTGGCTGAGAAGGCGGGAAGACGGAAGAGAAATTGAGGAGTAGATCGATCAAATGTCTGGGAAGAAATGCGTCGTGGTGCCTACCGCTGCAAGGAACGAAGATAAAAGAAAAGATACCTGGTCCTGCGGGTAAGGCAGGCATAGACTTGAGGTGAAGTAAGGGAGGGACGGCCGAGGCGAAGACTGGTAGGTGAAGGGTTCAAGTTTTTGAAGAGGAAGGTAATTGAAAAAGGTGTGGGGCGTGAGGACAAGAACCTAAGAGGGAGAAGAAGGCGGACCCACACTGTTGACCGGAAGGGAAGATAAGAGTGCGTCTTCAACCTCGAGTCCTCGATCGATAGGCAATGGAAGCTACGGGAGATGAGGTGCAGGGCAGTTACGTACGGCCACGCTGTGGCCTTCAGAATCCAAATGTAGGCAGGGAAGGAGCTGACAGGATGCATCTGTTCTGTCTGCTGGTGGGTGCATCAGCACACCGTAACAGCTGGCTGATTAGTTAGACAGCAAAATTTTGAAAGACATCGGCATTGAGCAGTAAATACAACCCGGGAAGGCGCTGAATATGGAACCATCAAAAATGAAGTATTAGGTGGCGTCCATGCCGAAGACGACTGCACCATTCGTAATTTCGCGCAGGCCTGGATAGCAGTGAGCCCGGGAGACGCTGCTGCCGTCTCGAGCAGTGCTTTCAAGTGTTGACATGGATAACTCGGCCATACGGTAGGTCTGTGGTGACTCTTTGAGCGGGAAGTTGGAAGGGAGAGTATCTACCTACTTAGGAGTGGGCAGTGCGATTGTTGAGGCGAGGACACGTCATGCACCCAGCAGAAAGAAGAATTCAGTGGAAGCTCGGAGTATAACCAAAACGCCGGGGCCGAAAAAGAAGAGGAAGGAGGGAACTATAGAAGCTGCCACTAGAAGTACTTATGCCTCCCAAAGAGTAAATGGGTCACAAGGATAGCGAAGACTCTAGACCAGGAAAAAGGAAAGAAACGGGAGGAAGGGGCTCGGGCATGTACGTCGGCGAAAGACGCCGAGGCCGGATGTTACACAAGTGGTGCTGGTCTAGTTCAGACTGGGTAAATTGGGGGCGAAGAAACGAGAAAGAAGCAACAACACTGGCGGGTTGGAGTTGGTTTGATCCAAATTCCAAGTCCCGGAAAGACTATGACGTGATGTGTGAATCGACAGGATCGAGGAAGCTACCAGGCTGGAATTTGGAGGGAGGCATTTTCAAGCTCCACATTAACCGGGGGAGGGGTGCAGGGGTTTCAACGATACTAGATACCGCGCAGGACGGCATTATCATTCATCTAAGGATGTTATCGACGGAGGGCGGGCGTGTGGAGGTTGCGCTGGATGGTGGGAGACGAGCTTCGCCGCTTTTCAAAAGGAAAGGAGTGGATGTAGCGAGATGCTGAATTAGCGAGCTTAGGCGTAAGAAATCACTGCACACCATATTGTCCAGGCAGCAAGGCGA